TAGATAATGATTGAGCCACCCTTAGAGAACCAGGTGAGTACCTGTCTACCAGAATATACAGGTGTCTACATGTACCTGTCAACAACAATGGTTTATTTACCTTTTAATGATATCAACACAATCTAGGTCATCATTGTCTATCAACATAGATAAAATATATATTAATAACTCAATATCATTTTAACAAGGAGAGAAAAACATGATGAATTTATTGGAATGCTTGGTACAGTTTGGTTACAGGGTTTAATTTATGGGGACAATTGAGCAAGGCTGCTGTTTATTTATTTAGAATGCTTGGTACAGTTTGGTTGTAAGGCTGGATTTATGACAGGAATGATATATCATTAAAACAACGAGACAATGAATACATGTAGTTATATTGAAATAATTGTAGGAGATTAGTGTCTGAATCTAGTCGTTACTTTTATAGTCTACATTTAATTTAGAATATAGATGACAATATTCAGTATGTAACAAAATGATTAATATTTATGAATGAAAATTATGAAAATATATTCTACAAGCACTGCTTTGAAATGCTTGGTTATAATCATAAAATTAGTAAAGGTGTCTATCATCCGCTTCTGTATCTGTCATGTAGGCCGTAGTGCCGCTGTTTGGGCAAATTTCCCTACTAGCACACAGTAGGACGTTAAACCCCAAAATGGTTTCATTTTATTTATCTAAGTACATCAAATGAATATTAAATTTATTTGAGCTCAGTCGATAAAAAAACAAATCAGTACTGTTGTAAATCGTGGCTAAAAATCACTTTTATTTTTGTTTGATTGCAATGTCTGAGCCTATTAGTTATATTACAACTAGAAGAAATCTATGGTACTCCCCGGTCCGAGCTACCCCTATAACCCAAATTTCAGACTCGGGCAGACCTAGTGTAGCCACCAACCCCGTGAGAGAGAGAGAGAGAAAGAGTGAGAGAGAAATGGGGTTAACGTCCACTCGACACAAACTAGTTCATTTCGGGACTGACATATGGTTCAATTTTATTTCAATAATTCTATTGTGTGTACAGGTCTTTAGCTGTGGGAGGTAATCGGAGAACCCGGAGAAAACCCACGAGGTGGGACAGGCGATGTACAACAGGGGAATCGAAACCACGCCAGTGGGAGGTAACCTGAGGACCCGGAGAAAACCCACAAGGTTCGAAACCAGGCCAGTTGACTCAATGACAGACCTTATGATACAACATGCAGGCACTAACCATTCTTTTTTCTTTTTGAAACAATATCAGATTGAGAGATATTTGTATCTGGATTCGAACAGAGAATGGGGATCAGGCATGGATAGCTTATATTAGACCCCACCAACTATTAAATTCACAGCTGTGTTGTCATAGTCACTTATTCTCTCACATCAACTCGGATCAACTCAACTACATGTAAAAAATAATCTTTGAGAGTCATTTAGTAACTGGATAGAGCAACACACAATAACCTATACATGTACTTATGGAAAAACAGCTACTGATTTATTTGGGCAATGTTTGGAAGAGTATTTTCTCAACGTTATCAATCTAATATTTAAAAACTGATATTCCGAAAACAAAAATGGAAGCTTGTCTCTATTCAAACAAAGAAGACGATAAAAGCAAATTAATGGCGACCAGGCCGGCCTGAAGGGTAGTGACTAGTATAATTATTGTCACGTTGGTTTTTATCCAATAACTGTCATTGTAACATGTATAGAGATAAAACTATGTTCAATAGAGGTGACACGATCAATCAATAAACGTTGGGTTGAAATACGGATAATTTATCAATATCATCAGAGATATTTCTAATGGATGACATTTACAACCACACAGATAAATCGAACCACTGGATATAAAAACATAGATTATATAAATATCCGTCCTAAAAACCTGTTTTATCATAAATTCTGGCTTATAACCAGCATAAATATTATTTTTGGCATCCTGTTCTAGTGAAAATATTTTTAAATAACCTCATCTGTCATTTTCATCAAATATCTAAATTGATTAACCAAATATAAAAAGGACGAAATCAATTTTTAGCTGTGTGGACTTAGATGTACATGTGAGAAACAGTCGGGTTTAACGTCCACTCAATAAAAACTAGGCCATTTCTTTTTTATTTTTTTTTAAACAATATTTTATTCAGAAATTGAAAGGGAATTGAGAAACAGGCATAGATGACCTCTCTCCTAGGTTATTTCGAGACTAACATATGGTTCATTACTTCAATAATTCTCTATAGCAGTGGGAGGAACCCGGAGGAGCCAGAGAAAATCCGGAAAACAGGACAGGCGTTATGCACGTAGGTGTCTATAGCCAAGGGAGGTAACTGAAGGACCAGGAGAAAATCAATGAGGTTGGACAGGCAACCCTACTCCTTCTCACATACAAGCTGGGAATCGAAACCACACCAGTTGATTCAAAGATAGACAATTATGATACAATGTGCTTGCATTAAACTAATCACACACACCCCCCTCCCAGCCCCACCCCTAAATTTAACCATATAGAGTGTTCCCCCCTCATCAGATCAACACAATTCAACACTTTAGGTCATAAGGTCTGTCATTGAGTCAAGTAACGTGGTTTTGATCCCAAGCTTGTTTGTGACAAGGAGTAGGGTCACCTGTCAAATGTGGGGTGATTTTTTCGGGTCCCTCGGTTTCCTGCCATTTGTAAAGTACCAAAATGAACTGGTTAGTGTTCAATAGACGCTAAGCCTAAATAAAAAATAAATAACTTATTTCCTGATTTATCCATGTCCAACATCAAAAGGGGGTTGGGTGGCAAATGGTTAGCAAATGAATGTTGTATCATAAGGTCTGTCACTGAGTCAAATGGCATGGTTTCGATTCCCCGGTTGTACGTGACAAGGAGTAGGGTCAACTGTCCAACTTCGTGGATTTTCTCCGTGTCGTCCGTTTTTCTCCCACTGCTACAGACCTGTACGTGCAAGCGAATTATTGAAATAAAATTAAACCATGTGTTAGTCTTGAAATGACCTAGTTTGTGTCGAGTGAACGTTAAACCCCATTTCTCTTCGACATGAAAACTATTTTAATGTCAAGGATTCGTTGGGAAGTCAACTGATGGTGGGAAAATATCATTACAGAAGACAGATGTTGGTAACGGATAATTTCTAATACTCGGAGTTTCCTTCAACTCAGTGAATGCTAGGCCAGGCAAGAAATAGATCAATGTCATCATTAGAGGTTGTCTGAATGATGGAAGCAGATGATATTGTCGACACTCTTCCTTTCGCGATACTTTAAATAGATTACTGCCTCCGGGATAAAAACATATTTTATTTTTATCACAAAATGACAGTCAGGAGGTTTGAAATCCATTCAACCACCATCAGAAACTCGGCCACAAACGGGATGAGATTTAAAATCGCTCCAGCATAACTACCTTAAAAAACTCGGCCACAAACAGGATGAGATTCAAAATCGCTTCAGCATAACTACCATCAAATTCACGGCCACAAACGACATAAGATTTAAAATCACACCAGCATATAACTACCATCAAAAACATGGCCACAAACGAGATAACTACCATCAAAATATCAATATCATAATATAAAACATCAATATTGTAATATAGTCGAAAACAGTTTTATTTCTTCGACATTGGTAGGACCAAAAATATCAATTATTCATTTATCCTGTTGTTTTCTTGGTAAATATTGACTTGGTTATGAATTGCGATATGAATCGAATGGTAGAACCTGAATCGCAATATGTATTGTGACAATACCCAGCACTACACATTTGATATGAGATGTGTTTGATGAGAAATCAATAAAGGATTAATTAGGTAATAAAATGTCACGCACAATGAGCCATGACAATTTGTAATAAATCCTGCTCACACTCACAAGAAAAGATCTTGATCATTGTGGCGATTGACTTATTCCATGTTATATAATATACACTGACTACACCCATGTTATATATTATACACCCATGTTATATATTATACACTGACTACACCCATGTTATATATTATACACCCATGTTATATAATATACACTGACTACACCCATGTTATATATTATACACCCATGTTATATATTATACACCCATGTTATATATTATACACTGACTACACCCATGTTATATATTATACACTGACTATACCCATGTTATGTATTATACACTGACTACACCCATGTTATATATTATACACTGACTTCACCCATGTTATATATTATACACCCATGTTATATAATATACACTGACTACACCCATGTTATATATTATACACTGACTACACCCATGTTATATATTATACACCCATGTTATATATTATACACTGACTACACCCATGTTATGTATTATACACTGACTACACCCATGTTATATATTATACACTGACTACACCCATGTTATGTATTATACACTGACTACACCCATGTTATATATTATACACTGACTACACCCATGTTATATATTATACACCCATGTTATATATTATACACTGACTACACCCATGTTATATATTATACACCCATGTTATATATTATACACCCATGTTATATATTATACACTGACTACACCCATGTTATATATTATACACTGACTATACCCATGTTATGTATTATACACTGACTACACCCATGTTATATATTATACACTGACTTCACCCATGTTGTATATTATACACCCATGTTATATAATATACACTGACTACACCCATGTTATATATTATACACTGACTACACCCATGTTATATATTATACACCCATGTTATATATTATACACTGACTACACCCATGTTATATATTATACACTGGCTACACCCATGTTATTTATTATACACATTATAAACGTGTGAAAAATTGAAGTGTATTAATTACAAAGTTCTGGCATAAGTCCTTATTTCTATAAAGCAAAGTAAACATAATACTGAATACACAGGTGTAATCGAAAAAGGCCTTCACTATACATGTACATGTAACTTGATGTCCAATATATCTTGCAGAATTATTAAATAAGCTTACCTTGATCTCTTTGACCAAAACTTCCGGTCTTCGTGCATTCTTCAGTAATTTCTCATATTTATACATGTGTCTCTGAAATATATAAATTACGTAAATTAGCATATTTCATTTCCAACAGGGCCCAATCTCACAACATTTCCAACAGGGCCCAATCTCACAACATTTCCAACAGGGCCCAATCTCACAACATTTTCAACAGGACCCAGACTCACAACATTGGTAGAAAAAAGTTCATAACATCTCTATAAAACTCCTCAGACAGGTTTGATATTAGACACAAGTTTGATATTAGACACAAGTTTGATATTAGTCACAAGTTTGTTATTAGTCACCAGGAGTATCGCATGGTCTGGAAAGATGAAATCAGTAAAATTGACAAAAAGGATTTTCTACCTCGAAAAGATTATATTTGATGATCCTAAACACTAAATGATAGTGATCCTAAACAGTAAATGATAGTGATCCTAAAAACTAAATAATGGTGATCATAAACACTAAATTATAGTGATCCTAAACATTAAATTATAGTGATTATAAACACTAAATTATAGTGATCCTAAACACTAAATTATAGTGATTATAAACAGTGATCCTAAACACTAAATTATGGTGATCCTAAACAGTCCCATTATATTTGAATTAAACCAATTTTTTCACTGGCCAACACGAGTGTGGAAATGCCTTGAAAATAGGCCTCATGATGATCGTAAACACTAAATTATAGTGATCCCAAACACTAAATTATAGTGATCCCAAACACTAAATTATAGTGATTATAAACAGTGATCCTAAACACTAAATTATAGTGATCCTAAACAGTCTCATTATATTTGAATTAAACCCATTTTTTCGCTGGCCAACACGAGTGTGGAAATGCCTTGAAAATAGGCCTCATGATGATCGTAAACACTAAATTATAGTGATCCCAAACACTAAATTATAGTGATCCCAAACACTAAATTATAGTGATTATAAACAGTGATCCTAAACACTAAAGTATGGTGATCCTAAACACTAAATTATAGTGATCCTAAACAGTCTCATTATATTTGAATTAAACCAATTTTTTCGCTGGCCAACACGAGTGTGGAAATGCCTTGAAAATAGGCCTCATGATGATCGTAAATACTAAATTATTGTGATCTAAAACACAAAATAAGTTATTGTGAGTCTAAACACCAAATCAATGATGTAGCAATTTCTTTCCATAGTTCCACAGTAATAATATTTAAAGAGGCATTATGGGAGATCAGATAAAGAGAGAGAGAGAGAGAGAGAGAGAGAGAGAGAGAGAAATGAGGTTTAACGTCCACTCGACACAAACTAGGTCATTTCAGGGCTAACACATGGTTCAATTTTATTTCAATAATTTGCTTGCGCATAGGGGTCTTTAGCAGTGGGAGGAAACCTAGGGACCTGGAGAAAACCCACGAGGTGGGACAGGCGACCCTACTCCTTGTCACGTACAACCAAGCAATCGAAACCACGCCAGTTGACTCAATGACAGACTTTATGATACAGAGTGCATGTACTAACCGTTCGGCCACCCAACTCCCCTGGGAGATTGGATAAAGAGTTAACAGATATTAGCTTTTGAATTTTAGTCAGTTTGATAAAAAACAAGTCTCGATTATCCATTTTTACATTTAATTATCCTTTACAAAATGTAATCAAATCCAGTTAATATCGCCACTAACATTGAGAGTTGATTATGATCTGGATAAGTTAATTTATGTCTAATTGATAATATAGATAACATTTATGGTCTAAAGAAAGGCGTGCAATAAACAGATTTAGCTCTTGCATAATATATGTTGAATATCAAAGGTTGTATGAATTAATATTAATAACTGTAATGGAACTAAACACATACATGTATTATCATATTATCATAATAACTGTAATGGAACTATACACATACATGTGTTATCCCACATATTATCATAATGACAATCAAATGTTAAATATGTTTCATGTTCGCCCACGTATTTCATGTTCGCCCACGTATTTCATGTCTCAGGCTATTCTAAATAAATTTTTGTTTTAGCAAACAAAATCTATTTGTGGGGCCATGAGTCATTATGTTGGCTGTTTTTAAAACATAATTTTGTTTACCGTTTCAGATTTATGGGTTGATTTTGGGAGTGTAATATTGTTGTATAGGTGATTATAGAGGTTGTCAATGATATATACAGTCGGGTAGGACAGTATTCTCTGGGTTATATCCCCAATTGTTTTCAAATTTAAGTGAAGTCTGTGTCACTACAGGCCCAGGACTGTACAGCACAGTGGACGCTTACAGCTAGCCCCCAGAGCCATTCACTTTATTTGAATTGTGCGTTTGTTTGTGAGTTCTGCGTAATATGTCTTGTCCGTACATTTGTTTTTGTGTAAATTATGTGTGGTGCAGTCCCCCTGCACTTACTAATACAGTCACATTATAGTAGGACCTGGCAAGCGACAACGTACAGTAATTGGGATGGGGTGAAAAACCAAGGTTGTTTGTACACATTGGTGTGCACTTAAAAAATCCCTTGACAGTTAGAATTTGATATAAGAGTAGGTCACAGCGATGGTACCCAGGCAAAATTTTCCACATAGCACACTGTATGGCGTATGCCCGCAATCATTAGCCCAGTTTAGGAGCAGAACAGTAGGACGTTAAACCCCATTTCATTTGATTGTATCAGAGGTGTGTACAGAATTATTTTGGAAGTGTTGTTATGGATGGGTATAAAGATTAGTTGGAATATCTTTATCAGATTTGTGGGTTGATGTTGAGAGTGGTGTATAGATGAGAGAGTGGTGTATAGATGAGAGAGTGGTGTATAGATGAGAGAGGGGTGTATAGATGAGAGAGTGGTGTATACATGAGAGAGTGGTGTATAGATGAGAGAGTGGGTGTATAGATGAGAGAGTGGTGTATAGATGAGAGAGTGGTGTATAGATAAGAGAGTGGTGTATACATGAGAGAGTAGTGTATAGATGAGAGAGTGGTGTATAGATGAGAGAGTGGTGTATACATAAGAGAGTGGTGTATACATGAGAGAGTGGTGTATACATGAGAGAGTGGTTTATACATGAGACGGTGCTGTATAGATGAGAGAGTGGTGTATACATGAGAGAGTGGTGTATAGATGAGAGAGTGGTGTATACATGAGAGAGTGGTGTATAGATAAGAGAGTGGTGTATAGATAAGAGAGTGGTGTATAGATGAGAGAGTGGTGTATAGATAAGAGAGTGGTGTATACATGAGAGAGTGGTGTATAGATGAGAGAGTGGCGTATACATGAGAGGGTGGTGTATAGATGAGAGAGTGGTGTATAGATGAGAGAGTGGTGTATACATGAGAGAGTGGTGTATACATGAGAGAGTGGTGTATAGATGAGAGAGTGGTGTATAGATAAGAGAGTGGTGTATACATGAGAGGGTAGTGTATAGATGAGAGAGTAGTGTATAGATGAGAGAGTGGTGTATAGATGAGAGAGTGGTGTATAGATGAGAGAGTGGTGTATACATGAGAGAGTGGTGTATACATGAGACGGTGCTGTATAGATGAGAGAGGGGTGTATAGATGAGATAGTGGTGTATAGATGAGAGACTGGTGTATACATGAGAGAGTGGTGTATAGATAAGAGAGTGTTGTATAGATGAGAGAGTGGTGTATAGATAAGAGAGTGGTGTATACATGAGAGAGTGGTGTATAGATGAGAGAGTGGTGTATAGATGAGAGAGTGGTGTATAGATCAGAGAGGGGTGTATATATCAGAGAGGGGTGTATAGATCAGAGAGGGGTGTATAGATAAGAGAGGGGTGTATAGATGAGAGGGGGGTATATAGATGAGAGAGGAGTGTATAGAATGAGAGAGGGGTGTATAGATGAGAGAGGGGTGTATAGATGAGAGAGGGGTGTATAGATGAGAGAGGGGTGTATAGATAAGAGAGGGGTGTATAGATGAGAGAGGGGTGTATAGATATGAGAGGGGTGTAAAGATGGTATAGATGAGAGAGGGGTGTATAGATGAGAGGGTGGTGTATACATGAGAGAGGGGTGTATAGATGAGAGAGTGGTGTATAGGTGAGAAAGTGGTGTATAGATGACTGGTATATAGATATGATACATTATGTGAGCTGCTCTCACAAAACCAGGCTCTTGGTCATTTTTATAAAAATAAAGCTGACAGCATATTTGAATAGTCCACAGCCTAAGCTTTCCAAAAATGCAATTCATCTGGAGTTCGGCTCATTCACAGCAACAAGAAGGCATACAGTTTATGCTTTAGTGCCCGAAGTACAGAATGAAGTTGTGCAACAAGTGCCTGGTTTCGTCTGAGCGGGTCACATATTGTGTATATTATTATGACCATGTAATTAATTGTAATATATATAATTATCTCATCTACAATAATCAGTAAACTATGTCTAGTTTAACCTTCAAACCAGTAATTATTATTCACCTTTCCAAACATGTAAACAAGATTAAATAAGTTTATTGGAAATTTGGTTTATGGAAGTTTTATGTCTATGATCAGGTATTTGAAACCGATGAGGTGTATTTGGAACCGATGAGGTGTATTTGGAACCGATGAGGTATATTTGAAACCGATGAAGTGTATTTGAAACCGATGAGGTGTGTTTGGAACCGATGAGGTGTATTTGAAACAGATGAAGTGTATTTGGAACAGATGAGGTTTATTTGAAACCGATGAAGTGTATTTGGAACCGATGAAGTGTATTTGAAACCGATGAAGTGTATTTGGAAACAATGAAGTGTATTTGGAACCGATGAGGTGTATTTGAAACCGATGAAGTGTATTTGGAACCGATGAGGTGTATTTGAAACCGATGAAGTGTATTTGGAACCGATGAGGTGTATTTGAAACCGATGAAGTGTATTTGGAAACAATGAAGTGTATTTTGAACTTATGGAGTGTACTTGGAACCGATGAAGTGTATTTGGAAGTTTCATGTCTCTATTTGTAGCAGGATGTAGCTAGATTAAGAAACAAGGCCATTATAATGACTACCTACATGTATGTAGATATTGAGGATCACACATTTGACATATTCCGGTATCCTGGTATCCTAGTCATATGAGGAAGTGTAATGACAACATATGTTGTAGGATTAAATGAAATGAAATAAAATAAAATGGGGTTTAACGTCCTACCGTTCTGCTCCAACAGGGTTAATGAAGACAGGCATACACCATTCAGTGTGCTATGTTTGATTTCAAAAATATTATTCGACCAACAAATGTTAGTGCTGGTCCTGTTTACATTGAATTTTAACAAAGAGCGAAACATTTTATACCGACATCCAGTCAGTATTGTGTTAACTTTCATGTGGTAAAGAAACGGCTGAATATAAGGAGGTTCAGATATTATTATTATCTACCAAGGTTCAAATATTATCATCAACTATAAATCATCAATATAGTTGCTAGTGACTGGGATACAGAACCAAGATACTGGTAGTCGCTAGTGACTAGGATACGGAGACAAGCTTCACATAGTCGATTTGGTTTCTAGCTTAAACCGATTCACATTTTGAAAAAACAGTAGTCATTTCATCCAATTTATATTTATACAATTACATATAATGTTTGACTTTTACTGTCTGCTAAACACACTGCTGAATTACTGCCTATTAAAACCATATGGCAACTACGTCTTTTGAGACTCTATACAGAAATTCCCATTTACAGTGGCACGATCTCAATGTCGCATGGAATTCCTCGCCTACCATATTAGGCATGGCTTACTATGAAATGTGTAAAATGGTTGATTTTGACCAGAAACAGCTGTCAACAACAGACAATAACAGACACGATAATATGATGGGCATTATAATACATGGACAGAATGCATGCCACAAGTGACAGGGGAGTCGGCTATGCCTTTTTATGAGTGATAAACTGCCAATGTAATTTTAATAAAATACTGTTTAATAAAGAAGAAAACAATGCTCCAACAATATAATCGAAAGATTCCCTCAGAAATTCCTACAGTATAAATTAATTTTAGATCCAGTTGTAATTTATTATTGAATTCACAATCAGAATGTGTTGTTACTGTGTACGAGACAACGAATAAACGAGTTCCTGACATTACCAGTCAGGAGGATCTTCTATTCGCCTCCCTCGGCATATGTAACTTACCGACTTTTTAAATGACACATGTTTTTTTCTATTGTACCGTTTTCTGCGGCTTATCTTGTTGTTTTTCGTCAATATGATTATCGCTATATACATGTATGTTAAAATATTATGTACAGGAATTGTTGTACTAGTGAATTGTAATTTATTGCCATTATCGGATTTTAATTAGCAGTTAAAGCTATAAGGGTAAGTCCGAACACGGGAATATCTTACTCAGCTCAACCGTGTAACTAAATATCAAAACTAATGACTTATAGTAAATGTTGTTTATTGCCAATTTAAACGATTGATTCCAACATCTCTCTAGCATAAACTCAACGAAATGTACTAGAGTAATATACAATCAGCTATTCAGTGTTCACGCTTCTTCATTTTATAATTTACATAATCAACAAACAATTACAAGAAAAACAACTCGGAAGGCAGTACAGACAATTACATTATAGAATTTATACGCCATCTGATTAATCGGCACCGATATGATTTTTGGCTGGCCGATTAACCAATTCAATAATTTTGTAATCGTGACAACACTAGTAACCAGGATATAGTAGCTAGTGACTGGAATGATACAGACTACATGCTAGTGTCTGGAATGATATAGACTACTGAACAAGATACAGACTACATGCTAGTGTCTGGAATGATAGAGACTACTGTTCATGATATAGACTACATGCTAGTGACTGGAATGATAGAGACTACTGTGCATGATAAGACATCCATTAGTTCTCCTCTCATCTCATTAATTCAACACAGACGACAATTCTACCTGTGGGCATGTACGTTTAGATCTCCATATATACGCTACACCAGATTCAACCATGTACGGAATCAAGTTAACGAGATTAGCCACGCAGATGAACTAATATCACTGCCAACAGACAAATTCTACTGGCCTATAGAAATGCATCCTGGGATATAATGATACGTGACAAGAGCGTGATGGATAGAAAGCTATCAGCTTGATGAAGCAGCAGAGCAAGAGAATAGTGTTAATAATAGCTAATTTAACAAAATCTTACAATCTCTTCTCTTTTTACAGAACGGATGCTGAAGTCTCGTCTAAACACGCCTACAAGCCATGGAAATAACCCATCCATCACAAACAATGTCACGTTTTTTCAGGCATGATGCCTGTTGGCATTGGTCCTTTTATCTGGGGTGACCATTTTGTCTGGCAAAACACCTCTTGGTGTGGGTAATTTTGTCTGGCGCGATTATTTTGTTTGCCAAAACCTCTCTTGGTCTTGGTCCTTTTGTCTGGCCTGATCATTTTGTTTGCCAAAACCCCTCTTGGCGTGGGTAGTTTTGTCTGGCACGATTATTTTGTTTGCCAAAACCTCTCTTGGTGTTTGTCCCTTTCTCTGGCACGATCATTTTGTCTAGTAATACTCGTCTTGGTGTAGGTAACTTTGTCTGGCGCTATCATTTTGTCTGGTAAAACCCCTGCTGTGCACCTGAATGTCGGCCAAGGGGAGTTTTTTTCCCCTAGCCTTAAAATTGAAAATCGCTCTCCTTATTTCTAAATCATGGACATGATTTTTTTTTAAAAAGTGTGAAGGACTCACATTCCGATCGTCGCCATGCTGTCGTTGTGAAGATTTATTTGGTGTATTCGATCAGTGTATAATGTGATCGCACATGGTAATAAAATTCTGATGAATATGTTGCTAAAAATAGATAGCGCTTGTGCATCGCTGGTTAATTTAATTGAAATGTAGAAAAGAACTCTCAAAAGACGTGAGAAATTACGAGAGATGGTACATGAAGCTTTCCAATGAGAATAATTCCAGAAGAAATAGATTATATTTTGAGAGTTTATGATTACATTTTGAATAGGCATTTTAAACAAAATTTATACAAGCTATATATATTTAGAAATGTCGACAATTATTTCTATTGGAATACTGTAAGTACATGTACTTTTAGACGACAGAAAAAGTTTGACTTGACCGTGCGACTACGCGTGCTATTATTTAGCAGACGATGTTTATTATCATTTATGTAACCAGGAATGACCCCTTACACATAGTTATTGATCTTCAGAACTATTTCCCATACAAACAACTAATCACTCTCCTTAATATCAGATCATTCTCCTTAATTTCTAAATCACTTTTCTTACCGAAAATGGGAGAGCTTTTTCGGGGAGGGAATTTTTCAATTTGTTCATTAAGGGGAGCTTTTTAGTTTTTACGTCTCTCCTCTAAAATACAAACGACGACGACTGACAATGCGTTGATGCCTCTGGTTGTGGATCTTTTTGTGTGGTCCACGTTTGTTTTTATTATCAGTGTTTTTAATGAAACGCCAGACAGGTGTGTCATTACGACTGTCAGGTGTGTCATATACATGTATATACAAGCTCTGACATACATGTAAGGTACCTGTCCAAGCCTGGAAATAAGGCACCTGTCACAGACAATGTCAGGCATGCAGATTCAGGCTTTGTCAGGCACAAAACCTATGATGCCTATCATTTTGTCTTTTTTATTGATATTATTAATACATGTCTGGCACTAAGTTGAAAATGTCAGGTGCTATTTCATTAGTGCCTGACATTTTGTCAGATACATCTAAAACCGTTATTTCCAGGCCTGTACCTGTCACAGAGTTTGTCAGACATCAATCATCACATATATTATACGTTGTGTTTTAATTTGTATCTAACAAAGTCTGTGCCAGGGGCCTTATGTCAGGGTTTGTGTATATACCGTTAAGTTGTGATAATTTGTGCCTGACAAAGTTTAAGCTTGTGTTTATAAGTTGTGAAAATTGGATGATTACTTTAGTCTCAAACAGGGGTGACAAGAATGAAATATTTCCTTACCTTCCATTGAACAGAATACAGCCACTGGTCTCTTAAGTAGGAATTGTTAGCCTGAAATCAGATTAAAATATAAACTTATCATCAATATCTTCACACAACATAGATCCTTGTCTTAGTCATGTAGGTGTAATATTGATTTTATTCTTCATCATTGTACCATGGCTGTCATTCTTTAGTTGATGAAAAAATGAGAGAGAGAGAGAGAGAGAGAGAGAGAGAGAGAGAGAGTTTAAAGTCCACTTGACACAAACTATGTAATTTCGGGACTAACACACGGTTCAATTTTTATTTTAATGATTCACTTGCGTGTAGGGGTCTTTAGCAGTGGGAGGAATCCGGAGGACCCAGAGAAAACCAAAGAGGATGAACAGCGGACCCTACTCCTTGTCACGTACAAGCAGGGATTCAAAACCACAGCACATGACTCAATGTCAGACCTTATGATTTCACGCGCATGAATTAAACCACTACATCATCAAACCAGCCACAATAAAAGTAGGAATTATTTGTATGAAAATGGTTAAATTACACTCTAAAGTTCATATGGTTGATTCAGCAACAAATAATTAACCACAAAAAGATCAAAGTCATCATTTTATATACATAATGTGTATTAATTAGTTAAATTGTTAGTAATCAGGTAGTAGTCATTAAGTAGGTGTTATATCAATACCAAGGGGATAATATGGTGACTATTGAATGATATACACCACTATTGTCCAGGGGCCTGTTTCACCAAGTTTCAACTAAGATAAAATCCAAATTTTAATAATAGTTTTATTTCAATAATCTGCTTGTTTGTAGGGGGTCTTTAGCCACAGAACTGAAATAAAATGAAATGGGGTTTAACATCCTACTGTTCTGCTTCTATACTGGGCTAATGAAAACGGACATACGCCATACAATGTGCTATGAGGGAAATTTTGCTCGGACAGCGGAACTACAGCCTACTCTTTTATCAAATTCCAACTGTCAAGGGGTCTTTAATGTCCTATTGTTCTGTTGGTACCCTCCCATTTCGACTACATCCCATCTCGACTACGTCCTACTCTTATATCAAATTCCAACTGTCATGGATCTTTTACGTGCATAACTGACAAGGGGAGACCACGCCGGAAAATCTGGATGAACTTTATCGGCCAATGCAGGGATCGAACACGCGACCTCCAGGCTAGCGAGCCAGTGTCTTACCCACTTAGCAACCTTGATCCCTCTTTAGCCACCACAGGGGTTACCTGGTTACCTGTAATTAAAATAACATACCTGTAATAACAAGGAGCCATCTTGGATTGTAATCCTGATACAAAATTTTTGCCCTGCATCCCAGCGTGAGACGACATGAACATCTTCTATACTGGAGTAAGGTACGCTTATTTCCATAAACCCTGTCGGCTGAAATAGATGAATACAGATGATTTAATGACAGGTAGGTTTCTAGTTCACAGGTAGCTGAACTAATAAACCCAGTCGGCTGAAATAGATAAATACAGATGATATAATCGCAGGTAGGTTTCTAGTTCACAGGTAGCTGAACTAATAAACCCAGTCGGCTGAAATAGATGAATACAGATGATTTAATAACAGGTAGGTTTCTAGTTCACAGGTACAGCTGAACTAATAGATTTCAGCCTCAATGTGCTGAAAAGCCAATTTATCATTTTTGTCACTAAAACATATGCATTATGCATGAGCTAAATCGGCCTATTACAAGTCTATATTTAGGCGTCAGATGTTATAGAAATTATTAATTAGACCTTTATTTAGATGACAAGCTTCTAATTAACTCTGTAGACCCATGGATGGCTTGGATACAGTTTGGATTTAAACAGTCGTCCATTAAAAATTAAATCAATAAATGGCGGATCAAGCTAACGTTTACCGTTAGTCGCTGATGTCACTATGTTACTTGATAATCGAGAATATGTGGGTGGAGTTATCATCTGTCAATCAAACGATTGCCAATTTTCATAGACAGTGCATACCGTGCAGAGACAGTTGATGCCTATTTCTAGTCCAAACTTTCAACAGTGACAATTCCGTTCATTACATAGTAATTTGACTGAAATTTTCAACATTTTCTTTTTTTATCATCTATTTTTTAATTATTATAGCAAGAATGGCCAACTCTTTATAAAACTTTTTTAACTAATGTATCTTTAAATTCATTCAGAAGAGTTCAAAGTTCTACTAATATAGGCTATTGCCTGTTCCCCAATCCCTATTCAGATAAAAATCGGAATAAAAAATTGTTTAAAAATAAACACCAAGAAGACCCAGGCAGTTATTAACGACCTTTTACATCCCTTGGACCCTGTGAGAAAGGTATACATGTATAGATAGACTAGTAGCAAAAATAGAGTAGGTATAAATGAAGTGTGATGCAAATGAAATGAAATGAAATGGGGTTTAACGTCCTACTGTTCTGCTCCAAACTGGGCTACACTGTAACGTTGATATCGTTGACTAAGCAACAAATAACTGTTATAAATGAAAATATACGACACTAATAGAACAAAGTCATCAGTTTATATACATAATGTGTATTAGTTAGTTAAAATTGTTAGTAACCAGGCAGTAGTCATTAAGTAGGTGTTTTGTCACTAAGGTGTTAAAACTGTGACTATTGAATGATATACACCACTATTGGTTAGGTTTGTGTATTCAATAGTGATGGGTGTTATAAATAGTGGCATCTATTACAGCTAGTTACACAACTGCTAATTAATGACAACTGTATAATTTCTAACCACTTTCTATACATACTAAACATTAGTTTAGAATACTAACCACTTATATGAGTTAATGACAATAATTGTCATTACTAAAAGGCCTAGGCTTCATTAGTCAACGGTATCAGCTTACACGTGCTAATGAAGACGAGCATACGCCATACAGTATGCTATGAATGAAATTTTGCCCTGACAGCAGCACTACGGCCTACTCTTATATCAAATTCCAACTGTCAAGGGATCTTTTATGTGCACGCCAATGTGTACACGAGACCTCAGTTTTCGTACCATCCGAACGACTAGACAGGTGTCCTTGTCAGGCCCTCCGTCCTGCATCACTGACAAGGGGGAACCACGCCGGAAAATCTGGATGAACTTTCTCGGCCAATGCAGGGATCGAACAAAGTGTGATGCAACACACCCACATTAACTATTTGGACATCTACCTCCCCACCCCTCCTCCCTTATAAAAACTTGTGAATACAGGATTGATAATGAATAAAAATGATTTTATTCTGATGAATAAACAATTTCCTGGATTCTCCTGATTTTTTTTATACCTGGGAGTTGACACAATCTGATTAAAACACAGATCCTATTTCGTTTCAATTTTTATAGTTCAAATTTCGTTTTAATTGTCTTCACAACACTAGGATCTGGAAGAGTTGATATATTATAGGAACTATAAAAAAAGAAACGAAATAGGATCTGTGTTTTAATCAGATTGGTTAAATGTATAGTGATTATAAATTTTAAATTTAATTTTAAACCCCAAATACTATCTTTTTTTTCGAAAAATACTGTCATAGTATGAAATCAAAATAACTACTACAATAGGTTGATGTATGTAGCGAGTTTCATCAACATATGTTGAATAGCTTTTTAAAATCTTGTCAGAAGCATTCTGTCACATTAGGCACACAGAACAGAATAATCTAGCAACTCTAGATATTGACAGACACACAGCACTTGTCATATTAACATTGCTGCTACACAAGGGATGAACAAACTTCAAATGACGTTAACAATGCATTAATAATTTAGATACAGCACTTGACTAGTCATAGATGTTGAAAATCGGCTGATCACTCAGAATACTGCTGACATTTTAATATCACAAAAAAAGAAAAAAATTCTGATAAATAGTCTGTGAGGAAGGTCGGTTCAAATTTCATGATTCTCCCCCAGGCCATTTTTAAATTTTTAATGATTCCATCTAAATGGCAAAACAGTAGGGTATATTAGTAATCGTTTTATATGGTTAAATTGTGTCTGGTCTGATCACAAACTGTAGACTGGTATTTCCAGTTGAATGATTACTGGCAAGAGAATTTATAAATAATGATCAGCACTAAAAATGCTCGTATTTCCAACCACCAGGGATTTCTCGTATTTCCAACCACCAGGGATTTAAGACAACATTTTACAGACATCCCATGTTTTCTAATAATAAGTGCTGGGGGACTGCACCACACATAATTTACACAAAACAAATCTACAGACAAGGCACAATACGCAGAAATCACAAACAAACGAACATGTCAAAATAAGTGAATGGATCAGGGAGCCAGCCGTAAGCGTCAACAGCCCTGTACAGTCCCAGGCCTGTAGTAGTGATACAGGGGCTTCACTGAATAGATCCGGGTGCTAGCCGTAAGCGTCCACTGCGCTGTACATTCCCGGGCCTGTAGTAATAGTCTTCACTCAAATTTGAAAACAATCAGGAATATAACCCCGAGAAAAACGTGTGATGTAGACCAACATCTTGTGAGATGAAATGAAATGAAAGTTTGGGGTTTTAAGTGCACTACAACTTGGGTATCATTTAGTTGTGTTGTTTATGCAGGAGTTTGTGTATTTAATGTTTAGCTTCAAACAGTTGTTGGAAAAATGTTCAAATCAGTTGAGAATCATAGAAAACCATTTTGTTTCTAATATAGTCATTCGGATTTCACAAAAAATTGAGGCCCCGTGTACACATTGAGTGCATTGACATGCACGTAAAAGATCCCTTGGCAGTTGGAATTCAATAAGAGTAGACAGTAGTGCCGCTGTTCGGGCAAAATTCCCTCATACATGTACCACTCTGCATGACGTATGCCTGTCTTCATTAGCCTAGTCGGAGCAGAACAGCAGGACATTAAACCCCATTTCATTTCATTTTATTTACTGCAGCATGGCAGCATGGTTTTTCATACCATCCAAAGGAAATGATGCTCTTCCTTGTCAGGCCCTCCACCCTTCAACATTGATAAAGGGATACCATGCTGAATGTGGTCATACTAAACGTTAAACCCTGTCTATCTACATGTAGCTCTGTTTGAGAACAGACACTAAACTAGGTGACCGCCATTTTAATTCCTAAATCGACGATTTAATTGTAAACATTAAGTATACTTCGAGAATTGTAAGAAGTATTTATTTCGCTTCCATTTAATAAAATAGAAAATGTTTATTTAGTCTTTGTGTGTAAAACCATACTAATTCTTATATATGGTGGCCATTTAGTGCAGAGATCTATTCTCCAAGTAGTCAGTTCTTTGTGTGCTAAATCCCAAGTGGTTTAACATTTACCTATGTATTCAAAAATACTGTGACAAAATATACTCTCGTAGTGGTATAAATCAAATGTGGATATTGAAAAATTCCAAAGAATTACTTGATGGTTTGCAATCTAGATCCCTTGCTTCAGTCTCATCTATTCAAACGTTTGACTTTTCTACTTTGTACACTAAAATTCCCCATAGTAAATTAAAAGCCCGGTTGAAAGACATTATTCACAGTGTCTTTTCGTCTAAATCAGGTACTGCGAGATGTCAATATTTAGTTGTAAATTACAATTTCACATATTTCGTTAAGAATCACAGTGATTCCAAAACAAATTCACGGCCATCAAGATAATTCAGATGTCGGATTTTTTAATTGACAACATCTTTGTTGAATTTGGAGGGGAAATATATCAGCAAGTGGTTGGCATTCCCATGGGCACCAACTGTGCACCGTTGCTTGCTGATCTGTTTCTCTATTCGTACGAAGCCGATTACATACAGACGCTCGTAAAAACTAATAAACGATCAGTCAGACTTTTTAATTTCACTTATCGATATATCGATGACGTTTTATCACTTAATAATCCTAAATTTAGTGATTATGTAGAATTCATATATCCTGATGAGCTCAAAATTAAAAACACCACTGACAGTGACAATTACGCTTCCTACTTGGATCTGCGTCTCGATTTTGACAATTGCCATAAACTGAGTGTTAAATTGTACGATAAACGTGATGACTTTGACTTTCCGATTGTTAACTTTCCATTTATTAGTAGTAACATTCCAATATCACCAGCTTATGGAGTGTTTGTGTCTCAGCTAATTCGTTACGCGAGAGCTTGTTCCTTTTATTCTGATTTTTTAAGTAGATCGAGGCATTTGTCATCTAAGCTTCAACTACAAGGATACTTGCGCACTAAACTTATTAAAACCTTTAAAAAGTTTTATGGCCGTCATATTGATTTGATTGGTAAATATAACGTGTCTCTCTCGGCTATTATTCTAGATATATTTAATTGACACGTATACTATTACTATCTCCCTGATAATATCTACTACATCGTTAACACAGTTCATCGCGTGCATTTTGCATACCGATAGTTCATTGGCCAATCACGCTATTTTACCGACATTTCGCCTAATAGTTTGGATGCAGCTATGGCGGGTGTGGCGCCAGGCAGGGTAAGCTTACTCTTCCGGACACCTGTTACCACTGTTTGTCGTGTAATTTGTACACGAGGAGCAGTCCATTTGCTGATTACACTATTTTGCTTGAATACACTATTTTGCCTATAACGTTTTTTAGGACTTCGAATTCTGTCTTATGGTTTGGATTGTTCGTACTTGGTTTTATTTTATTTTAAACGATTTTCATTTCAAAGTCTTAAAAGTGTAAAAAGCATAACAGAGAATTTCTAATGTCAGAGTGAGTCGCGAAAAACATTTAATGACATTTTAAAAAACAACACATTTACTTGTACTGAGAGGTGTTTAGACAGAATGTAATCGGATTAACACAGACATACAGACCTTTTAAAATGTCACACTGAATGAGAAAAACTTCACAACAAAATTCAAAAAGTCATATACAACAGAAAAAATGAAATGAAATGAAATGGGGGTTTAATATCCTACTTTTTCTGCTGCCAATGTGCTAATGATGATAGGCTTACGTTACATACTGTGCTATGAAATGAAATGAAATGGGGTTTTATGTCCTACTTTTCTGAGTGTGCTATGAGGAATATTTTGCCCAGACAGCGGCGATATGGGGCCTACTACCTACTGTTTGAATCTAACTGTCGAGGATTCCATTTGAACAACCAGGCACTGTTCCTTCCTGCAAACGTGCTAAACATGAAACCACGTTGGAAAATTCCAGGTTCAGGAGCCACGCTAACACACTACACCACTGCGGCCCAAAAACAAAAATAAATACTAAGATGAATAGTATGAAAATGTCCGCTAGATAAACCCTGTGAAATGTAGTAACAGGTCTTCCACAATATATTAAAACTTTATAACTATATATTTCATTTCATTTCTAACTTCTTTTATGTTTCTAACTTTCAGCCAACCAGGTGTATAGGATATTAACCTTGATTGAACTGAATTGAAAGAATTGCAATCAAGTGTATATTATAATATTGCACAGTATTTTGCCATGGTACATATTATAATATTCCACAGTATTATTTCAAGATATTTTAATATTCCATAGTTTTATACCATGGTATATTATAGTATTACACAGTATTATATCATGGTATATTATAGTATATTCTAATCAACTATTGTATATTATTTATATTACACAGTGAAGTAATCTATTTACTGTTAGAACCAGGAAGTACATGTTCAAACACCTTCATAATATGTGAGATAATCTCAATCTATCCAAATAGTTTTACCTCTCAGGATTTCCAAATGGTATATATGAACAGTATGTCAACAACTTCAAGAAAATGACATTTGCCTTTGGTATAAAATAAAATTGTGAAACTTCAATCAGTATTTTTATTAATCTTTGAGAGGCATTTAGTAACTGGATAGAGCAATAAAATATAACACATACTTATGAAACGACGTTCCGAAGAGTATTAGCTTGATAACGTTGAGAGATTACTCTTCGAAACATCGTCCAAATAAATAAGTAGCTGTTTTTCCATAAGTATGGACATAGTTTATTATTTTTATTGATATAATTGATTGGAAGTATTCTGTCTGTTTTGATAATGAGGTAGCTAGCATACTCTACATGTACATTAGATAACAAACCTCATCTCTCAACCCTCAGTGTTTTGAGATAAGAAATGGTGCTATATAGATCCACGTAGCAACCCCAATGCAAATCACATCGGGTCTCAGTAAGCAAAATTGACAAAGTTTTTAATCAAAACAATGACTGATTATTGTTATTTATATATAATATTTCTGCCACAACTACAATTAAACATATAATCCTATCAAAAATGGTATAAATCATCGTATTTAAAATCGAGGCGTTAAGCCGTTAATAGGAACGCCATTTTTAAACGGGTGATGTATGACGGTGTATGTCAGATAAAAACAACGCTTCATTAATTTAAACGCGAATATTTGGAGTTAGGCGAGAGTTGTGTCACTAAATTGGCCTCTGTAAGTTTAACTAGTTACAATAGTATAAAATTATCTTATTTTTAAGATGTTACATGCATTAATAAAGAAATTAAGGCACCCAATCGTAGCTAAAAACAAGCACGTGAGTATATCTAAATGGTTTTAACTTCATTAACCGTACGTAGCTAACCGTACATGTATGTGGTGGTAAATAGTCCTGCCTGTTTTAACTTTTTAATAATATTAAAATTCATCATTATTTTTATTTTATTTTTCATAATAATATAGTTGTTCAGATGGGACAGAAAACTGTCGTCCGGTGTACACATTGGCATGCACATAAAAGATCCCTTGGCAACTGGAATTCGATATAAGGGTAGACAGCAGCGCTGTCATAGCACTCTGTATGGTGAATGCCCATCTTCATTAACTCAGTCGGAGCAGCACAGTTAAACTTCGTTTCATTTTTTTTCGGTTTTTTTTTTTCATAATAAAAGTTATCACATTATAGAAACTGTGTCATAAAAGCTTTATGGTATATCATGGTGGAATATAAGTTTTATATCATACACCAATAAACAATGTAGAAAATAACTGGATTTTTAAAAAATGGGAGAGGAGGGAGTACGGTACTGTAATTTTTGCATATTTCTGACGTCATTTGTAAACAATATCATCCCCTTCACGAATGACGTAAACTGTAAACAATTAGTTTTATGACAGGCGCTTGATGCGTTGCGCGTGCTGCTCATGATGGGCTTATAACCCGTTGTAATCTCTCACCGAAACGAGGTCAAATAAAGAATTTTACAGTGACCTAGATACATTAATCAAAGTCGTCTAAACTAGGTTAATTATTACATACTCACCGTTTGTGAACGAATAACATTATGACCTAATACTATATGGTGACTCTCCCATCGTCTCAAATATTTGGAGTTCATTATTTTGCTTACGATGGTCCGTGTATGGTTCAATCGACACACTTGTATATCGCCCTCATTAATTAATTTACACTTAGGTCCGGCAGTTTTCATCGATAATGTTGTAGAACCGTAGTGTGTCGGGGTTCCTGGCAATGATGCCGGGTCCGTGGAACTGCTAGACACACAAGCATCAGGAAGAGTCGCCATCTTGAATCTCTTGGTCTAGCTTTGATAGTACATAGAGCAGACGACAACACAGAGATGAAGCGGTCACGTCGAGCTCTCCTAGAACTTAAATTCCTTTCGCTTAAAATCACATCTCACGCACATTAATAAACGGCTAAATATTCCACTGATATAAATTTAAAAAACACAAATAGTCGGAGAAAATTAAAACATCCTGATAATTAACAAACACAGAATATCACGGTACCTCCATTTGGCACGTTTTAGACAGATTTACGCTATGCTTCAGATCGTGGTCACGTGACATGACATTATGACGTTGGGGCACACGTTCAGTGTAGTAGATGATTAGTAAACGTCATAATGTGTGTCATGTCATTTAAATGATAATCGCCTATTAACTAAATATCTGTTATTGTTATAATCCCGTTAAATTACATATTAATAAGTCACGTATATAAACATCATACTGGTCGAGTAGTGAGGGCAAAGTCGATTATTATTAATAGAGCCAATTTTTTTTTATCGGAACACTAAAAATATTCCAGGTTTGGTTTATTTATTTTCATTATTCGGGATAAATTAATTGTCATATTATGTACGTGGCGCATAAAGGATTTTCTAGAGAGAGAGAGAGAGAGAGAGAGAGAGAGAGTCTACACAAATAATTTCACAAAGGGCGAGGGGGAGTGTGGGGGCGTGAATTCAATTTAAACCAGAAGATTGTTATCAACATCACGCGCCCCTGTTCATCAAAAACTAAGACAAATATGTTTCCATGGATACACACAATTGTTATATAATAGACGCGTGTACAAAGTTCCATAAAGACATTTTGACCGGGCGGTACCTATTAATACCCCTCTATAGCTTCGTTCAACACCGGATAAATACACAAACTGGAATAAAAAAAATCCATAGTTGTTATTTGAATTTTTTGGACAACGCCTTGAATGTCTGTTATTTTGGGGGTTTTTTTACGGCTTTATCTATATTGGGGATCACATGGCTAAGTGGGGAAGACGCTGGCTCGCTAGCCTGGAGGTCGGGTGTTCGATCCCTGCAATTGGCCGAGAAAGTTCATTCCGTTTTTCCGGTGTGGTTTCCCCTTGTCATTGATGCAGGACGGAGGGCCAATCTGAACGACAGACTCACCCTTCCTGCAGAGAAGTGACTCTGACACAGTGAATAGCCATGATATCCATATGACGTTATCTAAACGTCACAGGTCATGGGGTCACACCAACAAACAAATGTAAACACCATCATTATGATCATTATCAACATTACAAGACACAATGTTACATTGTAAACAATAGCCTTCTTGCAGCCTTAATAGGACTGTATAATCCGTACAGAACGTCTTATCGCTTCTTCCAATGATTTTCACAAAAATAACATCATCTACAACTCTAGATTTGACGTCGGCATATTGGCACTATTTTGTGCTTCGGTGTGTCTATTTCAGATATACACAATCAATTCTGTTAATGTTTTTAGCGTGGGGATTGACTAAAAGTTAATTTATTTCAGTTCTAAACGAAAATTTAAAACTTTAACGCAATTTTAAAAAAATAGCCAAATTCTGGCTGGGATTACTGAGCAAAATGGTCATTCACTGTATACGTGCGAAAAAAAAAGCCAGCAACCATTTAATTTTCGTACGTTAGTTACGTACGGACGGAGGGCCTGACAAGGACAGCTGTCTAGTCGTTCGGATGGGACGAAAAACCGAGGTCCCGTGTACACATTGGCGTGCACGTAAAAGATCCCCTGGCAGATGGAATTCGACACAAGAGTAGGCCGTAGCGCCGCTGCCCGGGCAAAATTTCCCTCATAGCACACTGTATGGCGTATGCCCGTCTGCATTAGCCCAGGTTAGGAGAGAACAGTAGGACGTTAAACCCCATTTCATTTCATTTCATGGCTTTATCTATTACGTAATATCTCAATCTGCCTATTGCAGTATCTTCTAAGGAGTGTTATATATGACTATATTTATAAACTAATTGCTTGATATAACTATGTATAATAAACCGGTGTATATTAGATATACCATACATACATTACATGAACACTGATATACGATATCTTATTCTGCATTGGGTCACCACCTCCGACTTTATGCTATAAACAGATTATAACAGGAAAACTTTTACACGATCTTTTATTTATATTGGGTTATCTATATTAACCCCTCTAAATAAAGCACACAAATTACTATCTTCCATATGACAGGCGAAATCGGGTCTAGAGTCCAACTGTTCTGCTCCGACTGGGCTATAATGAAGGCGGGCATACGCCAGTGTGCTTTGGGATCTTTTAGGTGAACGCCAATGTCTACCCGGGACCTCGGTTTTTCGTCCCATCCAAACGACTATACGTTGTCCATTACGGATTCCTCCCACTGCTAAAGACCCCTACACGCAAGTGAATCATTAAAATAAAAATTGAACCGTGTGTTAGTCCCGAAATTACATAGTTTGTGTCAAGTGGACTTTAAACTCTCTCTCACTCTCTTTCTTTCTATTTGTCTCGGGCCTCGGACAAACCCGGATTCGAACACGGAACCTCCACGTTAGCGAGCCACTGCGGATCCTGACAGGTGAGAGGTTTCCGTGTTGAATCTATTTCCTACCAGGTTAATAAAAAGACGCAGAAAATCTAATTGCAGGCAGCGACTTTTCCAAATGTCCAATCTGTACGTGCAGGCCTCAAGCGAGTATATATGTTTGTTCTATCTGAAGGTCACCATATGACCGGGAGTCACAGTGACTCAGCGAACAAGGGCTCGCTAACACAGGGGTCTGGGGTTCTATATTGGTTTTTCCTAAGAAAGTTGCCCGCTTGGTTTCCACAAGAAAATGGGTTGGTGCAGGACGGAGCGTTGCTAAGGAACAACGTCTGGTCACGTGTACAATTTGCGCGGCACATCAAAGAACCCATGACAGTTGGCCGTAGTGACATTCTTCTGGCAAAATGTCCTTCCTAGCACATTTGGTATTGAATGCCCGTTTTCATTATCCCGCGGGGTTGATGCAAAGAAGTAGGACCAGGGTCGTATTTAGCGGGGGTGCAGAAACTGCGCCCCCACCCCATCTAAAAAAAAAAAAAAAAAAAATTATTTGACAATCTTTCAATTATAAAATAATACACTTGATCATGATCACACAGTAATGCTCTTAAGGCACTGATCAATCGATCGGTTTTAAGGGCGCCCACACGGGTTCGTTTGCCCTGATCGAAACTTTCTTATATCACATACGTGGAGGCTATGGCGCCCCACCACTCTTCTACACCCCCACTTTTAAAATCCTACATACGGCCCTGCGCAGGACGTTAACTTCAAAATAGTACGCGGTGTTGCTGTTGTGGGTATCCCGATACAATCTATACAGCCTATATTCGCTGAATTATTTAGTGACAAATATAAACTGATTGCTGGATAAAAACTATTAGAAACAGTGCGTCAGGAGGCAGAATTCTGCGTCAAATCGGTTTTCTATAATGATTTATAAATGTCGAGGGAACAGGGTATAGTTTAGAACGTCAAAGACGTCAAGTTAGATTCCCCACGAGCCCAAGGATAACACTTTCTATGTGCCGTATTATAGTTGACACGATATTAAACCAACGCCTGAATCAATCTGTTTCACAGGAGTATTGCGAAAACGTCTAATACCTCTGTATAATATAGTAGGGTGAATTTGGACTCAATAGTAAATGTTTAATACGTCATGCTAATCCGCACAGTATTACATAATTCAGTCAATTATATTTGAATGGATCTTAATCCACCTTAATTACCACCCATTTATATCTACTTCATATTGTCTTATATATTTCATTAATCACCTGTCTCCAGTATTCTTTGTTTTAAACTTTAAATTGAGCTTATAAATTATAATTAACGTCTACGGGCTATAGCGTTTAGTTACCTGGGTATATTGTTTGTAGATTTATAGGATTAATACCCTGGGCGATGCATGGGGAATATAGACCCAAAATGACAGAATTTGGGAGAGCTGGCTACACACGTGTCTTGGGAGATCAACTTAGATCACATACCTAAGGACAGACCTTATTTACCTGTATTTGGAGACATAAGTTTATGTCAATTCCCATATCCACATTGGAGCTTATTTACTATTAAGCATTGGACCAATAATTGTTATATTAATTGTCTGTTGTGATATTTGTTGATTACTGTTTACCAAAGAATATAGAGAACTATTAACCACCATCAACAGTCTTGTCTTATTTTAATCAACAACAGAGATTCCAGAAAATACACGAAAAGTGCACTTGTACAATAAGATGATTGACCTTCAAATGCATACACGTGACATCATTTCATGCGGCGTCAATTATTGGCTTGAGGGCAAGTGCATTGTTTACATAACGTCAAGTGGTCCGGGTAAAATGATGTTTTTATTCATTTTATTTACACTAAATAGGACATTTTTTTTTAGCCAGAAATTCATGTAATTCAAACACCTTTATTTATTTTTCTAATATTTTTTTATAGAATATAATTTGCAGGTGGAAAACAGTTAATATTGCGAGCTAATTAACAAGCATCGATGTCATCGCTCTCAGTGCTTGTAGTGCGGCCTAGCCAATATTCACTGCTGACCAGTGTGCGCCTATAAAACAATGGTTAGATCTATTTGATGAGGCCAACTTCAAGTTTGGTCAAAGGTCGCGAGATGGCTAGCGCTAATCCCTAACCCTAATGCTTACCCTAACCCTAACCTACAATCTCGCCAACAATCACGTGCTCTAACCTTATTTACATCTCAGCGACCTTGACGTAAATTGAGTTGGCCTTAACAAATAGATTTAGCCCTAAATAATGTTATCAGAGTTCGAGGAAATCTTTCACTGTTATTAATGTTGTTCGTCAATTATCATTTGATTTGTAGTGGCGCGGAAACTATACTGTGAGTGAGTTGGGAGAATTTAAATTCTATATAGCGGGAGCGGTATTTGCGGTATCCTACGTGTAGAGTCATGTACCAGTATATATGCGGGAATATATACTGAGCGCCATGGAAAACGCATCACTTAGTTTTTCGTATAGCAAAATGATCCTGTAAACATATCTTACTTATTTTGCTTCTTATTGTGAACAATATTCAAATGGGAACACATCAATAACAACACATTTGTACACTTATGGATGTTTAATCTGTAATCAACGGTACAAAGTCAGAGGGGTCAAAACCAAAAGTACGACACAGATGTCAGTAGCGCGTGTGTCCTCCACGGGCTCTTACGCACGCAGGGAATTAACCAAAGTTTGAAAGAAGGCCTGGGGCATTAATTGTTCCATTCTTGGACAAGAGCAGCTTCTAAAGCAGCAATCGTGTGCATCTGTGGTCTCCGATACAGACGGCGTCCAATCTCATCCCAGACATGTTCTATCGGTGCCATGTCCGGATAAAGATGAAAGCGACTCTCATCACTGAAGAGCACACTTTGCCAGTCTACTCTTCTCCATGTCTGGTGTCCTTGAGCCCATATCAAACGCCGCTGACGGTGATGATCCCTGAGGATAGCTCCAACATAAGGTCGTCGTGCACGGAGTCCTACTTCTCTTAAACGACGTCTTACGGTGTTGGCACTTACTGGTCCTTGTCTTCCGACGACTGCTGCACCTGTTCGAGTCGCTGGGCGGAATCTGTCACGCAGATGAGTGACCCGGATGTAGCGGTCTTGAGCCTGGGTTGTAACGCGTTGTGGACCAGGACGTTGACGGTCACGTGTTGATCCAGTAACTCGAACACGTTCCACCAACCTTACAATAGTGAACTGATGACAATTGAAGTGTCTGGCAATAGCACGTGTAGACATGCCAGTCCTGGACATTCCCATGGCTTCATTCCGTTGATTTTCAGTAAGTCTCGGCATCTCTAGCTCGATTCCTTCACACGTCCAACAACAAATTACGACATATTGACGTTTCACAGTTCATGTACTGCACATTAAGTTGAAAACATGCTTTTAAAGGGCTCACACACAATGCTGCACGTTAATATTGGGGTTTTCATGTGCATCTCGTGCAATTTTTTTTGTGCACACGGGCCGATATTTTTTGCGTTTGGGAGCATTGTGTGAAACAATAGTTCATAGTATTGCATAATATTATACATACAAAACCACCTAGTAATAAAATATTTGGGAAAAAAAGTGATGAGTTTTCCATGGCGCTCAGCAGATCTACTGGATACCTGGTTAGATCTATTTGATAAGGCCAACTTCTAGTTTGGTCAAAGGTCACGAGATGGCTAGCGCTAATCCCAACCCTAACCCTAACCGGACCTAACCTACAATCTCGCCAACAATCACGTGCCCTAACCTTATTTACATCTCAGCGACCTTGACGAAAGTTTAGTTGACCTTAACAAATAGATTTAGCCCTGGATACCTAATCCTGTAAAGAAAGAGAAATGGGGTTTAGAGCCCACTCGACACAAGCTAGGTCATTTCGGGACTAACATATGGTTCAATTTTATTTCAATAATTCTTTAGCAGTGCGGGTAACCGGAGAAAACCCACGAGGTTGGACAAACGACCCTACTCCTTGTAACGTACAACCGGGGAATCGAAACCACGCCAGCTGACTCAATGGCAAACGTTATGATACAACGCGCACGCGCTAGCCATTGGGCCATCTAACCCCCACCTACTCCTATAAATGGCTGCAGGCCTACATGTTATAAGACTTGTCTGCGATATCACCTTTGGTGGAAGCGGACGTTAAACACTAAGAACAACAATGTTATATGGGTTCATTGTTCGAGACTACTCATATAGCTCTATTTTAAAGAATGCAAAATTACCTATCAACAAAAACTCAGAAAATGGAATTCATTTATAATACAGTACATTGTTTAAATTTGTTATCATTATCATCAGTTATCGTGATAAGTAATTTCCGCCGTTGGCAAACTTTCAAATGTGAGGTGGTGAATTTATAACCATGAGTGATTCGAAAATAAAATGAAATGGGGTTTAAGGTCCTACTGTTCTGCCCCGAACTGGGCTAATAAAGTGGGGCATATCATACAGTGTGCTATGAGGGAAATTTTGTCCAGACAGCGGTCTACTCTTATATCGAATTCCAACTGTTAAGCGATCTTTTACGTGCACGCCAATGTGTACACGGGTCCTCGTTTTCCGGGCCATTCGGACGACTAGGCAGCTGTCCTTGTCAGGCCCTCCGCTGCATCACTGACAAGGGGGGACAACGCTGGAAATCTTACCCACTTAGACACCGTGATCCTCTGGGTGATTCGAATGGGATATGTCAAAAAGATCGCTAGAAAAATGTGGGTTGGCAAAATATACCATTTTGCCGATCATCTGTAAAAACTGGCGGGAGAACGCCAACCCGGCCGACCGGGTTTCCGCGCTACTTTTGATGTCATAAACGTTTTATGTTTGTTTACGATGTCCGTGTATATTTGGTGTCTTGTCTAGCTGATGGGTTTTGTATCTGTTCAGGAGGACCCCGCCACAAAAAATTACACAAGTTTATTATTTATTTATTTTATTTTATGAAAATTTACAACTTAGTCAGAGTAATTTCGTTTCATAAAATATATTTACTTTTTATTTTTAGTGCAACCAGAACACTTCCTTTGCAGAAGTCTCCTTTAGCCAGTCCTTTACAACAAACAACATTTTATCACTGGTTAACCGAGTCTTCGAACTCAACTCCAGCAATGGTGGATTACTGACGTCTTTCCACTTGTTTCTTGTAATGTAGACAGAATTTTATCTTTAGGAACCCTAAAGAAGCTTGTGTGTCACCATGGCGCATATATTCCAAGGCCCCCTGAAGCGTTCAGCTGCCAAGTTCCTTCATCCTGCCCGATTTCAAGCCGTTGTGGGCATAACGCTCCCACAACAATCGGCGAACTTGACCTCCGTCAAAGGCATGCAGAGTGAAACATTGAAAAGTCGAGGGAAACCATGGAACTACGAAAAACATCCGTATAATCACTTTTATTTTTTTATCGATAATACACTAAAGAGATTTAACGATAATAGCAAGGTGATTGTCATTGATGGAAATATTGGTGTGGGCAAGACTGAATTCGGAAAAAAATTGGCTGAAGAATTTGACATGTACTTCTTCCCGGATATTGATTCCAATGATATTTTTAAAATAAAGAACCGTGACTTTGATGTTCGTATGGTTAATGATGTATTACCCGTTGACGTAAGATTCTGCGACATGCCAACATTTTATGAACAGAAGGTACCAAGACCACAGCTGTTGCGGTTCGGTTACACGCAATTGCAGATGTATAAAGCTCGCTACTTCAATTATCTAAAGGCTTTGGTGCATATTCTGAATACTGGACAGGGCGTCGTGGTTGAGAGGAGTGTTTTCTCTGACATGGTGTTTGTTGATGCTATGAGAAAATTCAAACATCTCACTCCCCCTGGTCATCGTCATCTCCACTATGCTAGAACAAATACGATCTGTGAGCTGTGGCGACCCCACCTGGTGGTATATTTAGATGCCCCTGTGTCACACGTAAGGGAGCAGATACAGAAACGAAACGTACCCTGGGAAGTCAAAAGCCCTGCTTTGACGGACGATTTCATTGCAGAAATAAGTAGTGTGTATAAAAACAAGTACCTCGAAGAAATGAAAACCAAGAGTGAAATTATCCAGTACAACGTCACTGACATGCCCGACTGGGAAATTATAGTCGAGGATTTTGAGGATGTCGATCTGGAGCCCCACCTGGATGCAGACCCCTTTAAGTTTGTCGATTGGATGTTAAGTGAGATTGCTGAAGAAGACTATTGTTCTTATAGATTCCACGTGTCTCAGACCGAAGAACACAACAGTCTTTTTTACTTTCACATACCTTTTGATGCCCCAGAAATGTTCTGGAATGGAGAGGATGCCCATCTGCTAAACAATTACATTGATCATGATCCTGCAGTAGAAACAGATCCAAACTACAGAGGATGGGGAGCTCTTTTCAAGTCACCATTTTAAGATTTAAGTTAGGATTATAAACTCTTCCCATAGTTTTAAATCACCATATTTGTGGGTATGGAAAATGGAAATGTTGACGACTATAATCTACTCCGATTGATCTTTGACTTTGTTCTAGTGCTTAATAACAGATTCTGTTGAAAGAAATACTATCTAATTTTGTTCAATGATAACTTAAGAAACTTTAAATTAATAAATGTGTGTGACATTAAAGCTATATTTTATATCAGGAGCTAAGTTGAGAAGACATACCTAGGTTGTATCATAGGTTTAATGCTTCCTGCACACAGAGAACTATAGGGAATAGATCTCTGCCCTTAATGCTTGCCGGTGGAGGGGGGATGGCCGAATGGTTAGCGTGTGCTCGTTGTATCATAACGTCAACTGACATGGTTACGATTCCCCGGTGGTAGGGTTGCCTGTCCAACCTCGTGGGTTTTCTCCGGTTTCCTCCCACTGCTAAAGAACCTATGCATAAGCAAATTATTAAAATAAAATTGAACCATATGTTAGTCCCAAAATGACCTAGTTTGTGTAAAGTGGATGTTAAACCCCATTTCTCTCTCTCTCTGTGTCTTTTAATGCACACCATATCCAAAATTTAGTATACTATTTGATAATGCGGTTTTACACCGTTTCACATCTGTTATACACACAAACATTAAATAAACCCTTTCCATTTTATTAAATGGAAGCGAATTAAATGCTTCTCAAAATTCAGGAAGTAAATGTATACTTATAGTATTGGTCAACAAGCTTATTTAGCGTCCATTCTCAAGCTGTTCTAATTGTAGACAGCATAGATTTAAAGTTAAAGTTTCTGAACCCCCTCTCAAATGAAAAAAAAAGTCTTGTGATTCTATGCGTTTTTCAGTCCTCTAATCATGTTGCTTAACAGTAGCTAGAAATCGACTTGAGGGTGTTCCACATAGTCAAACATTTCTACATCCCTCCCAACTCCCACACAACTGGACTCCTCTAATGATATCAATATATTTCCCACCCCCACTGCTGGACCATCTAACGATATAAATATTAGGATTTTGTGCTCAACAATCAGGAGGTACATGTACAGGGTTCGATCCTGGCTTGGGTTGGATTTGTTTCTGCACTGTCATAGTCGTTCGGATGGAATTAAGAACCAGGGCCCTGTTTCACGGAATTTTAGTACTTCAGTTTTGATTGGCTAAGCACTAAAATCAATCTAATATTATCCAATCAAATTACTAAAATTTGGATTGTATCTTCTTAGTTAAAATTTCGTGATACAGGGCCCAGTTTTACTGAAGATTTATAGGTGGTGCTTGTTTTGATTATATCCCGTTTGAATCGCCTGAAGGGGATGTCGTATATGCCCATCTTTGTTAGCCCAGTTGATACAGTAAAATGGGTGTAAACCCCAGTTCATGTCTGTAGTTTGCTGATATTTCTGGACTACCTGATAGATGTTAAAGGGAGACAACCACGCTTATTTGGATTCAGACTAGTAATTATCTTCCCAATTGCTTTAATACTAAATCTACATAATTTCTTGGCTTGTAACATTCTCTTAATTTAACCTTTATAACCACAAAGAACCAAACATGTGACAATCATCTGATGGGGATTGACCATCTCAATCGCCCGGTCAAATGAATATATACAGTGACAGTTCATGAGACTTCAGGACCCGAGTGACAAGATGACACTCTAAGAGGGGGGGTCCGGCCCTGAGAAAATTTTCGAGAGAGAGAGAGAGAAATGGGGTTTAACGTCCACTCGACACAAACTAGGTCATTTCGGGACTAACACATGGTTTAATTTTACTTCAATAATTCGCTTGCGCGTAGGGGTCTTTAGCAGTGGGAGGAAACCGGAGGACCCGGAGAAAACCGACGAGGTTGGACAGGCGACCCTATTCCTTGTCATGTACAACCGGGGATTCGAAACCACGCCAGTCGACTCAATGACAGACTTTATGATACAGCGCGCGCACGCTAACCATTCAGCCATCCAACCCCCCCGAATTTTCGACGTGAAATGGTGTTCTGTGAAGTATATCCCGGGCGGGAAGTACCCTACATCTAACCGCGGCTGTACGACAGTAAGTGTTACGTAGCTATACCCATACAATTGTAATTCGGCTACCAGTTTACTTATTAGAAAAACTTGCCGCTTTTAGAAAGAAGTTATCAAAATGGCGTTGTTCGAAGAGTCTGTAGAGGTTTCATTTCAAAGTTGTCCTTTGTTTAAAGTTACAATTTCATATTTTCTAAGAAAGTCAAAACATAATTATTTCTATGTCTTTTGCTCAATAGGTTGTCAACTCACTATTATACGATCATATGTTATCTTTCTCACACTTAAAAATCTTCACACCGGAAATAATAACACAATTACCTTGCAATTACCTCCCTTGTTTTCCTATCCCCCACCATGGAATAGCTATCTTCAACGTTTGAATTTGAAGTTGAAAATGATATTTTTGCCAATTTCTCAACTGGCAATAGTGAATTATAGAATAATAGGATTATTCTTTAACAAAGTAGGACTGTTTATAGATACCATCTATTTTAGGGCTTTATTTTAATACATTTTAAAAACAGTCTCAGACAATGAAAGCTTTGTATACAGTTCCTTGAGATAAAACACTCTGCTCAGGCGTCTTCATGATCGCCGCCATTTTTAATCTGGGAATTTGAAAGTGGTTCCAATGGCGGAATTCGTCATACAGCCGAGGCTAGATATAGAGTACTGGGATCCCCCAAGGTGTGCCGAATGATATAGTCGGTGACGGCGATTCCAGACTAATATTCCTCAAAATAATCATTGACTCAATGATAGAACTTTGATACAACGCACACGCGCTAACCATTCGCCCCCACCCCTCGTTCCCAATCTGTTCAGAAGAGTATGACGACATTAAATCTCATTTCATTTCGTTTAAGTAAATTGAATTTTTACGAGGTCTTTATCATTTCTCGGTAACGGACACAACATGATGGTGTTGACCAGACGTTAAATTACATTCGTCTCCTTTCTCGTGGAGGTGGCGACCCAGTTGAGGGAGTGGGGGATGGAGGGGGGGGGCGGAGGCTGTTGAGCATTAGATCTGTCATTGCCACGATTTCGATTCCAAGCTTGTGACCGACAAGGATACAGTGTGGCCTGTCAAACCTCGTGGGTTTTCTCCCGTTCCTAATAAAAACTACGCATTATCGAATTATTATATTAAAATTGTACCATATCTTACAATTACTTAGTATGCGTTGAGTGGGCGCTACCCCCACCCCCTCTCTCTTTGCTTCCAGACTAATATTCCTCAAAATAATCATGAATATTCAACAAGTCAACAAAAAGAGAGAATGGCTATAAATAGACGGGATACGATAGAAGATGAAGTAATAATATCTTAGTATTATGCCAGTCAGTAATACAGTTTGGGGCGTCACAAATAAAATATTTAGAGACCTTTATAGCTAACAAGGGGTATATATCTTTACCGCACTACTTTTCTTCACCAAACAGAATACGGCATACAGTGAGCTATGTGGGAAATTTTGAAGAAAGGCTAGACGCTTGTGCCTTGTCAGGCCCTCAGTCTTGCACAGTTGATAGGGGTAAAGCACACTTGATAATACCCGTGAACCTTCTCGGCTAACACCGGGATCGAACCCAAACCTTCTGGTTAGCGAGCCAACACCTTACTCAGTACTCACTGAACTGAGTCACCGCGGATCCCTATATAGCTGGTGTCCCTACGTCGTCTAAAGGAATATGCGAACTAATACGATTTCATCTGTACAGAATCTGTCTAAATAAAATCAAAGATGTCCGTGTCTACGTTCGTCCATCACGCTTCGTGGCTGTTACCTTACCTACCCCCCCCCCCCCCACACGTGATATCAACCAGTATGATCCCGTCAATGTTTTAGGTCATCGAATTTGGGCCCCGGGCGAATAACGCTTCGCCGGAGCTTTCTAACCCCACATTGAGGAAAGTTACCTGCCTTACATCGTGGATCGTCATCTGGGGGAATCGACCACTTCTTGTTTTTACCTGAAGTGGCTAGACAATGATTTGTTTTTAAATTTGATTTTTCCTTTATTGAACACTGTATATACTTCGGTTTTTTTTTTTAAAAAATATAAAGTTTCAACCGTTGTTTTATTGTGGGTTTTAGTCAGGGAGGAAACGACCACTGACTAGACAATTGTTGTTAAATTTGAAGATTTAAATGTGATTCTGATCGATACGGTATATTATGACATTGAAAAGTAAAACATATTTTGTGAACAATCGCTGATGAGAAAAATATAGTCTACTTGATTTTGAAAGGCCCGTTGTCCAAGTGCGTGTTTATGCGGCGTTTATGCGGCGTTTTCGCCGTAGAAATAGTCGATCTAACGCTAATGGAATGGGACTGTTTCCGTATAACCGGCACAAACGCGTACATAGAAAAGGGGCCTAATGGTTATTTCGGCCATCTAAAATTTCTGAACGGGATGTCACATTGAAAAGAGAGAAAAAAAAAGTTTAGAAATTTTGAAATTCGGCAAATATTTCCCTGAACCAGCCACAGTTCTCTGCTGTTTGATCGTATGTTTCTATAATGGTGGAGTCCGGCAGGAAACGCCCCTCCTTATCCTGGTAATTCAACATATTCTCAGCTATTTTCTCCGCCATTTCCTTGTAGGCTTTCTCTTTTGTTACGGCGGCAAATAACGCAGCGCCATACATGACCTGAAATAAAATATAAAGGGGTTTAACGACCTAATATTCTTTACCAGTCAGACTTGGGGGTGGGGCGAATGGTTAACGCGTGCGTGTTGTATCCGACGGTCTGTCATTAAGTCAAGTGGCGTGGTTTCGATTCTCCGCTAGTTTTGTGTCGAGTGGACGTTACCCCCCTCTCTCTCTCTCCCTCTCTCTCTCTCTCTCCAATCAGGCTTATGAAAATGGGCACACTTTATGCAATTTTGCCAGGGCAGCGGCTTTTCCGTTTACTCATAATCGAATTCCGATTGTCAAGGGATCTTTTACGTGCACGCCTACTTGTAAACGAGTTCTGGGATTTCCCTGCCCTTTATGAAGGGATTCTACGCTGGGGAATAATGAGAAACTTTCTCGGCCAACGACAGGGTTTAACCCCGGACCTCCAGATAGAATCAGCCCAGAGTGTGGCGGAGGAGGAGGAGGAGGAGGAGGGGGGGGGGACTAACAAATATAAATACAGATAAACCCCGACAGGGTTGAACCCCGGACCTCCAGATAGAATCAGCCCAGAGTGTGGCGGAGGAGGAGGAGGGGGGAGGGGAACTAACAAATATAAATACAGATAAACCCCGACAGGGTTGAACCCCGGACCTCCAGATAGAATCAGCTCAGAGTGTGGCGGAGGAGGGGAACTAACAAATATAAATACCAATAACATATCAATTCCGTAGACAGCTCCACCTCGTGCTCCCCGTCCAATAGGAATGTATAGGGACTTATCCTTCGTCAGTCACACATGTGAAATGAAATGGCGTTTAACACCCTATTGTTCTGTCCCGACTGGGCTAATGAAGACGGGGTCAAACAGGTGCTACACCTTAATAAGAGATGGTCGGGCATTCAACATCCCCAAGAAATTTTCACTGCTCATGCATGAATACAATCTGATAAGGCTAATAACAGATGTTTTTTTCAATTCGTATTTCGTTTTCTAACGTTTAATATTCCGTATTTTGTGTTTTACCAGACTCCATTTTACTTATAAAACTCTGACAAGTTCTATCATTGTGTTATGTTCTTGGTTGTGAACTATGAACAACCAATGAAAACGTTTTACTATCACCGATCTAATTATAGAGCATGGGTAGGCTAATACACAATCTGTTTGTCTACCACTCACATTCTCAATGACGTCACCCCCTTAGTAACCGCCCTTAAAATGTATAAACTACCTTGTGACTTTTATTATATGTGTAGACAGGAGCCCCACAAGAAACTGTGAATTCCAGGATAGTTCTAGCTGTAACCATATACTTCTCATCCCGTGTCGCGAGATACAACTTGACCAGAAACATAACTGGGTAACCAAGGTGATAGTACCGCTGATTCGGCGCATCTCTTTTACAAGTGAAGAAATCTCTCTTGTCATCCGGGATACCATCTATGAACAAATCTCCAGTGTCTCCGCGAATTTTTAAGAAAAACTCGTCGTCCATTCTCGGTTGAAGATCAACAACTTTCTTGATAAAGTTTCCACATTCTACAGCAGTTGATATGTCTGTCGATTAAATAAGTTAAATTACAAATGTTCAGGACATTTTAACAATAAAAAGTAGAATTTATTACAACTGCCGTTCAGGTGGGAAGACAAACCAACCCAAAGGCTATGAAATGGCTGTTGAGCATTAGATCTGTCATTGCCACGATTTCGATTCCAAGCTTGTGACCGACAAGGATACAGTGTGGCCTGTCAAACCTCGTGGGTTTTCTCCCGTTCCTAATAAAAACTACGCATTATCGAATTATTATATTAAAATTGTACCATATCTTACAATTACTTAGTATGCGTTGAGTGGGCGCTACCCCCACCCCCTCTCTCTTTGCTTCCAGACTAATATTCCTCAAAATAATCATGAATATTCAACAAGTCAACAAAAAGAGAGAATGGCTATAAATAGACGGGATACGATAGAAGATGAAGTAATAATATCTTAGTATTATGCCAGTCAGTAATACAGTTTGGGGCGTCACAAATAATATATTTAGAGACCTTTATAGCTAACAAGGGGTATATATCTTTACCGCACTACTTTTCTTCACCAAACAGAATACGGCATACAGTGAGCTATGTGGGAAATTTTGAAGAAAGGCTAGACGCTTGTGCCTTGTCAGGCCCTCAGTCTTGCACAGTTGATAGGGGTAAAGCACACTTGATAATACCCGTGAACCTTCTCGGCTAACACCGGGATCGAACCCAAACCTTCTGGTTAGCGAGCCAACACCTTACTCAGTACTCACTGAACTGAGTCACCGCGGATCCCTATATAACTGGTGTCCCTACGTCGTCTAAAGGAATATGCGAACTAATACGATTTCATCTGTACAGAATCTGTCTAAATAAAATCAAAGATGTCCGTGTTTACGTTCGTCCATCACGCTTCGTGGCTGTTACCTTACCTACCCCCCCCCCCCCCCACACACACGTGATATCAAATTAACCAGTATGATCCCGTCAATGTTTTAGGTCATCGAATTTGGGCCCCGGGCGAATAACGCTTCGCCGGAGCTTTCTAACCCCACATTGAGGAAAGTTACCTGCCTAACATCGTGGATCGTCATCTGGGGGAATCGACCACTTCTTGTTTTTACCTGAAGTGGCTAGACAATGATTTGTTTTTAAATTTGATTTTTCCTTTATTTAACACTGTACATACTTCGGTTTTTTTTTAAAAAAATATAAAGTTTCAACCGTTGTTTTATTGTGGGTTTTAGTCAGGGAGGAAACGACCACTGACTAGACAATTGTTGTTAAATTTGAAGATTTAAAGGGTGATTCTGATCGATACGGTATATTATGACATTGAAAAGTAAAACATATTTTGTGAACAATCGCTGATGAGAAAAATATAGTCTACTTGATTTTGAAAGGCCCGTTGTCCAAGTGCGTGTTTATGCGGCGTATTCGCCGTAGAAATAGTCGATCTAACGCTAATGTAATGGGACTGTTTCCGTATAACCGGCACAAACGCGTACATAGAAAAGGGGCCTAATGGTTATTTCGGCCATCTAAAATTTCTGAACGGGATGTCACATTGAAAAGAGAGAAAAAAAAAGTTTAGAAATTTTGAAATTCGGCAAATATTTCCCTGAACCAGCCACAGTTCTCTGCTGTTTGATCGTATGTTTCTATAATGGTGGAGTCCGGCAGGAAACGCCCCTCCTTATCCTGGTAATTCAACATATTCTCAGCTATTTTCTCCGCCATTTCCTTGTAGGCTTTCTCTTTTGTTACGGCGGCAAATAACGCAGCGCCATACATGACCTGAAATAAAATATAAAGGGGTTTAACGACCTAATATTCTTTACCAGTCAGACTTGGGGGTGGGGCGAATGGTTAACGCGTGCGTGTTGTATCCGACGGTCTGTCATTAAGTCAAGTGGCGTGGTTTCGATTCTCCGCTAGTTTTGTGTCGAGTGGACGTTACCCCCTCTCTCTCTCTCCCTCTCTCTCTCTCTCTCTCTCTCTCTCCAATCAGGCTTATGAAAATGGGCACACTTTATGCAATTTTGCCAGGGCAGCGGCTTTTCCGTTTACTCATAATCGAATTCCGATTGTCAAGGGATCTTTTACGTGCACGCCTACTTGTAAACGAGTTCTGGGATTCTCCGCTAGTTTTGTGTCGAGTGGACGTTACCCCCTCTCTCTCTCTCCCTCTCTCTCTCTCTCTCTCTCTCCAATCAGGCTTATGAAAATGGGCACACTTTATGCAATTTTGCCAGGGCAGCGGCTTTTCCGTTTACTCATAATCGAATTCCGATTGTCAAGGGATCTTTTACGTGCACGCCTACGTGTAAACGAGTTCTGGGATTTCCCTGCCCTTTATGAAGGGATTCTACGCTGGGGAATAATGAGAAACTTTCTCGGCCAACGACAGGGTTTAACCCCGGACCTCCAGATAGAATCAGCTCAGTCGAGTGTGGCGGAGGAGGGGGAGGGGAGGGGGGAACTAACAAATATAAATACAGATAAACCCCGACAGGGTTGAACCCCGGACCTCCAGATAGAATCAGCTCAGAGTGTGGCGGAGGAGGGGAACTAACAAATATAAATACCAATAACATATCAATTCCGTAGACAGCTCCACCTCGTGCTCCCCGTCCAATAGGAATGGATAGGGACTTATCCTTCGTCAGTCACACATGTGAAATGAAATGGCGTTTAACACCCTATTGTTCTGTCCCGACTGGGCTAATGAAGACGGGGTCAAACAGGTGCTACACCTTAATAAGAGATGGTCGCGCATTCAACATCCCCAAGAAATTTTCACTGCTCATGCATGAATACAATCTGATTAGGCTAATAACAGATGTTTTTTTCAATTCGTATTTCGTTTTCTAACGTTTAATATTCCGTATTTTGTGTTTTACCAGACTCCATTTTACTTATAAAACTCTGACAAGTTCTATCATTGTGTTATGTTCTTGGTTGTGTACTTTGAACAACCAATGAAAACGTTTTACTATCACCGATCTAATTATAGAGCATGGGTAGGCTAATACACAATCTGTTTGTCTACCACTCACATTCTCAATGACGTCACCCCCTTAGTAACCGCCCTTAAAATGTATAAACTACCTTGTGACTTTTATTATATGTGTAGACAGGAGCCCCACAAGAAACTGTGAATTCCAGGATAGTTCTAGCTGTAACCATATACTTCTCATCCCGTGTCGCGAGATACAACTTGACCAGAAACATAACTGGGTAACCAAGGTGATAGTACCGCTGATTCGGCGCATCTCTTTTACAAGTGAAGAAATCTCTCTTGTCACCCGGGATACCATCTATGAACAAATCTCCAGTGTCTCCGCGAATTTTTAAGAAAAACTCGTCGTCCATTCTCGGTTGAAGATCAACAACTTTCTTGATAAAGTTTCCACATTCTACAGCAGTTGATATGTCTGTCGATTAAATAAGTTAAATTACAAATGTTCAGGACATTTTAACAATAAAAAGTAGAATTTATTACAACTGCCGTTCAGGTGGGAAGACAAACCAACCCAAAGGCTATGAAATGGCCGACTACTCTGCTTAAATTATCGTGCTGTGTACGTAGTCAATAAAGTAGCCATTACACAATTGCAAGCAAATTTGACCGTGGATGGGTTTGTTCTAAATGATAAGGCCAGCTGAATTTTTCGTCATAGGTCACGAGATGTAAACAGGGCTAATGCTAACCCCAATGCTTACCTTAACCCTAATCTACAGTCTCGCCAACAATCACGTGTCCTAACCTTATTAACATCTCAGCGACCTTGACAAAAAATGAGTTGGCCTTAGCAAATAGATTTAACACCGTGGATGCCGGTTTGGACACTTTACCCCAAAACGCACGAATACGCCTTTAACCAAGAAAATGGAGACGATAACATTTTGTACTGACTCCTCCATTTCGCAATATGCCGGATTACTGGCTTTTCCTACAAGACGCTTGTCTCCGATATTACTCCGTGGAAGCGGACGAAAAGCCCCAGAAGACGAATAAGAAGAAGGATATGGCTGAAGAATTATAAATAAATTTGCTCACCACCAAAAAATAACATGATGAATCCAACATGGGCGGCGTAGAAAGAACAAAGAGTCTGTTCCAGGCCCTTTCCACCACCATCACTTCTATAAGGTTCATACCAGGTGAAGGCCTTCTGGACGGGATTGTAGAATGTTCTCATGTAATTTATGGCGGGAATGGCTATGTCATATCTTCCCGCTCTTTGTGCCGCCATGGCAATCCACCCATTAGTATAGCCCCATAAGTAAGATATGTGCCAATCGTCGGTTTTCCCTTTCCAGCCCTTAATTTCTGGATGAGACAAAAAGTCGCCATTGGGTTGTAGGAATCGTTCCTTAATAAAATCCAACATTCTCTTAGCTTCCCCGGCATAACCTTCAAACAGCAGCTGAGTGGGAACTTTATAAATGGCGCCCAAGTCATCCTTTATCCTGGGGTCTCGGAACTGACCGTTCGGTTGTATTTCCCCAGCCAGAAACTTGACAGCCCGTTTACTGGCTTCTCGGTACCGATCCAATGCCATGGTAACGCTCTAACACTGAAACAAACAAATGAAATGAAATAGGTTTTAACATCCTACTGTTCTGCTCCGATTGGGCTAATGAAGACGGACATACGTCATACAGTGTGCTACTCCTACATCGAATTCCAACTGTCAAGGGATCTTTTACGTGCACGCCAATATGTACACGGAACCTCGGTTTTTCGTCCCATTCGAATGACACGCGACCTCCAGATAACAAATGAAATGAAATGGTGTTTGATGTCCTACGTTTCTTCACAATCTGGAATCGTGAAGACGGCCATACGTCATGTATTACAACGAGGAATTTTGCCCGGGAGGCGCCGTTCAGCAGTCAATGGTTCTTTTAATGCCTACCGACCTGTATAGGCTACTGGTGTACCTCGCTGTTTTCTTCCCCTCCGAATAACTAGACATTGTTCCTTGTCCGTGTTTCACTCATTGATTTTATTCATTAGATTAATTATTTTTCTTTAAGACTCTCGGCCCTGAATATGAAACCTGAACCAACAAATAAATGAGAAATGGTACAACACAGTGTTTATTATAGAGATAATGAGCATACCCTAACCAGTGCACAACACCAACTACAACAAATATATGATTGATTCACATAACTAATGTCGGTTGTACCTGTTCTAGTTACGCCATATTTAGACATCTTACCTGGAAATTGTTGACAATAAAACTGACTTTATCTCAGATAAATGGAAAATATCTACCTGATTCAGGTTGTCACGTGATCATAAGAGGCGGATATAGTGAAGGAAACGGGGGAGCCGTCTCAGGGGAATCAAGGCAAAAATAAAATGGGATGTAAAGTCCTGCTGTTCTGCTCAAACTGGGCAAATGATGACGGGCATACGCCTTACAGTGTGCTATGAGGGAAATTTTGCCCGGGCAGCGGCTCTACGGCCTACTCTTATATCGAATTCCAACTGCCAAGGGATCTTAAACGTGCACGTAAATATGCACACGGGGCCTCTGTTTTCCGTCCCATCCAAACAACTATACGTTGTCCATTGTCAGACCCTCTGTCCTACACCAGTGACAAGTGGAAACCATGCGGGAAAATCGGAGATGGGGGAGAATCTAGCAGGGTGAAAAAGAAATGGGGTTTAACGAAGTTGGACATACACCATGTTGTGTGCTACTAGGAATATTTTTCCCGGACGGCGGCGTTTCGTCCCATCCAAACGACTAGACGCTGTTGACATAGTATCGGGTTATGGAATGACGAGGACAATTCGACAACTAGGTCATTTCGGGACTAACATATGGTTCAATTTTATTTCAATAATTCGCTTGCGCGTACAGATTGGGTCGGAGTGGGAGTAAACCGGATGACCCGGAGAAAACCCACGAGATTGACCAGGCGACCCTACTCATCGAAACCACGCCAATTGTCTCAATAACAGACCTCATGATCCAACCATTCGGTCAACCAGCCTCCCTCAAAAGAGCAGCGATGGCTTTCAGAGACCTGGATAGTGATGCTAGTTGTAAGATTCTGTGATGCGGTTGCTTGAAGGATCCGTTATAAGCGGCGTCTTGCCGAATTTTCTCGTGTCTCGTATGACACGGCCGAACTTAGTATACACCTTAGTCGAGGCCCCCACTAGATCTTGAGGCCCTGGGCAGGTAAATCGGACACTCGACGAAGTATACAGAATCTTAACAGGTTTCTATTTTTTATGCATACCACGTGAAGATGTTTGCTTATGTTTATAAGATCCGACCGATCATTCCTCGTAGCAAGAAACAAAATATAAATCTCAGTTTCATTTTATAGCTTTTGTTCTTCCTTTATAGTACAATTTAACACGGTAAAGTCAAAAAATAAGAGCCAACTGCAGGTTTCGTCAAGATCAGGGCCAGGACACGTGATTGTTGACGAGATCGTGGGTTTGGGTAAGGACTAGGGTTAGAGTTAGCCCTGTTTACATCTCGTGACATCTGAATAAATCTGCAGTTGGCCTTTTTAGACCCAATCCATAAGATACGTAGAATTTATGCTAACCCGTGTGGGGCGCCAAGTGTTATTAGCTCTGACACCACTGGGTGCAGACAACTCTTAACACTCAACTGAGAATAAAGTCGAGTAAACGTTGACCCCAATCTCATCTTTATTTCATAAAATAATATATCTTAAAGTCATTTATGATAAGATAAAGTACAAATATAAAAAAAAATGTTGAATCGACAGGTTTGATTTTGTGATAAATAATATTGATAACGGTTTGATAATCGTTGTATAATCACTTCATCACGTCTGTTATTCTCAGTGGTGTAGATAGGGGGTCGGACAAGGACAACTGTCTAGTTGTTCGGATGGGACAACAAACCGAGGTCCCATGTACACACATTGACTTGCACGTAAAAGAACCCTTGACATTTGGAATTGGAAATAAGAGTAGGCGGTAGCAAAATGTCCCTCAAAGCAGAATTCACGACGTACTTCATTAGCCCAATCGGTTCCGAGAGGGAGAGAGACAAATTGGGTTTAACGTCCACTTGACACAAACTAGGTCATTTTGGGACAAACATATGGTTTAATTTTTATTTCAATAATTCGCTTGCGCGTATGGTTCTTTAGCAGTGGGAGGAAACCGGAGGACCCGGAGAAAACCCACGAGGTTGGACAGGCGACCCTACTCCTTGCCACGTACAACCGGGGATTCGAAACCACGCCAGTCGACTCAATGACAGACTTTATGATACAGCGCGCGCACGCTAACCATTCAGCCATCCACCCCCCCCACCCGTGCTCCGATAGGAGTAATGAAGACGGGTTTATGTCATTCATTATGATATAAAGAACATTTTGCACTGGCAGCGGCGCTACGACCTACTCTTATATCGAATTACAACTGCTAAGGGATCTTTTACATGCACGCCAATGTGTACACGTTTTTTCGTCCCATCCGAACGACTAGACAGCTGTTCTTGTCAGGCCCTGCGTTTTGCACCACTAACAGGGAGGAAACCATGCCGGGAAATTCGCTTGTGCGTAGGGGTATTTAGGGGTCTTTAGCTGTAGGGGTCTTTAGCTGTAGGAAGAAACCGGAAGACTCGGAGAAAAGACAGGGTTGTACAGACGACCCTACTCCTTGTCACGTACAACCGGGCAATCGAAACTACGTCAGTTGACTCAATGATAGACCTTATGATACAACGCACACGCGCTAACCATTCGCCCCCCACCCCTCGTCCCCAATCGGTTCAGAAGAGTATGACGACGAGGTCTTTATCATTTCTAGGTAACGACACAGCATGATGGTGTTGACGAGACGTTAAATTGAGGGAGTGGGGGATGGAAGGGGGGGGGGCAAGATGAGGGGCGGAGGCTGTTGAGCATTAGATTTGTCATTGCCACGAGTTTGATCCCAAGCTTTGTGACCGACAAGGATGTCTAACCTCGTGGGTTTTCTCCAGGACCTCCGGTTTCCTCCAGCTCCTAAGAAAAACTACGCATTATCGAATTATTATATTAAAATTGTACCATATGTTAGTCTCGAAACTACTTAGTATGCGTTAAGTGGGCGTTACCCCCACCCCCTCTCTCTTTGCTTCACAGTATTCACACTCCTACCAGGAGGATTTGTAGCGTGAGAAACACGGGGCTAACGCGACCACTGCACAGTGTATAGGCCTATCCCCAGATCACATCTGGTGATTGAGGGCCTAGATATAAAATAAAGATCAGCTGACGATATGATAACAGATATACAAGGTCGATTGTTGATTAACTTTTTATCTTTTATACACAGGTAACCTCTACAGGTAGACATAGTCTTTTTAACAGGTATGACCATTTTTGTTCCTCTTTAGAAAATAAGATCGTGAACCGAGATCCACTCTTTTAACTGATTTGAGCAAAGTAATCGTCGGTTTCAGTTCTGTATCTAGGAAGGAGCCATAAGTCTTGTTTTCGGCCATGTAGGTTTTTGAGAACGTTCTGACAGGTATTGTCATTGGTGGGCACCCTCTTTTACATGTATCTTACAAGATGGTTCAAACGCACTGACAAATAGAGGCTAAATACATGCGAGGTGACACTCAGTATCTATATGCGATACTGAGCTGTACATAGCCAGGTAATTAATCTAGGTCACCTTCAAGGTAAATAGGGCCGGCCAGGAGTCTGATTTGTCATTAATTAAACATACATTATGCAAGATTTAAATGTACCTATTGCAGGTCTTTCTTTAGGCCTGAAATCTTATCTAAATTATTACTTATAGTTACAATTTCATATTTTCTAAGAAAGTCAAAACATAATTATTTTTATGTCTTTTGCTCAGTAGGCTGTTATACGATCATGGGATATCTATCTTACACTTAAAAATCTTCACACCGGGAATAATAACACAATTACCTCCCTTGTTTTCCTATTCCCCACCATGGAATAACTATCTTCAAACGTTTGAATTTAAGTTGAAAATGATATTTTTGCCAATTTCTCAACTGGCAATAGTGACTTATAGGATTAATAGGATTATACTTTAACAAGGTAGAACTGTTTATAGATACCATATATTTTAGGGCTTTATTTTAATACATTTTAAAAATATAACTTAAAAATATGAAATTGTAACTTTAACATGACAAGACCATAATCAACTCTCGATGTCATCTGATGGGTCCCAATTTCCATTGACGATTAACTGCAGAAATGGATAATCGAGATTTTGTTTATTACCGTAACAATGGTAACAATGACAATCGAGGCTACAGTGTTATTAAAATGAGTATTTCTCGGCTCATAGTAAATAATATGACTGACGAATACTCTCAATAATAAAAAGTCAGCGTATTCTGTAGGGCATAATATTATCGGAATTTCAATAATTGGCTTGCACGCGCAGGGGTCTTGAGTAGTGGGAGAAAACTGGAGGACCCGGGGAAAAACCCACGAGGTTGGACAGGCGACTCTACTCCTTTGTCACGTACAACCTGCGAATCGAAACCACGCCAGTTGACTCAATGTAGACCTTATGATACAACGCGCACGCGCTAACCATTCGGCCATCTAACGCCCCTACGGTTGCTCAGTAAAAAAAACGTTTGCTCCGTAATCGAGCCCTGCGTTGGCCGACAAGGTCATCGGATTTTCCGCCGTGGTTGCACCTTGTCAGAGGTGCAGGACAGAGGGTCTGTCAAGGGACTACATATAGTCTTTCGGATGGGACGAAAAAACGAGGTCCAGTATACACAATGGCTTGCACGTAACATTTCCCTTGGCAGTTGGAATTCGATATAAGAGTAGGCTGTAGTCGAGATGGGATGTAGTTGAAATGGGAGGGTACCAGCAGAACAGTAGGACGTTAAATTCCATAATACTAAGAATTGGGGGTCGTTATTTTAGTAGGTATAGAGAATGGGGTACCGAGGTTCTAGTGAACTCCATAATTCTAAGAATTGGGATCGTTATTTTATAGTAGGTAGAGAAAATGGAGTACCGGGATTCTAGTGAACGAGCTGTCAAGTTCTTGGCTGAGAGACTAAACGAGAAGGGGCAACAACCGGAAGAGGATATGAGGAAGGAAGTATCGTCTATTTATAAACTACCCAATCAGTTATTGTTATCTGGTAGAGAAGCCTTGTGTATGAAGGTTTTAGATGATATTAAAAAAAGGTAAACTCCTCAATAATCAGTCGTTAATATGAATTGGAATCTTCTGGGATGCTGCTCGGGATGTTCGGGTTTCGATCCCGGCGTGGCTTCGACTTGTTTGCAGAAGAGGGTTGTGGTTCTCGTTGATATTAAAGAAAGGTATAGCTGTCCGTTGAAATTAATTAGGATCTTTCTACCGTGACTCAGTGAGTGAGACGATGGCTCGCTCTAGTTCTGTATTACTTCTGAAAGCCGCCGTGACTCAGTGAGTGAGACGATGGCTCGCTCTATTTCTGTATTACTTCTGGAAGCCCCCGTGACTCAGTGAGTGAGGTTGTAGTTGATTAACCGAGTGGTTCCGATATTGGCAGTGAAAGTTCCTCGGGGTTTTCCGGCAGAAACAGTGCCTAGTCGTTCGGAGGGAGCTGGCCTTAACAATTAGATTTAGCCCTGGATACCCACTCCTGTAAAGAGAGAGGGATGGGGTTCAACTTCCCCTCGCTACAAACTAGGTCATTTCCGGACTAACGTATGGTTCTATTTTATTTCAATAATTCGCTTGCGCGTAGGGGTCTTTAGCAGTGGGTGGAAACCGGAGGACCCGGAGAAAACCCACGAGGTTGGACAGGCGACCTACTCACGTACAACCGGGAAATCGAAAACAGTCCTTATGATACAAAGCGCACGTGCTAACCCTAACCATCTACCCCCCCTCCCCCCGCGAATCTAAAAATTTCAACCAAACATTATTGTGAGGTAGTGTGAAATTATAAAAATATCACACTGAATACATTATAATATAAAATGGAATTTATAAATAATTTCAGATTTTTGGCCCCAGATGGCGACTTCCTTTCATTCCCAGAGAAAACCGGCTGGCAGAGAAAGACATCGTTATGGCTTCTGGCTTATAACTGGCCATACGTGAACGGCTGGTTGACGGTGACTGCTCAACGTGCTGCTAGATATGACATATCCAGACCGGCATATAATTATATCTTAAATTTTTATAATCCCGTCCGAAATGGTTTCTTATGGCGGGAAGCCTACGACAGCTCAAAGGGTGGAAAGGGTATTGACCAATCCATATGTGCGTTTATGTGCGGTCACCTTGGTTACACCAGTTTGTTTATGGGAGGTAAGGTCGGTTTGTTTGTATTAGAAGTTGTACCTTGAATTAAAAGCATAGACTGGATAACCTGCTCTAATACGTCAGACTCGCTCCTATGTCAGAATAGCTCAGTGACGCAGGAACCAGCCTGACGTCATTTAGAGCAGGTTCTCCAATCTATTAAAAGCATCGCCATGTCAATTTGTGCCAGAAGGTATCTGACCACGTGCTTTACGGGGGCGATACTTTGGATTTGTAGGCCTATTTCGGAAGCCGAAGTTACTGGACACTTAGGAAGAGGATGGTATTAGTTTCAACAACTAATGTATAATGTAGTGAAACCAATAGTTGTAGCTTCACTTTCATTGACTATGGCAACTGCTAATATCATCTTCCTATCCAACGTGACTACGTTTCCGAAATCCAAATATAAAATAGCACTCCTTTTAAAGTTGCCATGGTAACACCAGTCATCACTGCCGGTTAGGTCTAGGGTTTTTAATACAGTTGATGAGACAACTTAGTACAACGTTAATATCAAATCAACGAACCGCGTTATTAATGACTAATATTGACCGTGGTCATTCTAATTTGTATCATAGGATTTGATTGGATAACACCAGGCCCGTATCTAGAGAGCCCCCCCCCCCCCCCCGTAAAGAAACGGTCGACCATTTAAAAAAATAGATATACATTGTCCGTAGATTTTACAGCACCACTGAGAACACTTCCCGCCCCCCCCCCCCGGCCCTGGATAACACATAATAAACTCGCCAGATAATCACCGTTTAAACCAAAGACAAAGATAACTTTGATCTCAATTTGATTTTCAGATTTTGATAGAGCAAGAGCAACTGCCGAAGTCTTATGTCGCTTTGTATCCAAGCAACCGAATCTCGATAAAGAGTTCCTAATAAAGATGGACGCCAGTACTGGCGAACTGATGTCGAGTGGCTGGAAAGACGAGGACAAAACCTTTTTCACGATTGATAGAAAGGAGGCTGATAATCGCTACTACCAGCTCGGTTTCCCAGTCATATTCTTACAAAAGATGTACTTAGCAACCGGTGAAAAGCATTTCCTAAACGCCGCATGCGCCATCTTGGATTTTGCAGACACGTGCCATCCGAATGTATATAAGTATTACAAGACGCATAAAGTTGGTTACGGTGCCGCTCTGGTTGCTAGGGCCACCGGAAATGAAAAGTACCGAACGATGGCCAAGAAGATTGCTGATAATATCCTGACATTCCAGGAACCAAGCGGCCTGTTTTTACCCGACTGTCCAATGCTAGAACGACTCGATCAATCAGCCGAATATTCGGGATGGTTACGAGAAATATATGTAGAATTGGACGGTTTTGTTGCCAAATAATTCTTTAAAGTAACGGTGCTCCATTGGCATTTTTCGCTAAATTATCAAATTTCTCACGGCGTAATCCACGCTAATATGTACTCAGATTGATTATTTATTATACAAAATACCACAGCTAGATAATATACCGGCTTGGATTCAATTAGGCCTATCATTAAATGATGGCGGGTTATTGCATAGCGAGCAGCATAGATTGACATATCTCTGTAACTACTGAACGGAATTGAACCATTATTGATTCACCTTTTACAATATTATAGTTTGTAAGTGATTCCTTTTGCTTAAAATGGCGCATCGGGACTTTAAAACGTCCAGAATTATAAGCCTGTAAATATATATTTTATAAAACCTGAAATCGTACTTGCCATCGAAAGCTCTAGCCTGATATTAGGCAGTTGGAAGAGAATAACGTCTGACTATAACATTCAGAACAGCGTCTAACTATAGGCCTAACATTCAGAACAACTCCCCTGACAACATTCAGAACAACTCCTGACTACAACATTCAGAACAACTCCTGACTATAACATTCAGAACAACGTCTAATTATAACATTCAGAACAAGCGTAATATTTTTACATTTATACAATCGAATGACTTGGTTTCCTTGACAACAAAATGTATTTATAAAGAAAGGTTAAACTATTTTAAAACTGTGTTCACTTGTTTGTAGACGCATGGTCCGTCTAGGCCATTTCGGGACTAACGCATGCATCAATTTTATATCAATAATTCGCTTGCGATTAGGGGCCTTTAGCTGTGTAAGGAAACCGGATGACTCGGAGAAAACCCACGGGGTTGAAGGAAAAACGGGAAACCTGGGGAAGGGCAAGTTTAGACATTTTCGATTCCCAAATGAAATATTTCAACAAAAATCTGAAGACTTATTTGAACAGATGATTGACTGTACACATGAACCTATAGTAAGTAAATGGGGCCCACAGCGGCTTAGTGTGTGTGGAAGTCCTGGGTTCGATCCCGAGACTGGCTGAGAAGGGATCTTTAAGAGATGGTCCACAAGGCTTCCCCCACTTGTGCAGGGCAGCAGGCATGGCAGGGAATAGTGTCTTGTCGGTTGGATGGGACGAAAAACAGATAACCGTTGACAGTTGGAAATCGAGAGAGAGAGATAGAGAGAGATGGGGTTTGTGTAGAAAGCAAGGTCCTCAACGAGCGAGAGAGAGAGAGAGAGAGAGAGAGAGAAAGGGGGGGGGTGTAGAAAACAAGGCCGTTAAAGAGAAGTGTTATCCGGTTGTTCTGCGAAATTAGATTAGATATGAGAGAGTTCCCTCGGACTGAGAGGTCAAGGTTAATTGTGACGACAAAAACTACTTCACTGATATAGTTTAGCTAAGGAATGAGAGATTAATCATAGATCAACAACAATAACCAAGATAACCTAATTAAATATAGATATATTTTAGTCAAATAAAAGGGCCAATACTATCTAAGGGAACAAGGCACTAGCTCACTAATCAGGAGTAGCCTACCTGAGGTTCGATCCCGGTGTCAGTACGAGGTCTAACGCATGCACTTTCGATCAAAGTATGTCGTTAGGTCAAGTGGCATGGTTTCAATCAACGATTGGTTTCCTTGACAACAATTTTAGACCCCTACTACAAGCGAATTATGTTGTGTTGAGGTGACATTAAGTGGCAATTTATTCGCAAATAAAAAATCTTTCAGCTTCCATAAGTAAGGGTTTGAAATCATCTAGTTGGCAAAATAAAGAAAGTGTCCGAAATCTAATAAAACACAAATTGTGAGGTTTTTAGCAGTGGGAGAAAATTTATAAAGTGTCGTCTATTTATAAACTACCCAATCAGTTATTGTTATCTGGTAGAGAAGCCTTGTGTATGAAGGTTTTAGATGATATTAAAGGACAATATTGGTGTCAGTCATTATCACATATGTGATAGAACTAATTAAACACGTTCCAAATATAATTTTAACAAGCTATATTGAGACATGGGCTCTGATATGGCACCATGATGAGAGAACAAGTCATAAAGAAATAGTTAGAAAGTGTGCGGATTAACCGATATGCCAGCAGACATTGCTCTTATAAATAGCTTCTTCTCTGGGCCCACACAAGGACACCAAACTCGGACATCCTAGACAATAAACGCAGTTGGTGATACATTTAATTTTATTATAGCACAGGGAGGTTTATAATTACCGGTATTTCAGCACAAGTATTATTTCTATAATCAATAAAAAAAATCATAATAAATCATTTACCTGGCCACATTATCAATAAATCATTTACCTGGCCACATAATCAATCATTTACCTGAACCAATACTTTACCGGGACCAATAATCAATAAATAATTTACCTGGCCATATAATCAATCATTTACCCGGACCAATATTTTACCTGGACCATTAATCGATAAACAAATCATTTACCTGGATAAATAATCAATAAATCAACCATAGGATGGGGTTAATAAATATTGAGCAACTGTCTGTGGTTTTAACATATTTTTCACATTTATTTTACAAGCTCTTGTACGACCATATTTAAAGAAAGATTAGAAGCTCTGATTGGACCGTATACACAAAATTGAGTCAGGCATCCCCTACTCATACGCGTGGGATAAAAACCCATGTCTTAGATTAGCAATGGCTTCTTATAATTGGCAATATACCTAATATCCTAACAGGTATATTTTCATTAAACATGCATTATTCAAGAGCTAAATCTGCCTACTGCTGGTCTTTCTTTAGGTATGAAATGTTATCTTAATTATTAATTAGACATTAATTAACTTTTCCAGACCATAATCAACTCTTGATGCCATCGGATGGCTGGGATATAAGTAGATTTAAATATGGTATGTGGTGGATGCAGTTACCGTAAACTAGATAATCGAGACTTTGTTTATTATCGTAACAACGGTAGTAATAAAAATCGAACCTAAGCCATAATTGTATTGCCAATATCTAGGCTCAGAGTGAAGTAATTTGACTGAGATTTTCAGCATATTCTCTTTTCATTATCTTTATTTTAACTATTATAGCGAGAAATGTCAGCTCTTTATCTAAATCTTCTTCCTTACATTGGATTCATTAGCAGAATGTTTATTTCATTCATATGTACCAAGAGTATTTGCTGTATGAAATATTTAATCTCTACCAATCGGCTAGATTAAACATCAATTGGCTAAAGCCGACAAAAAAACAGCAATAAGAACACTGTATTTAATCTCTACGTGGACTAGTAATATTTATGGCAAGACTAAGTCTGAATTCTCGGACTATATTATAACAGACTGTGTATTCTGATGCTAGATCTGAGCTTCTAAAATAGTGGGAATTTCAGATCTTATTTTAGCCAAAGACATGGGTGAGGGTGGGGTTGTTCAGGGGAGGTAATCCAAACTGGTAAAAGGATAGTGTACTATACTGTGTATAGTATAAATAAATTCATAGATCCATTGAGAACTTATTTCTTTTAATTGATTTCAATAAATAAATTAGTTTCTTAAATTACTAGATGGGGGAGGAGTCAGTGAAATATTTGATCACAAGTGGGAGGAATGTGACCTGGATCTCTGAGTGAGTTGGATACATGGGTCGAGTCATGGTTCTAGAACGTCCTGAAATGACAGAATTGCAATCGAGTAACGTGGAATTCAGTTCTGTCACAGTTCTGTCAGTCCCGACAACGGAGGTGGTGTGAGTAGGATCGTGACGTAATTAAAAGGTTTCGGCAGCATGGTTGGTTGAGATATTTACTTATTCAGTCCTAGCATGCGTTGTAGTCCGAAATCCACCTTTTCACTCGATTCTCACTATATTTGGGATTGAGAGAATTCAATTCCAGAACGTTCAATCGAGTACCGCCCATGTACTCCTCTCAGTGTTTTAATACAGTCTCCCAAGTAATGTTAACATTTAATTTATTAACAACCATTAATTCTTATTTCAATCATTCCAACAATTTATTTAGTGGTTTACTTTACTTCATTTTGGTTTAAAGACATTTCTTAATGAGGCATGTTCAGTTATACCTAGGTTGTGATTGGTCATCTCCACATGAACCTACCAATCAAAATCATGCCTCTTCATTCTTTTGACACATTTGATTGGCTGTTTGTCAAAAGAAGGTCAAATGTGTCATCACAGACCCACAGTCTGAGTTATAGTTAGATTGTAATTTGACTCTGGGTTATAATTAAATTGTAATTTGACTGTGAGTTATAATAAGACCGATATTTGACTCTTAAGTTATAATTAGATTGTAATTTGACTCCGATTGAGTTATAATTATAGCAAATTATACCATAATTTGACCCTGGGTTATAATTAGATAGTAATTTGACTGTGAATTATAATTAGACCGATATTTGACTCTTGTTTAGTTATAAATAGGATGTGTAATGTGACAATGATCTAGTTATAATTAGATTGTAATTTGACTACGATTTATACATACACAGATAGCTAGCACTAACAATAAAATATACATAAATACATAAAATATACATAAATACATAAAATATACAAAAATATTGCCCTTTAACCCTTTAGAACTTGGTATATGTAAAGATTGTCTACCCTAGTTAACCCTTTAGTCTTTAGAACTTGGTACATGTACAATGTACATGTATAAACTGACTGCCCTGGTTAACCCTTTAGAACTTGGTACATGTAAAGATTGAGGACCCTACACTGTAAGCCAGGTATCGTTTAATCTTGTGTATCTAGTACTAATTTCTTTCACATTTGTTTAATATCCAATCTTTGTTTAAAAATGCGTAAAAACTGTTTAAAATCACCATAAATTATCCAATTTGTACTTCTGTCCAGTTTAAAGCTGACCATTCAATTTTGATAATGAGTGACCAATTTACAAGTGTTTAATTTCTCAATCATTGTTAAAAAATAAACAACCCAATTGATTACTGATGTATAATGATTAATTTTTGAACAGTGATCAGGAAATTAAATACTTGTAAATTGGACACTCATTATCAAAATTAATCAGTCAGCTTTAAATTGGACACAGGTACAAATCAGATGATTTTTGGTGATTTTAAATGATTTTTACGAATTTTTAAACAAAGATTTGATATTAAACGAATGTGAAAAGAAATTAGTGCTAGATACACAAAATTAAACGATACCTGGGTTACAGTGCTAGTTAACCCTTTAAAGCTTGGTAAAGTTTGAGGACCCTAGTTAACCCTTAAGAACTTGGTACACTAGTTCTTGACAGTGCCACTGCTACTGATATTACTCAGGTAGTTAGGGGACAGACAGACGTTCTAACGAGCCTCAGCCCCTAGTTTCCACCGGTACTAAAGGGTTATAACAAAAAAAAATTTCAACTTGTGTAAAAGATAATTTACATGTACATGAGTATTGACATTGCTTTGATTATACGATGGACAGATAACTCCATGTACATGTATGTATGATATGTACCGACAGAAAATAACAACCAGCGTACAACATGTTTATACACTTATTCCTTTCGTACATACATACAGACATATTTAAGCTTTATCGATCAATCCAATTAACATACAGATCTATATTTTTGTTCGTTTTTTATACCTTCGATGGCCTGAAGATCTGACCAGTTGTATTGGGAGGTCGCGTCAAGTGTCATACGAATGGCTTTTGACCCTATGATATCCGACATTGATTAATCAATCAGTGTTGTCGTCACTAGGGGTTTACCCACAGCTCCGCCGTAACAGACCGTTTCATTGGCTAATTCCTTACATCAATTAGAACGCCTGTTATATAACAACTCTTCCAGATACTAGTGTTGTGAATAAAAGTAAAACAAAATTTTGAACGATAAAAATCGAAGAGAGAGAGAGAAATGGGGTTTAACGTCCACTCGACACAAACTAGGTCATTTCGGGACTAACATATGGTTTAATTTTATTTCAACAACTCGCTTGCGCGTAGGGATCTTTTAGCAGTGGGAGGAAACCAGAGGACCCGGAGAAAACCCAGGAGGTTGGACAGGCGACCCTACTCCTTGTCACGTACAACCGGGGATTCGAAACCACGCCAGTCGACTCAATGACAGACTGTATGATACAGCGCGCGCACGCTAACCATTCAGCCATCCAACCCCCCTATAAAAAACGAAACAAATTAGGATCTGTGTTTTAATCAGATTGGTTTATGGATCAAATGTGAAAGACTAGCTAGAAATTTCAGTGTTCATTTTACTGACTGTGGTTATATTGAGATGTGGAGATAATCAACTTTTAAAGATGGGTTCCCGCGTACAAACTGGGTGATTTAATGGTATATATGGACTAAAAACATATTCAAACTAATTAATTTGTCATAATTTTGCTTCAAATCCTTCTCAAACATTCTTATTGCGAAGGAATGTCCTGCTATAAAAATTTGATCAAACCAGGTCATGTTTACGTCACGTGACTTACGTCTCTTGGAAGTCAGAGGAGAATTCATTGCATACATAAGACGATGTTGTCTTTAATCGCTTACTATTTATTACAAATATCGAATCCTAATTAAATTCTCGGATTATCCACTACCCGCGTCTTTTTCCGTCATTTTTATCTCAGAAAGTGTTGTACGTCTAACTCTTCATAAAGTTTATCAACTTGTACATCAAGCACTCGATGTTCGCAGGTGACCTTTGACATTACGCTTGCAGAAATTCCTAATCGTCGGGCTGTTGATTAGGGGAACCCTTACATTTTTGTCCTGTATACGCTCCATGAGTGTTTTTCGGGGAATCCAGTATTTTTCTAGTAAGATTGGATATCTCTACTTTCCATATATACCAAAATTACCATACTTTTATTGGAAATAACCACCCGATAAATACTTTTCTGGGAACCTATCTTTAATAAAGAGGTTAAATTGTCTATGTGATATTCACCATATTTGGTGCCCTATTTCTTCAACCAGACAAGGGGAGTTAACTCTTCTTCCTACCCACATGTCATGAAATAAATTCACTGTATCCTTTCACCATCTGGGTATATAAATGTCTGTCCAGTCATTCATGTGACTGGCACGTTAAGTTTATAAACATGTTCACGTCTGCTGAGTTTCTTGTTGTACAGCAGAGACTCTATAAAACATGGAGTTTGGTATCGTAATAAGAGAGCATTGATAACAGCGTTGATTTGGTGGTTGGTTTTGAACCACAGTCCTCCACTCGTTAACGTGGCGATTATACCCTCGGATACAATCAGAACCAGTACCAATATCTAAATCACCAATTGCTAGAATCTCTTCTCCGTCATAAACAGCGCCCTCTACGTGTGATTTATCGTGCATTATACACATGCCTGGTTCCACACCACGCTTCGGTATCGGAACCCAATAATCATTCTTTGTTGAATAAACTTCTGTTCCACAAAACTTTAAACTATGACCAGAATGCATTGCACTTGGACATTCAATTCGACGAAAACCGCCCATCACATAAATATCATCTTCAACCGTCACTGCACGTGCATCGCATCTTCTTTCACGCATCGGTGACACCGACGTCCAGGTCTGAGTACGTGTGTCGTAACATTCAACAGCTTCGTAGAATTTACCTATCACACCTCCAGCAATAACGTAAATCTTTTTATCAACAGACGCATACGCGGACCAAACTTTCTTCATAGTGAGATCGGGTAATGTTTGCCATTCATTTGAAAACGTATTAAACACTTCCATTGAGGTCATAGGATCGGTCATGTCATTACTGCCACCTATCGCATAAATATTGTGATCTATAGCCACTAATCCGAATCCAACGCGAGCGTGATTCATAGGCGGTATAACAGACCAGGTATTGGTTTTAGGATTATATTTTTCACCTGTATTTAGCAGACGACAGGTATTATCTCTTCCACCAATAGCATATAAATACCCACCTGTAATTAAAGAGTTAGAATATAGAAACAGGTAATAATCCCATTAGTTTATTTTAAAAAATAAATTCCTTTAGGAGAGAGGAAGAAATAGGATTTAACATCCACTCTGGACACAGTATGTTATTTTGGGACTAACATATGGTACAATTATAGTTTAATAATTGTCTTGTAACCATGCCACTTGACTCAATGACAGACACCTTAGCAATCTGATTACAATACACATCTATATTTCGTTTTTTTTTTATACCTTCGATGGCCTCTTCCTCGTGAAAATCTGACCAATTGTAGTGAAAGGTTGCGTCAGGGGTCCTACAACTGGCTTTTGACCCTATGTTAATAGTGGGTTACCTTCAATTCCGGGCACCTCACGACAAAAACTCGTTGTAACAGACCATTTCATTAGCTAATCCTTCACATCATCCAGAACGCGGGTTATATAACAACTCTTCCAGATCCTAGTGTTGTGAAGACAAGTAAAATGAAATTTTGAACTATAAAAAAACGAAACGAAATAGGATCTGTGTTTTATTCAGACTGACATCTTAGATCATTATGATCTACAGTGTGGACGAGTATAATACCTACCAACTTCTACGAGTCCATGACCTGATCTCGGCGTTAACATGGGAGATAACTCTATCCATTTACCAACTTTAACACTGGTATGTTTATACGGCTGTACACATCTAAAACTTGGCTTCACTTCAACCTCTACATCTTCATTTCTACAAAACAAACAAAAACCTTAAAAACCTACTCTACAAACATCTGCCACCTGTGAAAAGAGAGAGTGAGGGAGAAAATGAAATGAAATGGGGTTTAACGTCCTACTGTTCTGCTCCTATACTGGGCTAATGAAGATGGGCATACGCCATACAGTGTGCTATGAGGGAAATTTTGCCCGGGCAGCCGAACTATCGCCTACTCTTATATCGAATTTCAACTGCCAGGGGAACTTTTACGTGCATTCTAATATATGCACGGGACCTCGTTTTTTCGTCTCATCTGAAGGACTAGACAGCTGTCCTTGTCAGGCCCTCCATTCTGCACCACTGACAAGTGGAAACCACGTTGGAAAATCCCGATGAACTTTCTCGGCCAATGCAGGGATCGAACACCCGACCTCCAGGCTAGCGAGCCAGAGTCTTAACCACCTAGCCACCATGGCTCCCGTGAGGGAGAAAGTGATTTCGAGTCAAACATATGGTAAAACAAGCCGTATACTAACCGTGTAACAAAACCTTCTCCACCACAAACAACCACAACAGACGTCGTTCCTCTCGGTTCACTCAGCGATCTTTCTACTTTCACGTTTCTTAAAAAATCAGCAACATTAATCTCCTCACAGTCCACGGACTTCAGATTCTCCAAACTTTCTTCTGTTAAATTATCGGTTCGTACGCATGATGCGAGCAGCGATTTTACGTGCGTAGCGCGAGTTGTTTTATCGTAACGATACCATTTTAATATACTCTCTACGATCACAACCTCATTTTCAGGTTTAACATTCAGTTCATCTCTCGTCAAAATCTCTTTAACACTTTCACTACTCAGTCCTAAAAATTCTTCTCCAAAACAAATATCTCTGAAATAAATTTTAAAACGTATTAATTAATTACAGGGGAAAAGTTTTGTCATTGATCCTGTAAGGTAGAATGGTTTTTAATCCAATGGTGTTCTGTTGGCAGTAGAATGGGGTTAGTCAAGATTAGTAGCAAGTAGCGTTGGAAATTGCCATTGCTGTCACGATACGATACATATTGTGATTCAGGTTCTATGATTCGATTCATATCGCGATTCATAACCAGGTCAATATTTACCAAGAAAAAACAGGATAAATGAATAATTGATATTTTTAGTCCTGCCAATGTGGAAGAAATAAAACTGTTTCATATGACAATATCGATGTTTGTGTACCTATCGATAATGTGTGTCGTGGATAAATAAGAGTGACAGGTTACTAACTGAAGCAACAAAAAAAATAAATAAAAAAGAATTGTGATACATCCATTCAGCGTCTTGTGATTCAAGTCCGGAGTCCGGGAAACCTAGGTACAGTAATGGGAGGAGTCTGAGACACATAGGATCAGTAATGGGGAGGAGTCAGGGAAATCTAGGATCAGTAATGGGAGGAGTCAGGGAAATCTAGGATCAGTAATGGGAGGAGTCAGGGAAATCTAGGATCAGTTATGAGAGGAGTCAGAGAAGCCAAGGATCAGTAATGGCCAGGGCTGTCGGTAATTTTTCACAGTAATCAAAAAGTCCAATTTCGCCAAATTTGATTAGCAAATTTAAAAATTGATTAGCAGTTTTTCAGTTTCAATGTAAAACACCTAAATAACAAGATATTACTTTAATTCATAACAAATATGATTAGATTCCATTCTGACTATTCTTAGATTTTTTAGCACTGCCACAAGTACTTGTGACAGTTTGTGAATGTGATGTAGAAATTTAGTTAGGTCTTATGTCTGAAGCCAATTCTTGACAGTGACTTCCGAAGCCCCACTCATTTTAATTGTTATTTTTTTGTTACGTTAGAAATCTTCGTTAGAAAACAATTTCGTCTGCTTTTTATCTTGTATTACTATTTTTCTTCAATCGGACACACCTCGATTAACTAGACACACACGATATAAACAATAATGTTTTACGGGAATTTTTACTTTGATTTATCATTTTACAATACGTTAACATGTATTTATTTTTTTATATTTTATTTACAATACGTGGGGGATACATTGGATTTATTTCTTTCAAAATGAATATGATATAATTACTTGATGTCTCGCAACGTGAGTGGTACTACTTGATTCCCTATTTCCGGTTTAATAGTCCCTATTCATAGAGTTATGTGTTATATAGTATTGTGTCTGGTAGTTCGAGAAGAAAATGTCACACGGAGAATTCAGTTTTGTTTATAAAATTTTATTCAACATTTTATACACGTTGAAAGTGTTGAGTAAGCCTTCTAGTCTTCAAAATGTGGATTATTCTTGTGTCAATATCCAAAATGACAGGCATATTGATGATTCGCAGTAACTGCGAATCAAAAACGTTAGATTTTAATTTTTGGTTAGCAACGGACAAAATATGTATCGCAAATTGCGCTGCGATACTGGTTGTCGGCAGCCCTGGTAATGGGAGGGGTCCGGGAAATGGGAGGAATGTGACCTGGACCTATGAGAACCATGTCAATATTCAAAACTTTAAATAAATACCTGAAATGTTTGTCGAGATATTGTGTAGCTTTATAATGAACCCAGGGTGACGAGAATCTTGCTGTAAATTCACGGATACCAACACAATTCTGTGGCGAGATACAATGCTCTAAGTATTCACAGCACAGATTCTTCAAGTCTGACATGAGCAGTAGATCAGAAGCCTGGAACAAGTCTTGTATGTTGTCGACGCTGAGAGTGATCTCGGAGGTATAGATGTAGTCGAGAATATCTTGAAATGTTTCTACGCTTATTTCTAAAGGTGTCAAGTCCACCATAGTTTTGTTACCTGTGCCATCAGGATGTGCTTCATAACTAAAATAAGCTCTAGAATAAAAGGAATTTGACATAAAATTATTTACACAAAACATTCATTTGGTTGGTTATAATATCATTGGATATAATTCTTATATAGAAGTTGGCTGGTTGACAGAGAGTATTATATAGAAATAGACTGGTTGACAGAGAGTATTATATAGAAATGGAATATGATTGGACTTGATGTCCAACTTTTCTGGACCAACAGGGGCCAGGGCTAAAGAAGACATACACTTTTAAGCAAACTTTGTGGATTGTAGTATTTCTAGCTTGTTATCAATGGACATTTATTATGATGATGATGATGATGATGATGCATACTATGAGGATAATTTTGCTGATTCTTAAAAGTGCATGAATATGTGTACATGGGACCTCATTTTTGTCTGTGCCATCTAATTGTTTAGAGGCTTCTCTAATCTCACACTACTGACACGAGGAACCTACGCTGAGAAACTTTTTCAGCCAACATCGAACACTGGAACTCCTGGTTAATGAGTTAGTGCCTTACCCACTGAGCCACTGCAGCACCATACAAATCAATGGTTATAAAAATCAACCTTGACAGTTGTAAATAATAATCACATCTCTTGTATATACTGACTGAGTGGCAGGTACTATAAAGGCTATTGCACGAATTTATCACTGAATTTAAGGGGTACAAGTAGGCCTGGCTACAGGGAGTCAAGTATCATAACAAGAGTTTTTCCGTCGATCGGGTACGATTCTAAATAATAATAATAGTAATCTGTAACCAATAATAACCCCTTTCGGCTTTACTTAAAGATACATGTACATTATGGGAGATAAGATAAAGAGATGGCAGTTCTCATCATAAATTCATAATAGTTAAAAACTAGATAGTGTAAAGGTAATTTGCTGAAAAATTCAGTCAAATTGATCCACTATGAGCCGAGAAAGAAGCAGGTGAAATTTTTGCATAGTCTCGGTCATCATTACTAAAATCATTAATATAAACAGCATAGTCTCGATTATCCACTTTTTCTGATTTAATTATCTAATCTAATCCAGCCAACATCGAAGGCTAGCCTTGACATCGAGAGTTTATTATGGTCTGGATAAGTTAATTAATGTCTAATTGATAATTTAGATAACATTTCAGGCCTAAAGAAAGACTTATAATAAGCAGATTTTGTAGTGCTGGGTATTACCACTGCAGTCACGATACGATACGTATTGCGATGCAGGTTCTACGATACGATTCGATTCATATCACGATTCACAACCAGGTGAATATTTACCAAGAAAACGACAGGATAAATGAATAATTGATATTTTTAGTCCTGCGGATGTCGAAGAAATAAAACTGTTTTATATCACCAAAATAAGGACCCCCAAAAAAATTAAATGAGCCAAAAAGAATTCCCAACGACAAGGTACGTAGGAAGCATAAAATTGAGACTAACATAGCTGAAAGAACAATTGAGGCGTCAACAATTACGACTACAAGCAAGGGCGTGATTTGTCATAACTTTTGGGGGGGGGGGGCAGACGTACCCTGGAACCTGGAACATTTCATTACCAAACGAAATAAATAATTACCAACAGTTTACTGTACCAGTGTTATTTCGATGAAAGCTGTAACTAGGGGTAATATGATGACAATTGTGTTATGGAAAAATTGACTACCTACATCAAAGCTGCATAAATATTAATTGTTCATGAAGTTAAGTGAATCGTTCTCTTTAAATATCTTGGCGACATGAAGGGGGGCATTATGCACCACACACGCTGCCATCATGTGGTTCAGTCAGTTTTGCGTCACGGAGTTGCGCAGCTAAGTTTTGATACGGCGCAGAGTGCTGAAGGATCACTCGGCTGAGCAGGAACTAGCAGGGTTCAGCAGTGTGAGATGAGAAGAGCTTCGACAGAAGGGAACATCTGCCTCAGTTCAGGTGACATAATCAATGAGGAACGCTTTGTGCACAAGTGAAATAGATTTGGCCGAAAACTGGCGCTTGAGGCGCTTGAAGAATGTCAATTCTTGTTCCAAGTCCCGATTCAGTTCCAGATACGCAGAAACAAGCTTAACATCATGTGGATATAAACCTGGCGAACAAAATCATGGGGGGACAGAGACCTATTCGTCTCGCCCCCCCCCCCCCCGTTCTGCTGCCGAAGAATCTAGGCGTCAATCAAGATTCTGATTCATCACTCTTTGATTTCCTTATTAGTCTAATAATTTTTTATTTATAACAAAACAACATAAATTTAGTCACCTGAAGTACTGACTAGCAGCCGATAACACGCTTTTCTGAGCAGCAACTTCCGTCTTGCCAATCTGGACAGTTGTATCACATAATGAAGGCAATTTGCGACTTTGATTCAAAGCCTTCAAGAGGTTTTTCGCGTGATGTTGACAAGAAAAGGTCTTGGGATTCTTTTCAGAATTTCCATTAGACGCCATCTTGTCTGATTATAATCTCCAGAAAAATGGCGTTGTGCTTTTTAACGAATTTCACATAAATTGCAACTTTACTAATCTTGACATCAAACCAAATACATATAGATGTTGTTTAGAATATTGTGTGTTTCATTTATACACATATTCTAGATTACTACAATGCATTATTAAAAAAATACATGCTAGATATCCTTCGAACTATTACGGATTTTGTTATCCAGACGTTCGTGATCGGTTATTAAACATTAGTTTGGTTGAGCACGACTACTAGGTCATTTTTTTTTATATTATCACGTGATGACGTACGTTTCCGGGTTTCGAGGAATGTAAAGTCAGCCTGTTGGTTGTTCGACAAGCTTTCACATGATTATATATGAAACTGAAAAAATAATTCTGTAATTGTAGAAATAATTAAGAGTGCTTTTGTAAGTCCCGAGATCTGGAAAAGAACCGTGTTTTAGGCTTTAAACAGGTCATTTTATATGTAGTGTATATTATTTAGTGACAATTTTCAAAATTTTGTTTTTATGTATGGAAGCGGAAGGCCAAGTGGCAACACGACTAGGCCAACACATGATAATTAAATAATAGCTACGCTAGCTACTGTAGTAGATCTATTATAATTAATAATGCCATCCCTAAAAATGGTTAAGACTGCCACTGTAGTTTTAGAAAGATCTTTTTGTGTTGGGGTGGGGGCATTATTCTGTAGTTTTCTACAGATTTCAGGGCCCTGTAGGAATAACTGGCCCCCCAAAAGTCTACTCTAGTTTGAGTAGTTTCTATTTTATTATGTTGTACAATCGCTCAAAACTCTTAACCATACCTACACTTTTAAAAAAAAATGCAAATTACCTTATTTTTGTTGTGATTTCGTAACTTGACAGGTTTCTAACGTTCAGGGTAGGTTTGGCTTTCCCAAACTCTACCGCATTGATGGGTTGCCTAAACTCGACTACCTATATGGATCGCCCAAACTCTTGTATAATCTTGGGGTGGACTTGCTGTTGGCCTATATAAGAAGGTTGATTAGCTGAAATGGGGTGTGTTTTATTGCAGATTAGAAATGGTCGCCTGTCTGGCAGACCAGTTGATCTTATTAGTATCACAATCACGGTCACTTGTTTAGCATGGGGGATCACGTGGCTAAGTGGGTAAGACGCTGGCTCGCTAGCCTGGAGGTCAGGTGTTTGATTCCTGCATTGGCCGAGAAAGTTCATCCAGATTTTCCGGCAGGGTTCCCAATTGTCAGTGATGCAGGACGAAGGGCCTGACAAGGACAGCTGTCTAGTCCTTCGGATGGGACGAAAAAACCAAGGTCCTGTGTATACATTGGAATTCACGTAAAAGATCCCTTGGCAGTTGGAATTCGATATAAGAGTAGGTGATAGCGCCGCTATATCCCTCATAGCACACAGTATGGCGTATGCCCGTCTTCATTAGCCCAGTTCGGAGCAGAACAGTAGGACGTTAAACCTCGTTTCATTTCATTTCATTTCATTTTTTTACCAAAATTAAAGAGGTCTGGCAGTTTATTTCAATTTGATTTTTCAATTTTTGTTGTTTCAGGTTGAATTTGATTAGAAGAAATGGCTGTAACATTAAAGTTTTCGGCCACATTGAGTGAATCAGATCCGCAGAATAATCCCGTACTGATAGTTGGGCAGATCAAAAATCTCAACAAAGTCACGTACGAGAAAGTGAAACTAAAACTTGAACCCAGAGTAGACGCTGAGGTATGTATAGCTATATAGCTGCTGAGGGGGTTGTATGGCCAAATAGTCTGGTCGAGGTAGAAAATTTGTGGGAAGAAATTCCTACCCAAATGATTTCTTCATTTTCTGAAACAACTATGTCCCTAGTGTTCCAGAAAAATTTTCCCCGCCGACCGGAGTTGAGCAAATTTTTTTACAGCATTTTGAAATTTTGACCCCCTGGGTCAACATAATGAAACTGAAAACCATTTATAACTTCAAAAATATCAATTTTACAGCCTAGAAATGTATTATCAACATATAGGAAAGTGATACCAAGGATTCCAGAAATGATGTAAAAAGTAACATACGACGTCACCGTGACGTCAGAATACAAAATGGCGGAACTATGACGTCACTGTGATGTCAAAATTCAAAATGGCGGAGACGTGTTTTGAATAAAGCAACAACAGCAAGCAAAAAGACAAGAGGAACATTCTGGTGCTGATGGAAGAACAGTCGCGATGGAAACGTGTCTATTCTCTATCACTTGCCAACCTCAATTCACAGGATCGACGCCATTGTCTAGTTCATCCCAAATTCTAACCTGAACATGAACGTGGTGAGCATGCTGCTCGGCTACGGCAGCTGTTGAAGGAAGTCTATTGATTTGACAATTCATCTTCGCCACTTGGACAAAAAGCGCAACAACTATGACATAAAATCAGTCTGCAGCGCAATGGATAAAACTGTATTTGACAATTTATTGTTCATTCGCGCCTGGTCTGGGTGTGATACCACTTCTGGTTGTTTCAGAGTCGGTAAATTGGGACTTCTTAAACATACGAACAGTGACATCTTTCGGGAAGCTAGCAAGACAATAGCTTCACCTGGAGGTTCCCAGTCTGAAGTACCTGCAGCTGGAGAAAGGTTATTCTGTCTAATGTATGGTAACAAAAATGAGATACCTCTGACTAAAGTCCGGTACCTAAGGTACAAAGCTATGATCGCTGAAAAAAATTCCATTCAAATCAATAGACTTCCTCCAACAGCTGCCGCGGCCGAGCAGCATGCTCACCGCGTTCATTTTCTGGTAGAATTTGGGATGAACTAGACGATGGCGTCAATCCTGTGAATTGGGGTTGGCAAGTGATAGAGAATAGACACGTTCCCATCGCGACTGTTCTTCCATCAGCACCAGACAACGTTCTGAATTTCATCCGGTGTAAATGTAAATCGTTGAAAAACCAATGCTCGTCATGTTCTTGTACATAGAATGGTTTGAAATGTGTTGAAGCATGTGGACGATGCCACGGGGAGGGTTGTCTGAACAGCGAACAAATCAGCATTGATTTAGAAGATGAATTTGGTACGGGGTAGAACAAATCAGAACTGAAGAATATTTTTATGATTTTATTGATGATGATCCGAATGAATATTTTATGGTGTCCAGAATGTTCCTCTTGTCTATTTGCTTGCTGTTGTTGCTTTATTCACAACACGTCTCCGCCATTTTGAATTTTGACATCACAGTGACGTCACAGTTCCGCCATTTTGTATTCTGACGTCACGGTGACGTCGTACATTACTTTTTACATCATTTCTGGAATCCTTGGTATCACTTTCCTATATGTTGATAATACATTTCTAGGCTGTAAAATTGATATTTTTGAAGTTATAAATGGTTTTCAGTTTCATTATGTTGACCCAGGGGGTCAAAATTTCAAAATGCTGTAAAAAAAATTTGCTCAACTCCGATCGACGGGGAAAATTTTTCTGGAACACTAGGGACATAGTTGTTTCAGAAAATGAAGAAATCATTTGGGTAGTAATTTCTTCCCACAAAGCTGGATTTGTCACCTTCTCCAACCAGCCTATATGTAAAACCCCTCTCCCTTAGTTATCACGTATAACCATGGCCAAACGTTGCGGATCTAGAAAGACACATTTATATACGAGACGATGGCAAATTATATGGCGTATGTCCGTTTTCATTAGCCCAGTCGGAGCGGAGCAGTACGTTAAATAAACCCAATTTCATTTCTCACCCCCCACCCTCCCCCTTAAGCAATGTATATCACGTATGTGTTCAGTTCAAGGAATTCCTCTATCAAGTAAAAGAGAGTAAACTAACCCAAGTCAAACTAGGGAAAAAGCAACATTTTCAGGATAACCAACCCTCATGAGTTATTGCAATATAAGAGTGTTTGAACATTGATACCTTGTATATACGGGAGAATTCGCAACAACGCTTGCTTGAACAAATCAATGTCCGAGTACCCACCAAGTACAGTCCCGGCAAATTACAACAAAGAATTCTATCAATGAGGTCCACAAATCTAGAGCATTGTCGTAAATTCTAATAAAGTGAGAATTCAATTACTTGAAAAAGTTTAAACCGTAGGTTCCAATTAGGACCTACACTGTAGACTTTCAACTAACAGTACGTTTTGGGTATTTGTCTCTATAATAACGTATACTTTCGTATAGAGGACAACAAAATAATAATAAGGAAAACAGATATTTTGTTGGGTAGACTTTCAACTAACAGTACGTTTTGGGTATTTGTCTCTATAATAACGTATACTTTCGTATAGAGGACAACAAAATAATAATAAGGAAAACAGATATTTTGTTGGGTATAACGAAGTGAGATTTTTGTTTTTGTTTTTGCCTATTCTCTGTGATTAATAAGGGGTGGTTGGTGTGTGTGTGTGTGTGTGGGGGGGGGGGGGGGGGTAGTGCGGCGTGATAATTACTGTTTAGTGTGTGTCCTTTTAGTGTGTAATACTGCTTATATTGTAGTTACGTATATATAAATGTACAGTGTATTTCAATAAATAAATAAAGAATTCAGTTTCTTAAAATTAAAGATGATTGTATCCAAAGTAGGGCCACGGGCCTAAAATAATACCGTGTATTCCAGCACAAAGCAATATACTTACCCAAAAACTTGACTTGAAGATATAATAAAGGTAACACTTGCAATATTTCCAACCACTTTGAATAAAAAGCCTGGCGGTACGGAGAAAGCTTGACACGCCTAGCTTCCATGAAATATGAAATACATAAGTGTTTAGATAACCGATGGTATATTAATAAGTCACGCGTTACAATTACGTATCGCGTTTCCCCAGTAAATATTAAAGATGCATTACGTAAGACCTAATTCTCCCCATTATAGGTTTTCATTTTGGCTTTAAATGTTATATAATTACTATTCAGACATTTATTTACATGAAAAGCCTATAATCAACTCTCTAGCTCACCGGGTGGCGCAGATGAACAAATGGATTAAAATACGATTGCCATTTAATGATATAATTCAAAAATGGGGTAGCAAGACTGGGTCTCGATTAACAAGTAACGTTGCTAGGATAATGAAGACTTAAATGTTGAAAAATAAGAATATGTTAGATATATATATATATATAAAATGAAATGAAATGAAATGGGGTTTAACGTCTTACTGTTCTGCTCCTAACCTGGGTTAATGAAGACGGGCATACGCCATACAGTGTGCTATGAGGGAAATTTTGCCCGGACAGCGGCACTACGGCCTACTCTTATATCGAATTCCAACTGCCAAGGGATCTTTTACGTGCACGCCAATGTGTACACGGGACCTCGGTTTTTCATCCCATCCGAACGACTAGACAGCTTTCCTTGTCATATATATATATATATAAACAGGATTACAATTTTAAATGGCACTTTTACTATAGATGCATTAATATATGCACATTTATTAGATAAAGTGCTGTTAGTTCTTACTATAATAGTTAAGAACTAGATAATGTAAAGGAAATTTGCTGAAATTTCAGTCAACTTGAATAAATCAGAAGCAGCAGACCGGGTTCTAATCCAGTATATATCGCAGGCTAGCGATGACATCGAGCGTTGATTATGGTCAAGCCAAGTGATCTAAATACCGACTTTATCGTCTTGATAACTTTAAACATCATTTACTCAAATTATATTGGAACCAAGATTTCTATCAATTAGTGTAGTACGAAGTGATTCAGGTTGTCGAAATGGATTATTATTATCTTTATATATGTTTGGTTGGTTGGGTGCAAGATGGAGGGCCATAGATTGTGAATGATCCAAGTATACATGGATTAATAATTCAGAAAGTCATAATAGAATTTCGCTTTTGAAAATATTTAGATCAGTAAATGTTACTTTAAATATTAAAGGGACTTTTCCGATTTTAACAGATCGTCTCAAAAATAAAAGTCTGAGTACGATTGAAATTTAAGCTCCAAAATATAGAGGAATTGTGTGTTTACCTTGTCTCAAACATTCAGCTCACAATATTTAGTCGTTTGGACGTGAACTTCACAAATGCTTATCCGGACACGTAACCCTTTTAAGATTTCTGGTAATTTTTTCGTTGGGTGACCTGATAATCGATTCCCATTCCTTTAGAGGTCTATACAATGAATGACCCATGTGCTGTACTTGATAACCGAAGAGGTAAATTTCACCTACACAGTATTTTTATAAAGTAAAGGTCTGGTTTATCCATAAGCCACATAATAGAGTTTGGGACACCGGTCTCCATTTCCAGATGAAGACTGACAGGTTAAATTGTCTGAAAACGTATCACAAATATTGAGTTAGTTGCTCGGCCCTTTGGTGGAGGATTTTAAGGGATTTTAACACAAAATTAAGCAGTTTTATTCTCCTACATATTATTGGGATTGGCCCTTTAACATATTTCGAGGAATAGACACATAGGGGATTAACTTAATTTACTTGAAATTTGGACTTTTAAGCCCTCCAGATAATATACTTGGTGTTCTGTTTCATTGTGTAATATTTTATGTCAGGACAGGTTTGATATGTATAGGAGAGATTCACGTAACTGTTATTTCAATTTGAATTATATTATATTTCACTAAAGTAAATATATCTAGTTAAACAGGCTTGCAATTTCCGAGAAATGTCCCTCTTGTGTAAAAGTTCGTGTCCGGGTATCTTGAACGAAACTATTATTTATTTAAACTAAATTATATTATATTTCACTATTGTTAATTCTTTTATATATTGTATTGTCCTTCTTGATCAACGAATCCGTATTTTATTATTTTATCAAAACTATCCATTATTGGTTATATATCATAACAAGATTATATATTGAAATATTGTTTTAACTTATGTTATATAATTTAATTTTATTTTATTTAAATTTCAACATTCAGAAACAAACATAATACGAATCAATATGCCTATATACAGGCACAGATTAAGATTAAAACAAACAAAAAAACTAGTCGGGGGGCAGGGGGGACCCTATCGAAATTCAAACGCCATACAGTGTTCTATGAAGAAAAAATTATCCCGGACAGCCGCCCACAGGCCTACTCTTATATTTAATTCAAACTGTCAGGGTTCTTAAACGTGCGCGCAAATGTGTCCACTAGGCAAAACCTAGTAACTCACTTTTTTTTTTATATCAAAATTGAGTTAGGACCAAATTTGTAGTTACTAATGTGTGTGCTTCCTGTTGTTGTACTAGATATTCCAATCTGTTCATTTTGTAAGCAGTTACACCCATGGCACAACCTAGCAACTTCCTTCATTTCCCTAGTATGCCACAGTAAAACCTAGTAACTCAATTGTCCAATCAGATTGCTTGAAACAAAGATGGCAGCCCCCGTTGTTTCAATTTATTATTAGAATATGTTTAGTTTTCTTTGAATATACATAAATTACATTATGTTTTCGACAAATCGGGGGAGGAAGTTAGTACAACTGGCCTTGGAAAATGCAAAATAAGTATTTTTTAAGACCCTATTTATTTATAGTGAGAATCAATAGACTGCTTGGGTCCTGGCTTAGGCCTAGAAAAGTAGAACGTGGTCTATGCATGGCTGATAAATAATTGAATGCAGTGCCCAATACATGACAATGTGCATGCAGAAGGTGACAGGTCTGTGCTATGACACATAACCAGCCGGTTTATGTATGGTGTAGGCCCTGCATGTTTGTTTGTTATGGGAAAGGCCTCAATATAGGCCTAAAGCCTTTTGTTTATCTACTAAGTTATCTTGGTTGGTGTATAAACTGCCTATCTTCTCTAGCGTATATTCAGTCTTGGTACTATATAAAGAGAATACCCTTTGACATATAATAATGTTTTTGATCCCCACCTTTCTTTTCACCCGCCAGTCTGTCCGATCAAATGTACGGTGGAAAGTTTGGGACACAATAACTCTTTATTCACAACACGTCTCCGCCATTTTGAATTTTGACATCACAGTGACGTCACAGTTCCGCCATTTTGTATTCTGACGTCACGGTGACGTCGTACATTACTTTTTACATCATTTCTGGAATCCTTGGTATCACTTTCCTATATGTTGATAATACATTTCTAGGCTGTAAAATTGATATTTTTGAAGTTATAAATGGTTTTCAGTTTCATTATGTTGACCCAGGGGGTCAAAATTTCAAAATGCTGTAAAAAAATTTGCTCAACTCCGGTCGGCGGGGAAAATTTTTCTGGAACACTAGGGACATAGTTGTTTCAGAAAATGAAGAAATCATTTGGGTAGGAATTTCTTCCCACAAAGCTGGATTTGTCACCTTCTCCAACCAGCCTAAAATGGTTTAGTGGGTCATTGAGTCAACTGGCATGGTTTTGATTCCCTGCTTGTATGTGACAAAGAATAGAGTCGCTTGTTCTCCGGTTTCCTCTAACTGCTAAGGACCCCTACGTGATAAAGAGTAGAGTCGCCTGTCCAACCTTGTGGATGTCCTCCGGTTTCCTTCCACTGCTAAGGACCCCTACGTGATAAAGAGTAGAGTCGCCTGTCCAACCTTGTGGATGTCCTTCGGTTTCCTTCAACTGCCAAAGACCTCCACGTGCAAGCAAATTATTTATATTAAATTGAACCATGTTTGTCCCGAAATGACCTGGTTTGTGTCGAGCGGACGTTAAACCCCATTTCTCTCGTTCTTATCGTGATTTGCTTATTCAGACAAAATGTTGACATCGAAGTCTCAGATGGATTTATTGAGTGTAATTGTTCATTGCCATCTATTCCCTTAAAGGCGCTGATGGCTTGAAGCTTTCGGAAAATATCTCATATTTCATGGTTTAATTCTTTACATCGATATTTTTTCATATTTAAAACATAAATTGTTTTTCAGACTGTGGATTGATTAGTTTCTATTCACGGCTTTATTCTTTATAAAATTGATAATTTTTCCTGTTTTGTTATTAATTAACGTAAATTATGTTTCAGACGTACAATAATGCTGTTAATGGTCTTCATCCATCACCGACTGACTCCTGTCCGTTATGGTTAAATAATGCCACCGTAGCAGCCCTTCCTATAAAATGTAGCCGTCATAATACGCCATCACGATGTCATTCATTGAGTAAAATCGTTAAAAGTTGTTTAGTTGGTGGATCAGAGTTTGTTGTGGTGAGTTTAGGACTAGTGTTGGCACGATTGCGATCCACCTTCTCATGATACGTGTATTGTATCGTTAGACGCTGAATCGATGTATCACGATTCTTTTCTATGTTCTTTTGTTGCTTTAGAAAGTAACTTGTCACTTCCAATTATCCATAGGTATACAAACACTCTAAAATTGTTTTTATCCTTATTTTGACCCACATCAATATTGTGATATAAAAATATCAATTATTTATTTATCCTGTTGTTGTCTTGGTAAATATTCACCTGGTTATGAATCGTGATATGAATCGCATTGTAGAACCTAAATTGTGATATGAATCGTATCGTAGAACCTGAAATGCAATACGTATCGTATCGTGACTACAGTCGCAATACCCAGCACTAATTTAGGACTGAATATTCTATACTCCTATCAGTTTAAAATCTGAAGTTAGTCAGGTTTCAAGGGTTTGGAAAGGAAAAGCAACTAGTCTTTTGGCTTTGACAAAAAAGCAGAGGTCCCGTATAACCCACTGAAAGTTGTAAATGGAAGTAATAGTAGTGCCGCTGTTTGGCTGTGAAAATGTCTCATATTGGCGCGGTTTCCCCTTGTCAGTGGATGCAGAATGGATGGCCTAATGGATGGGGGACAGTAAATCGAGGCCCAGTGTACTCGTGGGCATGCATTTAAAAGAACCTGTCACAGTTGGAATTCAATATACCTCATAGCACACTGTATGGCATATATTCGTTTTTATTATCCCAGTCGGAGAACAACAGTAGGAAGTTAAACCGTTTCATTTCTATTTTATTTTATTTCTATTTGATTTATTTTTTCAGTTAGTTTGTGAGAGAGAGGATGTTTATGCATCAGCTTGTGCAATCGCCCGATCCTTGCCGTTATATTCAGCCAAATCCACCTCCTCACCATCCAAGAGAACAGTAACGGTAGAAGTACTACTGGTGGGCGACGACAAGGGTGTTTTATCGGAAGCTGATTTAGCATGTATGACATCTGCTGCTGAGTCTGTTCGTCTGAGTGCCAAGATCGTTGATATGCCTTGTGCTGAGATGAATACAGATGATTTCTTGGAGGTAAGCAAAACTTGATATGACAATCTTATCAGGCAGTAATATTTCTTTTTTTTTGTGTTTTTTGTTATAATATTATGTTAAGGACAACTGCTTGCACGACAACTGCCGATGGAACAATTGCCAGATAGGATAACTGCCAACCATTTTGTTATTATTTATTTTTTTATTATAGTATATAACTGTTGATTTTATTGCCAGCGATTTTATTTGTTCTTTTTAGTATAGTTTATTAAATGATAAATGAGCCTATCATGTATCTATCTATGTCCATAAGTTCACAACAGCTGCTAAATATGGCTCATAATACTCACCTGTGATAACGTTGTGTCAGTGACAGAGTGAGTGTTATTATAGACAACATGTGAAATAAACTAAACCATAATAATTAGTACTGCATGATAATAATACAGAATATTGAAGGGAAAGAGAGAGAGAGGGAGAAATGGGGTTTAATGGCCACTCGACATAAAATAGACCATTTCTGGACTAACATACGGTTCAATTTTATTTCACTTATTCGCTTGCGTGTAAGGGTCTTTAGCTGTGGGAGTAAATCTGGAGGACCCAAAGAAAACCCACGATGTTGGACAGGCAACCATATTCCTTGTCATGTACAAGTGTAAGGGGACACTGGGCTGTCTAGGATATATTTATCTTATCCCACCCACACTAGTTCTGGGTATTGCATCTATAGTCACGTTACGATACATATCGTGATTCAGGTGCTACGATATGATACGTATCACGATTCATAACCAGATGAATATATACAAAGACAACAACAGGATAAATAAATAATTGATATTTTAATGGAGTCAATTAGTGTCCAGGGCTTAAAATGTTCATTTGTGGCTGACAGAGCAGAATAAGGACAAAAACAATTTAAGAGTGTTTGTGAAGACAGAAACATAAAAAAGAATAATAAAAAAATCAATTCAGTGGCTTGCGATTCAGTACGCAAATCGTGAGTAGGTGAATAATATATTTAATGCCAGCACTAGTGTATACATGATGTATGTCCATCATATTGTTGCAGGAATGATACGATTTCAAAATTTATATATCGCAGGAAATAAAGAAAGTAGGAGCAGATTTGAATATTGTTCCTGAAATTATTCGAGGTGAAGAATTGAAGGAGAGGGGATTTGGAGGTAAAGTTTAACTTTTATTTGATTATTTTGATTTGAAATGTTCAGACAAGCTAAATGGACTATATCATCAATTTCTGTCATTTTATTTACATACATCAATCTACTTTTGTTTATGATGTCTTATGAAATCTACGATTGTACAGATCTCATCTCAGAATTTATTAATTATTTCTATTTCTATAAACTTGTTGTAAAGTAATTTGACTTTAGTCGAGATTGTGACACCATATACCTTAAACCTACTTTTATTTATGGGAGTCACGCTGGCTAAGTGTGTAAGAGGCTGGCTCTCTAGCCCTGCACTCGATTTTCCGACGTGGTTTCCCCTTGTCAGTGGTGCAGAATGGAGGGCCAGTCGGACAAGGACAACTGTCTGGTCGTTCGGTTGGAACGAAAAACCGAGGACCTGTGTATACTTTGACGTGCACGTAAAAGATCCCTTGACAGTTGGATTTTGATATAAGAGTAGGCCATAGTGCCGTTGCCCGAACAAAATTTTTCCTCATAGCACAATGTATGGGAGTAGAACAGTAGGACATTAAACACCATTTCATTTCACTTATATTTATGATGTACTGTGAAATCTGGGACTAACACATCAGTTATTATTTATCTCTGTTTACAGGTATCTATGGTGTTGGCATGGCAGCAGAACATCCACCAGCTCTAGCGGTATTAAGTCATAAACCAAGTGGAGCTAGTAAAACCATAGCCTGGGTGGGTAAAGGTATCGTCTATGATACTGGTGGACTCTGTATCAAGTCTAAGGTATGTTATTGTCATGATGAGACAGGTAGGGGCCAAATTGAACCCTTTATTCATGGTGGCTCAGCGATTAAGACGTTGGTTCGCTAGCCTAAAGGTCAGTTGTTCGATACCTGCGTTGGCTGAAAAAGCTCATCAGAATTTTGCGGCATTGTTCCCCCTTGTCAGTGGTGCAGGACGGAGGACCTGACAAGGACAGCTGTCTAGTCATTTGGATGGGACGAAAAACTGAGTTCCCGTGTGCACAATTACAAGCACATAAAATATCCCTTGACAGTTGGAATTCGATATAACAGCAGGCCATAGCGCCGCTGTCTGGGCAATATTTTCCTCATAGCACACGGTGTGGTGTATGGCATATGTCTGTCTTCATTAGCCCAGTGGGAGCAGAACAGTTGGATGTTAAACCACATATCATCTCCTTTCTTAGGTGTAGGACGCTGGTCTGATAGGGTAAATTGTCTAGTTGTTAGGATGGTATGGAAATCTGTGGTCCACCTGTGTAATCATGCACATTAAAGAGCCCTTAACCGTTATTGAATAGTATTTTAGTCTGTGCCAACAAGTAGGATGTTTAAAACCTAGAACATAGGAGAGTATTTTTCGCCTGATCGTTCGAAAAAATCACCTATGGACCGTTCACATGATCTCAAAATTGATTGTTGTAATTTAATCGCAGATTGTCGTACGCTCTCGAGAGGATTGCTTTGTATGCCTCTTCGTGAACGTCCATAAATAAATAGCTGGCGAATTTCAGTTGGCGCAATTAGGAGAAAAAAATATGCTCGTCTGCCCTTAGGATTGCCCGATTTCATTTCAATTGTCTACATATATTTGCCCCACACATTTGTTACCGTAATTGCTTGAAAATGTGCTGGAATATTTTTTGTAACATCACCCAAATTAATTAGTAATATTTTTTCTATAACTATGTGTACCTTTTCACAGAAGAAATTTTGAAACTATTTTTGTATTATTGCTCCATTTGACCTTGTCTTATATTTGTATCTCTACTAGACTAGTATGTGTGGTATGAAACGAGATTGTGGCGGTGCAGCCGGTATTCTAGGAGCCTTCTGGACGGCAGTTAAACTTGGATTTAAAGAGAACTTACATGCTGTATTTTGTTTAGCGGAGAATGCTGTTGGTTCTAAAGCCTTTAGACCCGATGATATCCTGTACATGTACTCTGGACGGTAAGTTGATTTCTATAACACTGTTTGTTACAGATTTAGTCGTGGGGTATTAAATGAAAAGGGGGTTTAATGTCCGACTGGGCTAATAAATAAGGGCATACACCATACAGTGGGCTATGAAGGAAATTTTGCTCGAACAGCAGTGTTGCAGCCTATTCTTATTTTGAATTCCAACTGTCAAGGGATCTTTTACATGCACACCAATGTTTACACGGAACCTCGACTAGACACTGAAAGGGGAAATTGTGCCGAAAAAATTCAAGAAACTTTGTTGATCGGGGCCAAACCTAAGACCTCCTAGTTAGCAAACCATTGTCTTACTATCTGAGCCATTGCGGCTCCTTGGGCAGTAAGTGCACTGGACTCTGGATGGAATTTCAGGAATTCTTCACAACTGGTCCCAGTTGTCTGGGCTGGAACCCATGTGGCTGACAAGTCAACCGAGTTTGACACTACAAGGGCAAGGGTTAAGTTGAGATGATAATGACCAGGATGTTATACTGAACAACATGAGTTATTATAATTTATTTTATTTTTATAGAACAGTTGAAATCAATAATACAGATGCCGAGGGTCGATTAGTTTTAGGAGATGGGGTAAGTAGAACGATCATGCTGCTCCTTATAGTACCGGTAGAGGGTAGGGTAGGGTATAGTACCAGTTCGGTCAAAGTTTAACCTTCCTGTAACGTTAAAAATATTTGAATCAGTTTCAAACACCGGACTATGGGTTGTTTACTACGTAGTGCAACTGGATAAATATTAAAAACCCACCACAATTTATATTAAAAACAATCACTGGTTTATACACATATAGCACAATGTTTCGACAAGTATTATCTTATTGTTATCAAGTTCAAATGATAATTAGTAAAGTAAAAGGTAATGATAACGATAAGAGAATACTTGTCGTAACGTCATGCTATATGTGTATAAGCCAGTGATTGTTTTCAATATAAATTGTGCTCAATCACTAAATGACACTCAAGGATTAGCTAAAGATTGCTGTTGCTTATTGAAAGACAAAGGTGATTAAAAATCTAGTAGTAATCGTAGTAACCCTTGATTTTCAAATACACAGAATTTATGTGGCTACACATTTCCGGTCTATTTATCTTATACGGTCTATCTATTAGTCCAGTAAAACTGGGCTAGGTAATGATGTAACAGATTTTTTTCAGCTATCTTATAGAAAAATATAGTAACTTTTTCTGCTGTTTCCCAGCCATAAATTTAATTAAATCTGCATTCTAAATGGCCATTTAATATTCTAGGTGGCGTATGCTAATAAAGATTTGAAGGCAGACATTATCGTTGACATGGCAACACTAACAGGTGCACAAGGTATTGCTACAGGTATGTCATGAAGTTTATTAATGATCATTTTGTCAGACAGTCTGTCAGTTTGAGAACCAATCACTCAGGACTGTTCCATATAATATTGAATCCACAATTAGGTCAGTTAGAATTAGTTCAATCAAAGATTAAATCACCTGGGTCCCCTTACATGACTAATTCAGTATTTCAGGGATAAAAAGTTATTGTGAAATTTCATAAAACACAATGACATCAAATCAAAGTAACATGACCGTATTGCTGTAAATTTTTATAGTTGTTAACATGGTAATATTGTAACTAATGATATATATTGTAGGTCGTTACCATGGTAATATTATAACTATTGACATATATATCTATTATAGGTCATTACCATGGTAATATTATAACTATTGACATATATATCCATTGTAGGTCGTTACCATGGTAATATTATAACTATTGACATATATATCTATTATATACTATTCAAAAAAAGTAGGGGATATTTGATTTTGGGGGCATAATACTAAAATATGCAAATGACTACGAAAAAAGTCACTATAGAACCTAACAGAAGAAACATTTCCAGTTACATGTGACGCCCAAATGCACCAATAGCTACCGCATGGAATGCAGGTGATGCTTGGGATCATCATGGGGGTCCAACCCAAGATTTGCACGACTCTGACTTTGAATGTTACAGTCATTGTGGCATTGAATTCCAGGGTGGAAACATCAGTTTAATTGTTTTAGTGACCAGAAAACAAATTTTGATATGCGTCGGCTTACCCAAAATGAAAGGTTACGTGCCCTTGGCATGCTACAGATCGGCACAACACAGGCGGTTGTGGCGCGGACGATGAATGTTTCTCAGTCTGTCATAAGCAGGCTATGGTCCAGATACCGTGATACACAATCTGTACAGGACAGACCACGCTCAGGTCGACCAAGGGCGACAACTCAAGCCCTGGATCGATTTATCCGTACCTTTGCCTTGAGAAATCGTGTCATCACAGCAAATCAGATCAGCGCTCGTCTTCAAACAGACACTGGTGTGAGAGTGAGTGGCCAGACGATTCGGAATTGACTGCAAAGGGGTCACCTTCGCGCCCGACGTCCTCGCGTGATCCCTTGTTTGAGAGATCATCACATTCAGGCAAGACGTCGTTGGTGTAGGGATCGTCAACACTGGGATAATCGACGCTGGAGCAATGTGATGTTTTCAGATGAGTCAAGGTTCACTGTTGATTTTTTGGACTGACGTAGGAGGGTGTGGCGTCGTGGAAACGAGCGCTTCCAAGACGTTAACGTCATCAGACATGATCGATTTGGGGGTGGTTCTGTTATGCTGTGGGGAGGCATCACTGTTGCTGGAAGAACGGCTTTACATGTTGTTGCAGGGCGTGTTACAGGCCAGTACTACCGGGACAACATCTTGGCAGTCCATGTTATGCCGTTCGCACGACGTCATGGCCGCCGTTTCATATTCCAGGATGACAACGCAAGATGTCACAGGGCCAGGATCGTTATAGGTTACCTCCAACAACAGAACATCACCACATTACCTTGGCCAGCATTGAGTCCCGACCTCTCCCCCATCGAGCATGTCTGGGACATGTTTGGACAGAGGTTACGTCAACGTCAACAACGTCCTGCCAATGTCCAAGAACTTGCTGCTGCGTTGCAACAGGAATGGGACAATCTGGACCAAAATGACCTTAGACGTCTCATTAGGAGTATGCCACGTCGGATCAATGCTTGTTTGGCAAACAGAGGAGGATTTACCCGTTACTGACTTGGTTGTGATGCTGTGGTAACTTTGCTGTTTGACCCCGGGTATCATTTTACCCTTATAATGGTTAGTCTGTGCCTTACTTATTCTAACGATCATTTGGAATAAATCGATGAATGTGAACTTCATTTCATTTTGTCATTTGTTTCTTCGTCAGTTTCATTAGGTGACTTTAATAACACTTAAAAATCAAATATCCCCTACTTTTTTTGAATAGTATAGGTCGTTACCATGGTAATATTATAACTATTGTCATATATATCTATTGTAGGTCATTAGCATGGTAATATTATAACTATTGACATATATATCTATTGTAGGTCGTTACCATGGTAGTATTGTAACTAATAATGAGTATTTGGAGTTATCGTGTATTAAAGCAGGTCAGAATTGCGGTGATCTTGTTCATGCTATGCCATATTGCCCCGAGTTACACTTTAATGAATTTTCTAGTGCCATAGCGGACATGAAGAACTCGGTCTCTGTAAGTACAGATCCTTTATTTAGAACACCTGATTCCACTTATATAAGATAAACCCATTACCTGTCAAATCTACGATTTCTGTTGTTTATGGTTACTCTTCTAGAACATCTAATAACACTTCTCATTCTCCAGTTAACAAAGTTACTAGCCATGTATTCAGCAGTGTGTATGCTTTGCATTGTTTCGGTCCTACACTAGTCAAGCAATATGGGCATTGGACTCCACGAGAATGTCCCAGGTTAAAATTCTGAAGATTTTTCACACCTGATTCCCACTTATTGTGGCTGACTAGTGATTAAAAATCGAGGTTAACTCCTGTACACGTTAGAACTGGAATTCGTTGACGAGAGTTCTTTTACGTGCATGTCGTACTAGAGAGAAGAGACACTGGAATTCGGTGACGAGAGTTATTTTACGTGCATGTCATACTAGAAAGAATAGACACTGTTCCTTGTCAGTCCTGCACCACAAACAAGGGGAAACCACTCTGGGAAATGCTGGTACTTTCTCGGCCAATACCGAGATCGAAACTTGGACCGTCTCGTTAGTGAACCAACGCCTTTACCCACTGTGTCACCATAGAAAGTGTTTATTAGATTCTGTTTGTTAGGAAAAATTGAGGGGGGAGGGGGTGGCAACACTCCCTTAAAAGAGTAGCCGTTAGATCTGTGTAGATGCTCAATCAAACGGTGATGCTAGTGGAGACGGCAGACATAATAGATAATTAAAAATCCCCACACAACAGCAGTACAAAAACAGACTGAGGTAGAAATGAGGTGGTTTATTCATCTTCATAGTGTTTTTGGTTAAAACAGCCTTTATCAAATTATTATAATACCGTCAGTTAATTAAGTAGCTAAATCTTTAACTCAATATCATCAAAAGTCTTCCACATTGGAAACACAAATTATTGGGACTTGCAGAACAAGGCTAGACATATCCCATAAGCCATGTCAAACGGTGTCGTCATATTCTTATCTGGAGAACATGTGCAATAATTACTACCGGTGTAGACTGGAATAACAGACGCTAGAGATTGCCATACGATTGAGACTTCTCTCGTATTTCCTCGAACATAACTGATTTGGAGTTAGAGGAAAACGTACGTCTCAAATACTATCAATTATATTAGAAATGAGGTGGTTTATTCATCTTTATTACGTTTTGAGTTAAAAGACCTTTTATCAAATTCTTATAATAGCGATTTAGCTGCGTTAATGTACATGTAAACACTGATTATATTCCAGGATCGTAGTAATGCTCAAGTATCATGTGCGGCTCTGTTTATTGGATCACATATAGGATTTGATTTCTCTGGACTGTGGTTACATATTGATATGGCTGCACCAGTCTATGTGGTGAGTACTGGCTGCTATTTCATCTTCTTCCAATAACAAAAACAGTAAAAGCTGCATTATGTTCGAGATAAATTTGCTAGTCAATCTTGTAGGTACCCTCCCTGACAGCTGGGACCCAAACTTGTCTTTTTCGTAGGTACCGTCCCTGACAGCTGGGACCTAAACTTGTCAGTCTCGTAGGTACCCTCCCTGACAGCTGGGACGGGTGTATAATATCTGTGATAAGATCCTGTATATGTTTCTACCCAATTAATATGGACTAAATCATTATATTTGAGTTCTTACAAGCATTTTTTTATTCCATGTATATTGAAACCCTGTGAACGATGCCATAAGTAGCATAGGCCATGACCATGACATATATATAGCCTATGGCAGTGGTTCTTAACCTTTTTATGCCAATGACACACCTTGGAACACATGAAAAATTGGCTGAATATATATGAAAAATATTTGAATTTTGCAAAATTAAAACATGGCAAGTCATAGACGACATACAACTGTAGACAGAGACTAGTCATAGGCACATAAAATGACTCAAACTACATCAAGAAAGACACAGCTATGAACTTACTTTATTGAAGTGTTTCGAATTTCATGAGTTAAATAACTGGCATCTTTAGTGTCGAAATTATCTTAGTGTGCCATTCAAAATTTCGCGGCACACCTAGGAAGGTCTCGCGGCACACTGGTTCAGAATCACTGGCCTATGGTAAAACACTGCCTTATTTATTTCAGGGTGAACGAGCGACAGGCTATGGTGTAGCTTTCTTAACAACCGTTTTCGGCACGCTGTCTGAGAATTCTTTGTTACAATCAATTGCACCTCCTGTGATTAACGAAGATATGGAAACCAAGGAAAGTAACTCTCCTAAAAAAATACGACTATTGTGATGATAAATTCCCTCCCCTTCTGTTACACTAAGTATTGAACGGATAGATCTAATTCATAAGGCCAACTTCAAGTTGGGTCAAAGGTCACGACATCTAAACAGGGCTAGTGCTAATCCCAACCCTAAGCCTGGACCTAGCCCTAATGCTTACTCTAACCCTAACCTACAATCTCCCAACAATCACGTGGTGTCCTAACCTTATTTTCATCTACGTGACCTTGACAAAAATTGAGTTGGCCTTAACAAATAGATCTAGCCTATTTAACCCTCAAATATTTATTTTGATTATTTTACCGATTAATGTATGCTATGTAATCTTGTTAAAATACAGATCTATATTTTGTTTTGTTTTTATACATTTAATGACCTCAACTACATGCGGATCTGATCAGTTGTAGAGGGAGGTCACGTCAGGGATCATACGAACGAAATAGGATCTGACCAGTTGTAGAGGGAGGTCACGTCAGGGATCATACGAACGAAATAGGATCTGATCAGTTGTAGAGGGAGGTCACGTCAGGGATCATACGAGCGAAATAGGATCTGATCAGTTGTAGAGGGAGGTCACGTCAGGGATCATACGAGCGAAATAGGATCTGACCAGTTGTAGAGGGAGGTCACGTCAAGAGTCATACAAGCGAAATAGGATCTGTGTTTTAATCAGATTGAATTCCATGTTTAGTCAAGTTTTATTATACTAGTCTGAATAATTTTACACCAAACGGGAATGCTTGATTGGCCGCCCGGAATTGCAAACACGGGTCGGGGGAATTCAGGTCTGCCAGTCCCGACAACTGAGGGTCTGAGTAGAATCGTTACGTAATTTAACGCAACAAATATATTTCAGCTGTCATGGTTGGTTGAGATACTTTCTTATGCAGTCGGCAGCGTTCACGTTGTGATTCATTCGAAATCCCTCTTTTCATTCAATTATGACTATTTTGTGAATTGAGAGAATTCTGGAACATTGAATCAAGTATCTGTAGAGTGTTTGATCGTTATTTGAGCCATGTTGTTAATCCCTTGTAAACTACCATGTTTGTAATATTTTAATCTCTGTAGTCGAGTGTTTCACTTCTGTCAACCTCCTCTACAAATTATGTAAAATAAATATGATGAACTGAAGATATGTCCACTATAGATAATATAAACAAATGAACAATTTTCAAAACAAAGTTATTTTTGGGTTAAAATACATATTTTTTTTTGTTTTTATATCGCACTTCACCCAGTAGTAATAAAGCCATACAAGATATTCTGGTTCCTGGACAATCATTCCTAAACATCGCATTTCAAGACATTTATTGCATGTTGAATATATGATTATCCAGTATCATTTATCGCATCATAATGTTGAATATTTGATCATCCAGTATCATTTAGGATTGTCAAATTTATTTGTCAAGCCTACGGTACATTATCAGATTCCTGTAAATGGGGGGAAATATTTGTGTGGTCATTAATAAACTGTTTTTAATTTTTGAATGATGTGGGGCTATCTGAGGAACCAGAATTTAATTTTTATATGGCCTAAGCTTGAGATATTTACACTTCACCCATATTGTCGAAGCATTGGTTATGAGTAATACAATAAGCTTGAGAAATATCCACATCACGTAGTTTAGAATATTTTTACTGTTGTTGTATGTGTCAGTGTTAAACATGGTGATTAAGATACAAAATGTCGGCAGGTTTTGTCCAAGCTGTAAATGTCTGTAAATTTCATCTAACAGGAAAGAAATCCTGAGGATAAATTGTTAAAGCGACATTGAGAATAACACGTACAGGACACAATTATATGGAATACAAGTTACGTAGAAGTTATTTCTGGTTACCAGTGGGGAGGTGTTCGATGGCCGAATGGTTAGTGTGTGAGCGTTGTATCATAAGGTCTGTCATTAAGTCAACTGGCGCGGTTTTGATTCCCCGGTTGTACGTGACAACTGACAAGGAGTAGAGTTGCCTGTCCAACCTCATGGGTTTTCTCCAGGTCCTCTGGTTTCCTCCCCTTACGCACAAGCGAATTATTGAAATAAAAATGAACCATGTGTTAGTCCCGAAATGACCTACTTTGTGTTGAGTGGAGGTTGAATCCCATTTCTATCTTTCTCTCATTTTTGGTGACCTTTTGACAAGGGTTCTTTTGACAAGGGTTGTTTTGGTGACCTTTTGACAAGGGTTGTTTTGTCTTTATTTAGTAAAGATAAATTAAATTGTATTCCATATAATCGTGTTCCGTGTTATTTAAAATTAGCGATACTTTATAAAATTAATATTCCACTTCATATTACATATTATGGTGGTGCTTGGTTGTTGATCCAGCCAGAACGTTCTAAATTGATGAAAATCGCAGTTGTGTCCTTTCATAGTTCTGCCAGTCCGGAACTGACTGATGTGTATAGATGATTATTTTCACATGTTTATCGTTGATTATGTATTCATACATTGTTGTTGTTGTGTTGCTAGGCAGCGTCGAGTGTCTGTTATTTATCATTATGCGATGATTTTATTGTGATATGCTTCAATATGTTATCAAATATGGCAACCAATCGTGGAATAATAGAACCATCTTCAATTAACCAAGGTCCATAAAATATCATTATTGTCTTTGGTTCAACATGGTTTAATTTAATTATATATGTGGGGTTGGATGGTCGATTTGTGTAACGTGTAACCAATGCACTTTATATCATAAGATCTGTCTGTCATTGAGTCGAGTGGCGTGGTTTCTATTCCACGCTTGTTCGTGACAAGAGTAAGGTCGTCTGCTCAACCACATGGTTTTTTCTCCACTTGATATAAAGTGAGTAAGACACTAGCTCACTAGCCTGGAGGGCGCGGGTTCGATCCTGGTGCAGGTTGGAGGGCCTGTAAAGGACAGCTATCTAGTCTTTCGGATGGGACGAAAAACTGAGGTCCTGTGTTCACGTTGGCGGGCTTGTCAAAGATCCCTTAGCAGTTGGAATTCAATATAAGAGTAGGCTGTAACAACGCTGTCCGAGCAAAATTGACCTCATATCACACTGTATGGCGTATGCCCGTCTTCATTAGCCCAGTCAGAGCAGAATAGTAGGACGTTAAACCCCATTTCATTTCTTTTTGAGCTATTTTGAACCAATGGTATGTTAGAGACCAAGGTTTTGAGCTATTTTGAACCAATGGTATATTATAGATCAAGATTTTGAGAAGAAATATTAAAATCTGAATTGTTTAATTCTACTTTAAGAATATCTGTTGATTAATGGCTGCTGCTGCTGTCTGATAGATATATATATATACTAATAAATATTTCTAGCAATAAAACAATAAATAACATAAATACTGTCGTTATTCTTTATCAGAAAGGGGCTTAGTGAAGTTGATGCAATAGTCCTCATGGCTTTAGAGTTTATGTCTCCCCTTGTGTTTTTGCACCCCTTCTGGAGATTTTGACAAGAACATTTTGATGTTCATTACTTACCCCTGGGATTTTCCAGCGTGTTAGCGGTGCAGGACGGAGGGACTGGCAAGGAAAAGAGTGTCTAGTCCTTTGGATGGGCTGGAAAAAAAAAGTTCCTGTGTCCACGTTGACGTGAACGTAAAGAAGCCATGAAATCAATAGTTGGCTGTAGTGCCACTGTCCTGGCAAAATTTCCCCCATATGGCCTGTCTTAATGAGACCCAGTCGGAGAAGAACAGTAGGGTGTTAAACCCCATTTCATTTCTAATATGTGAATTCAAACCATTAATTCCCCCGCATTTGTTACCAACAGATGGAATTACTTCTGTTTATGGTCAATATAATTAAAACAGATCCTATTTCGTTTCGTTTTTTATAGTTCAAAATTTCGTTTTACTTGTCTTTACTACACTAGGATCTGGAAGAGTTGTTATCATTGACATGTTCTGGATTATGTGATGGATTAGGCAATGAAACGGTTTGTTATACGGCGAGCTTTTAGCATGAGGTGCACGGAACCGTACTAGAAATATCAATGCTGATCAAATCCTGCATCACTGACAAGGGGAGGCCAGTCAACACTGGGATTGCCAGGCCCTCCATCCTGCGTCACTGACAAGGGGAGACCAGTTAACACTGGGATTGCCAGGCCCTCCATCCTACGTCACTGACAAGGAGAAACCAGCTGGGATCCAGGCTCTCCATCCTGCATCACTGACAAGGGGAAACCTGATTGGATCGAATCCAGGACGTTCTGGTGAGTGCGCCAGGCTCTTGCTCGTTATCATTATGGGTGTAATGTTATGATTTCGTGAAATGATGTCTACTACCCCAATTTGAAATAATGAAAACAATGTATAAACATTAAACATAGAGTTTATTACTGTAAGTGGAACATATCATTCCTATATAACATGATTTTAATTCTGGTCTTAGTTAATTGTTTAAAAGAACCAGAAGGCAATAGTCAGTTATTCTTGTATCTTAAAGCTGCTGTTCATTATTGGTATTTTAAAAACAATATTTAATATTTCATTGCTTAATCCACGCTGAAATGGACTGAAATCGATAATTTAATTAACAGAATCAAAAAATATCAACAGCAGATAATTCCTCGGTTTAACTTCAATCGAATTAAAAATAGGCCCATTAATAGATTTTAAGGTTAAATTTTTATGAGAAGTTCATGATGTCATCCTCAGAATCTCGACTAGAAAAAGTTTGTTTTCCCGAGTTGTATGTCGGCTATATATTTGAAGCAGATGCCTATAATTGGGAAATTTATAATTTATCAAATTTTGGTAAATATTGAATTGAATCAAACCATTAATGAACTAATATTCCTATTAGTGATTCACCGTTCATAATCTTGTAGTATACAAGGTTTTTAAAATACATCAAACAAAATTCAGCAACTTTAAGATGATTTTCTTTCTATCCAACAATTATAAATTAAAACCGGTGTAAGAAAACCTGTCTATTGTCCCCTGGCACTTTTAACTATAAATTCGTTGTTTTATATGAACACACATTATAATTTAAGTGCGCACAAGATGCCCAGGTGTGCGTATGTATTTTGTGTGTCGATAAGCCATGACCGCTTTTCCGTATTTTATAATATAGTTATTTGTTTGATTGATAATGTCACCGACAGCAGATGTTTAAATTGATCAACATGATTGCGTAGATAACCAGGTAGTGGATAACAACATGATGTAAGTAACCAATAAAATAGTACATTCTATCTTACAGTAGATCAAAATAAATACCACAAAATTCAAACTATAACAGGACAAAACTATATTACTGGATGTTAGAGACTCCAAGACTATAAAATTACTGGATGTTAGAGACTCTAACAGAGTATTTCATAACATTTAATATATAAAGTCTGATTTTTCGACTAGTAGAAAGTCACTTCCAGATAATATTTAAAGATGCATTATGTAAGATTTAGATACGATTTAGATACATTGCTGACCATTCTTTCTAGATTACTTTAAACATAGACAATAAAAATTGAATATATTGAAAAATTCATTCCTATTACTTCATCTGATCGTAGGAATGGTACTTGAAATTCCAGCCCATGTCTCGATTATCAATTTGAACTTTAAATTCTTGTGGGTATTCTAATCCACTAGCCTAGAGAGTTGATTTTAGGCTTGTCATATGAATAAATGTATAAATAATAGTTAGTGATAAGCCAAAATGAAAATGTGTAAAAGGGCAGATTTAGCTGTTACATAATGCATCTTTAACTAATATAGGTTGTGGGTACTAACATGTTTCACAAGTTTTTATCTCAAGGATATAAAGTACAATAATAAATAATATCAAATTGAGCTGATTGAATCAACCAGTCTCATCATAGTATTCATCATACAACTGATCACTCGGCAAACCTCAGCAGATTCCAGTACCCTACATCTGAAGCTGTTTTTCTCTCAAGTTTATCCGATTTTCTTTAGACACTAGTGCCGCATCGCAATTGTATAGGCGTAGGTACATATCACTTACCCTCAAACAGGCGAGGCTAAATGTAAGGTACCGGAATTGAAGAGGTTTGCCGAGTGACAACTGATTTCAATATGTCATCATTTAGTCTTATTCACTAACAACATAAAAATTAAAGAATAATTTTTTTTTACATAATATTAGGAATATACAATTTGATTTTTTTTAAGTAATACAGAATTTGATATTTTTCATTAATGTACAATTTGATATTTTTAAGTAATATACAATTTGATATTTTAGCCCTTTTAATACCTGACTGAAGACTTTATCATATAGGGGTTTGTTGGGACATTTAGGTTGCCCTACATGAATTTGGACCGATATCTTTAGTTTAAAATCACTTAAAATTTACCATAGAAATTGAACACCCAAAAAAATTGATGTGAACAAAACTTCTGTCAAATCTGCTGTTAAAAAAAACTCACAAAAATTGTTCTGTAATCCGAGTCTTGTGCAAAACACCTTGAGGATGTTTCACGTTTACATCGGATCAGCCCCTTTGATAAAGTCTTAATACAATCTTTGGCAAAATTTAATTCTTAAATAATATTATGTTCTATACAATATATATATTTATGGAATGAACTTTCATTAATAAGATAAAGATATTTATGGCAGACATTGTTTTCGTTTATTTAGCTGGCGAGAGGAAAAATCAGACTCGTGCAAAAAGGCTCTCCAAGTTTGAACAAGGCGAGGTGTTTGATAAAGAATAAGAGGGACTCCTTTCATTCATAAGACAGGGGTATTTTGAGTAAAACATTTAGTCTATATTATATAGCCTGAATCTTAGCATATTTGGACAATTGCATAGTAACTTTAGACACTATTTTCATGGAAATTATGGAGAGCAATTTTCAGCTATATAAGGCACTCCACGAAAAAATCTTCTTGATCAAGATTCAGGTGCTTGATGCCATAATAAAACAATGATTGTTATGGAATGATTTTAAGATATAAAATAGAAGGTCAATGTCCATCAGACGTGATAACAATATAAGGATTTCGCTATAATGCAGTAATCCTTCAGCAGATTATAGCGGAACCCTTGTGTATGTGGTTGGATATTTACACCAGTCCCTTCATCATTCATTTATTTCCACCAATGAAAGAACAATACAGAGGTCATGTGATTAGCCATGACCAATCAAATATGGGGCAAGATATTTTTTTTTTTCTACGAAAGTGGAGAAAGTGAACTACCAGTGGATGAATATATTTAAAGTATAAAAAATAAAAACTATCTAATTTCCCGTTCCATAATTCGCTCCTCCTGCATTCTTCACCAATGTTCTTATACTATCTTCGTCTATATCTTCGGGTTCCGATGCTAACAATTCTACTGCAAAACTCTGAAAAATAAAACTTAGAAATGTAACAAGGGATGCTCGATTCACAGTCCAGAACATCCTGAATTGACAGAAATGCAATCGAGTAACGCGGAATTCAGTTCTGTCAGTCAAGACTACGGAGGTGGTGTGAGTAGGATCGTGATCGATGTAATTAAACATTTACTTATTCAGTCGACGCATGCGTTGTCGCCCAAAATACCTCTTTTCACTCGATTGTCACTATTTTTGGGATTGAGAGAATTCAATTCCGGAACGTTCAATCGAGTACCCCCAAAGTCTCTCCAAAACTTCATAACGCAGACATTTGTCAAAATCACTTTCTTGAATCTACATTCTAATAAACTTTTGAGGGTTTGGACGGCTGGTTGGTCGAATGGTCTAATGCATTTGGTTTGGATCATAAGGTCTGTCCGTCATTGATTCAAGTGACGTAGTTTTGATTCCCCCACTTGTGAATGACAAGGACTAGGGTCACCTGTCCAACCTAGTGGGTTTCCCCCACATGCCCTCCGGTTTCCTTCCATGGCTAAAAGTAGTAAAAGAACCCTATGTGCAAGGGAATTATTGAAATAAAATTAAACCATGTTAGACCCAAAATAACCTAGACTATGTTGAGTGGACGTTAACCTTCATTTCTCTCTCTCTTTAACACAAATTTGCTCAAAAACATGTAAACCAAAGCTTTAAGATTTTGTATAAGAAAGAAAGCTAGTAGGTTTATGGGAGAAATCAGTGTTGGCTACCTGCCACAATATGGATTTCCAATATTATATAAACTAAATATATATAAATAATGATTTAAAACAATCTAGACATTTATAACAGGATAGAGTAATAAAATATAAGACATACTTGTAGAAAACAGTTACTAATATACTTATAACTGGACAGAGTAATAAAATATAACACATACTTGTAGAAAACAGTTACTAATATACTTATAACTGGACAGAGTAATAAAATATAACACATACTTGTAGAAAACAGTTACTAATATACTTATAACTGGACAGAGTAATAAAATATAACACATACTTGTAGAAAACAGTTACTAATATACTTATAACTGGACAGAGTAATAAAATATAACACATACTTGTAGAAAACAGTTACTAATATACTTATAACTGGACAGAGTAATAAAATATAACACATACTTGTAGAAAGCAGTTAATAATATATTTAGGCCTCAATTCGAAGAGCATTTCCTCAATGTTATGGCTGATTAATGGCCGGCGAGTTTGACCAGGGTAAAGATATCTCTGGGATTGAGATTGTAGGTTTGTATGATTCAATAACCATAATATAGTATAAAGACTGGACCTGGTCGGTATTTATAGATTAATAACAATATTTTAACAAAGGTTGGTTTTAATATAAACAAACAATAAAAATGACTTGACGTGGTTGGTTTTTATAAATTGTTTTTCTTTTAATTCTTAAATGGGGTTTCCGAACAGGTACTTTTGTGACTAACAATACGTAATATGGTGCAATTTTATTTCAATAATTCACTTGTGCATAGGTGTATTCAACATGGTTAGGCATTATAAACTGATATTATTTCACCTTCGATATGTGACAGGTAGTTATTTTATGCTGGTGTTTTATGTGACATGTTGATGATTTAAGGTTGGTTCCCACCCTCTCCCATTAATCAATACATCAATATAGCTTTAAACTCAGTATAATACAGTAGTCAAATAAAACCTACTCAACAACTACCTACACTAGGCTATGTTAACAATACTTGTCTCTTATATGAATTTAAATTTAAAAATTAGAATTTAAATTCAAATGAAATCTAACAGTTAAACATTCCAATTTCTAGGTTTTGGAATATTTTAAAGAAGAGCGAGCTAGCTATGTTAACAAACTTGTCTTTTATAAATTTAAATCAAATACAATAAAAATTCAAATGAAATCTAACAGAATCTTTAAAATGTAAAATAAGGGTTTAACATTAATCTGTTCTACTTTGACATAGAACTTTTAACCGAGGAATTTTTTTATAACTCTTGGTTATTTTGAGACTAACATTTAAAGAAGAATACACATTCATGACATCTTTAACTTTATCACAGAGAGAGAGAGAGAGAGACACTCACAAAAACTAGGTCATTTCGGGACTAACATATGGTTCAATTTTATTTCAATAGTTTTTTTGCGCAGTGGGAGGACCTGGAGTAAACACAATCGGGGATCGAAACAACTCCACTTGATTCGGACATTTTATTTAAAACGCACACCCGTAGGACCATCTGGTCACCCAACCCCCATTACATGTTAGAAACCACGTCACTTGACTTATGGTTATATTGAGACTAACATATGGTTATATTGAGACTAACATGTGGTTATATAGGGATTAACATATTGTTATTTTAGGGAGAACTTTACTTACATTTATGACATCTTTAACGGCTGATTTATCTACACTCATTCTGGCTTTCTTCAAGGGGCTGACATCCTTACCACACCATGTAATAAACACAAACTTGGCTCGTTTACTTAATTCATCACCACTCATCATTCTAACAAAACCATATTTACGATCTTCATCTACAATAGAAAAAAAAAAAAAATAATTAACTTTTTTAATAGCAAATAAACTAACAAATAAAAACTCATTCTAACAAAACCATATTATAATCTATGTTCTTTGTCCAAAAAAAAAACTCTATTTTTTTACTAGCACAATTTAAAAAAAAATACAAAACACCCTAAAAACTCATTATTCTAATAAATCCATATTTACAAACATTTTATAAAACAGAAAAAAAAAAAACTTAAAGATACATTATGGGAGATTAGATAAAGAATTGGTTGTTCTCACTATAATAGTTAACAAGAGCATCGCTAATGCTGCAATATACGTCCACATTATTGCTTTGATTGATATGGTACTCTTTAAAATGAAGAGAATGAAATAGCTGTAATATGACAAAAGGCAAAGAAGGCTAGGCGTTGGGTTTGTCTGCCAAATTTGCAGACAAAATATTAACAAAAAAATAGTTGGAGTCTACACATGTCAAATGCATTTGCATTTCTCAAAATACTGTAAACTGTGGTAATTTGATCTAGTCTAAACTTTTCAATTTCTACTGTCCGTTGGGGTTTGCTATTTTTATTATTAATCAATTATTAATAATAAATTTGGGACTAAATTTTAATGACGAATGACACCCAAACAAATAACCGGTATAAATGCTTGTAACACTTTTATTAATTTTCTCTGGTTACAAAGCGTTCTGAAACGTCAACAAATAACCGGCATAAATGCTTCTAACACTTATTAATTTTCTCTGGTTACAAAGCGTTCTGAAAAATAAGTTTAACAAAGGCTATCAGAAAACACTCACAAAAACCCGAATTTTACATGGGAGACAACTCTTTAAAGCATATCACGCCGAATTTTACATGGGAGACAACTCTTTAAAGCATATCACGCCAGTTTGACATTGTTAGACGGAGTTATCTCCTCCGAACCAAGTGAAACCGAAGTCTGAAATTAAATCCCAATCTGACAAAAGTACTTAATATTCTTAAAAGACAAATTATTAATAATAAATTTGGTACTAAATTATAATAACGAATGACACCCAAACATAAGACTTTTTAAAAATGTACATCCTGAAAACGCACATGTACTTGCAGTTACATGAATTTATAATTTATTTAGTGTGAGAGAGAGAGAGAGAGAGAGAGAGACATTGTCATTGCAGTACCAAAAGGTCTTTAGCAGTGGGAGGAAAGGGGGAGAAAACGGTGGTTTGAAACGTCAACAAATAACCGGTATAAATACTTCTAACACTTACAAAGCGTTCTGAAAAATAAGTTGAACAAAGGCTCTCAGAAACCACTCACAAAAACCCGAATGTTACATGGGTGACAACTATTTAAAGCATATCACGTCAGTTTGACATTGTTAAATGGAGTTTGACATTGTTAAATGGAGTTATCTCCCCAAAATCGGGCATGCACCCAAAAGAAAAGGGACCAACCTCAGGGTATAAGGAATATGTATTTTAAGTTTCAAGATGATCGATTTAGAAGTGTGGCCTGTAGTCGACACACAAAAAGAAAATTGGCATGGCTCTGCCCCTGGGGGTTGGGCATGTAGGGCCTACTCCAAATGATAAGGATGTTCCAAATGATAGGAATGTTCCTTAGGGTACAAAGAATAAGTATATAAAGTGTGGCTCTGCCCCTGGGGGTTGGGCATGTACCCCAAACGATAGGGATGTTCCTTAGGGTACAAAGAATGTGTATGCAAGATTATAAGTTAAGAAATGTGGCCTGTAGACGACAAACAAACAAATACTAGAAATGGGCGTGGCTCTGCCCCTGGGGGTCGGGCATGCACCAAAAACAATAGGGATCTTCCTTGGGGTATAAGGAATAAGTATACCAAGTTTGAAGAAAATCCAGTAAGAATTGCGCCCTGTAGGCGACACAAAGACACACGAAAAGAAAATGGGAAATGGGCGTGGCTCTGCCCCTGGGGGTTGGGCATGTACCCCAAACGATAGGGATGTTCCTTAGGGTACAAAGAATGTGTATGCAAGATTATAAGTTAAGAAATGTGGCCTGTAGACGACAAACAAACAAATACTAGAAATGGGCGTGGCTCTGCCCCTGGGGGTCGGGCATGCACCAAAAACAATAGGGATCTTCCTTGGGGTATAAGGAATAAGTATACCAAGTTTGAAGAAAATCCAGTAAGAATTGCGCCCTGTAGGCGACACAAAGACACACGAAAAGAAAATGGGCGTGGCTCTGCCCCTGGGGGTTGGGCATGCACCCCAAACGATAGGGATGTTCCTTAGGGTACAAAGAATGTGTATGCAAAGTTTCAAGATTATTAGTTAAGAAATGTGGCCTGTAGACGACAAACAAACAAATACTAGAAATGGGCGTGGCTCTGCCCCGGGGGGTCGGGCATGCACCAAAAACAATAGGGATCTTCCTTGGGGTATAAGGAATAAGTATACCAAGTTTGAAGAAAATCCATGAAGAATTGCGCCCTGTAGGCGAACCACAGACACACACACACACACACACACACACACACAGACAGGGGCGACGGCATAATACGTTCACATTATGAATGTGGACGTATAAAAACTAGATATTGTAAAGCGAAACGGCTGAAAATTTCAGTCAAGTTGAGCCACTCTGAACCGAGTATTTAGCGATTGAATTTTGGGCCTAGCCTCGATCATCATTACTAAAGTCGGTACGATAAAAAACATAGTCTTGATTATCCATTTTTTATTTAATCACAAGCAGTAGACCGGGTTCTAATCCAGTAAATATTGCAGGTTAGCAATGCCATCGAGTTGATTATGGTCTGGATAAGTTCATTAATGTCTAATTAATAATTTAGATAAAATTTCAGGCCTAAAGAAAGACCTGCAATTGGCAGATTTAGCTCTTGCATAATGTATGTTTAATAGCGCATAAAATAATAATTTAAAAAATCATATTTAATAATAATTAAATAATCTTAATGAAATAAAACACTGATAATTTGTAACAAGTGACCAAGATTCGAAATATGGCACCTGTACCAAACATTGTCCTAAAGGTAAAAATTAAATCTTTGTCAGGTTTAATCACTGTACAAGAATTAAATAAAGTCTTGTTGGCAATTAATACATTGGACAGTTTTATAAGTAGTCAGTATTTGTGACGCTTGAGCAAGAAATGTCTTGTCTCGACTTAACTTGAGTCAAAACAATGGTGTGATGCCTTCCTTGTTCCTGCTGTATAGCAGCATTGTTGTGGTGTGTGTGTGAGAGAGAGAGAGAGAGAGAGAGAGGACAGGCTACCCTACTCCTCGTCACATACAAGCAGGGAATTGAAACCACGTCACTTAACTCAATGACAGACCTTGTGATTTCACTGCACATATGACAACACTAGACAATCCAATCACAGTTGAAGCAACTGTGTACATAACTTACGACAAATCAATGCCATGTTTCAATATTTTGGTTTACACAAATTGATTAAAAGCGATCATTAATTTGCTCATCTGAACAAAGTAAAGGTGGAGCAAATAAACCAGTTTAAAACCCCGAGATCTGTACCTGTCCTTGACGAGGCTTTTCTTGACCATGCAACATTTAACCTACAAGCTCAAAATGGTTTTGCTTATTTGGGTTAGAGTTAGGGCCGCAACGATTCTTCGATGAACCATGATGTTTTAAAAATCCACGATGCACGATATAATCAATGTCCATATCACAATTCGTTATCCAAATAATAATTTCACAAAATAAACTGATATTCCTTTAAATGTGTAAATAAGTCCATGATCAAAATAACTTGTTTTACTTACAGCGAGTCTTAAGGCGTTTTCGACATATGAAGTGGCTTATTATAGTTATTTCGTCAAGATTAAAATATCAGTCTGGTTAAGCAAGTCGTGCTGGAAATTAAGTTGTGTTCAAATTACACACCTGAGTTGAATAATATGCAGAAAAAAGCATACAGCATATTAATATATATAATATGTCAGTAATATGCGATTTGTGATAATATTACTGTATAAGAATGGCGATTTGTACGTATACTATATATATATATATATATATATCTATACATATACATTGATCATCACATATTTTCAATGTATATTAATATTTGGTATTAAAATCTTCGTAACGTTATTTCCTTTGCTGTTCTGTAATCTATGACTGACCTGACAACGAGGAAGCTTTTCATTAGTTGAAATTGTTGTAGCAATACGAGCCAGCCAGCTGAAATGTTTTCATAATGAATTCACCAAATTCAAGTTGCACGATCGACAAAAGCAATATTGAGATCGAACTCCCCCATACCAAGTATATAAGTCACAAGTAAAAAAGTATGGAAGTTTTTAGGATTCCCCGTTAAGCATGACAGCAATGAAATCCGTTCAGTTGACTTTCAAAATTTAACAGCATTTCTTAAATTCATTTCCTATATCGCGATATTAATCGTATCGTAGGCTATGAATCGTGATGCGCATTGTATCGTGGCCTGGCATTTCGTTGCAGCCCTAGTTAGAGTACGCAACACTATCCTGTCTTAAAATCACCAGCAGTTCTGAACTAGTTTAAAGGAAATAAACCTTCCTCAATATTTCCCATAATTTTCAACTAGTTTAAAGGAGTTAACCCTCTAACTCAATATTTCCCATAACACGACTTAGATTGGTCCATTTCAATCAATATTGATTGATGTTGTTATCCTTTCGTGAAAATATTTTAAGATTCCAAAGAATAGAGCCATACGCCCTTTAAATACAAGTGTCTGAACAGGCTACTTGATACATTAATGTATTTTAAAAACTATAGGAAGTAAAACCCAGTTTCTTCATACATGAAAAGGGTTAGAGTTTCCACATGAATTTGGTTTGAAAACCCTAACAAGAAATAGAATGGATGTGGCAAGATATAAACATGTTGAATGAGTTCTAGGTAATGTTATTTATATTATGCATACAACCCTAACCCTAACCCTAACCCTAGGATACTTCTTCCTTACCTTTACACTAGACAAACCCACGTACTGTGTACACAAGAACCCTTGGTAGTTGGAATTCCATATTAAGAGTAGGCTGTAGCGCCGCTGTTTGGGTAAAATTTCCGTCATACTGCTCATAGCACACTGTATGACATACGGTATATCTATTTTCATGATCCCAGTTGGAGCAGAACAGTAGGGTGTTTATAGGCCTAATTGACACACTAGTCCTTTGATTAAAGGGACAATAACACTCTTGCTGGCTTGACAGCTCCAGAAAATAAAAAAAATAGCCTTATTCTAAGTACTAGATGTGTTAGTGTCCTACCTGTTGTGTAAATTATCCATTAAATCCTTTTTTACTAGTCCAGAGGGTTCAAAAATATTTTTAAATCCAAGTCACATTTGAAAAGCTTTACGTCAGGCTTTTCAAATCATTTAGTTGAACTTTTCCAATTTTTTAAATTAAGTGTGTTAAGATGAAATTTGTATCATCAATTAATTGGAATATTGTAAAATAGTACAATTTGTTGACCAGAATAAAGATTGGGACATATTATTCAGTTACAACAAGAGTGGTATTGAGCCTTTAACAGTCATACTTTCAGTAAGACATAGAAATGTCAATAATACCTGCTTGTTCAAATCTTTGGCAATTCACTCAGTAAGTCAGGTGAATGCTAGAAGTAACAACTTTTATAATAGGTACTTATGTAAAAGGACTGACATGGTGCTCCACCCAGTCACTCCGATTGGACAGAAAGCTATATGAACTGGCTGTACCTAATTTGCGGTTGAAACAGGAAGAAGAGTAGATGAAACTAAGTTTTACAAAAAAATAACGTAAAGTGTCAATGAGATATTTTATCAACTACCATTCCTTTCCAGAAGCTATGATGATTCTTTAATTGGGTAGAACAAAAACATATTTGACGTATTTTCATAATTCGCTTAAATCTTTGGAGGTTTTTTGAAGTGGCAGGAATGGATGCATCTGAGGAAACCCACTGGGTTAGGCAGGTGATTAAACCCATGATCCAAATTCTATATATATAGTATTACCTTTAATTATGATGAAATGAAATATAGGCCCAATAGTTTAATTATGATGAAATGAAATATAGGCCCAATAGTTTAAACTTTTATCTCCAACATTTCTGAACTAACCTGGCTGATGAATGAAGAAAGACGTACAGACTTTGAAATGAATTACTGAATACTGTATCCTAGTCGTATATCTCTAGTCATTATCTGTATAATATTATTAACCCCTCCGGCTTTCTTTTATTGCTTTACAACATCAATCATGTCACCTCCAATATTTCATTGACACTATTCTATCACCTCTCCTTATACAAGTTATAGTTATACACCACAATTAATATTTTACTCTTTATTAGTTCTACTTAATACTAGAGACAGAGAGAGAGACAGAGAGGGGGGGGAGAAATGGGGTTTAATCTTTAATGTCCACTCGACACAAACTAGGTCATTTCAGGATAAACATATAACTCAATTTTATTTCTATAATTTGCTTGCGTGTAGGGGTCTAATTTAGCAGTGGGGAGGTGGGGTGGGGGAACCACAGGACCTGGGGAAAACCTATGAGGACGGACAGCCGACTCTACTCCTTGTCATGACCCGACAGACTGTGTGACCATACGGCCTCACCCCCCGGAAATAAAACTGTGCCATGTTAGTCCCAAAATGGCCTGGTTTGTGTTGATTGGATGTTTAACACCATTTTTCCTTCTCTCATCCCCTAGGCTCACTCACTCTCCTTGTTAGCCTCATATGGGACAGGCCAACCCTGATAAGTGGAAACTACGTTTGAAAAACTTTCGTCTTCGGCCCCACAGGAGCTACATGTACCCGTGAAGGAACCATACTTAAAATATTCCCAAGGCTCTGCTAACCCTTAACAGTTTAACAGCCGTGAATAACAATGGATACATACATCTATCTGTGGGTATTAAGTCAAGTATATGTTGTCAACTGTGATTGAAACGGATAAAGCAATTCATTATACAGTTTGTGTCATTGTTAAAGACTTGTATAAATCGTTGAGTAGGACCAACAGAAGTGGATATGACTAATGATTCAAACATTTCAATCTGTTTAATTTACTGTGTAACAACTACAAGGAGTGGAGATCTGTTAATTAAACCACAGCTTGTGATACAGTATCCATAGTAGGTCTAATATGTGTGGGATATATAATATATGAAAACTATGTAAATATATAACAAAAGAGTAGCCTATTATTATGAGATATAAAAAGTATTATAGTTAAGTACATAAATTAATTTGTCTCCAGAATTTTTGGGCATTTACCTAGTTTATATGAACTTTTATCATTAGATGTATTATAATAAATGAAATGTGATTCAACATGCTACACTGAGACCAGACATGTACGAGAGTTATACACCACCGGTTTATTTCTGTTTACTCTTCATTGTATTGTCATGGTATACACAGGACCAGGGCTTTTTATCCCTGTTGAATAACTTGACTTATACAGCAGTATTTCTGTACAACTACAACTGACAATTAAAGCAGGATATAAAAATCCTGGGAAACTTTCTTGACCCATACCAGGATTAAACATGGGTCCCGTGGTTGTAGAAATAATTAACAGTTGGTGGGGGGGGGGGGGGTGTAGAAATAATTAACAGTTGGGGGATGTAGAAATAATTAACAGTTGGGGAGGATGTAGGAATAATTAACAGTTGGGGGATGTAGGAATAATTAACAGTTGGGGGATGTAGGAATAATTAACAGTTGGGGGATGTAGGAATAATTAACAGTTGGGGGATGTAGAAATAATTAACAGTTGGGGGATGTAGGAATAATTAACAGTTGGGGGATGTAGGAATAATTAACAGTTGGGGGATGTAGGAATAATTAACAGTTGGGGGATGTAGGAATAATTAACAGTTGGGGGATGTAGGAATAATTAACAGTTGGGGGATGTAGGAATAATTAACAGTTGGGGGGATGTAGAAATAATTAACAGTTGGTGGGGGGGGGATGTAGAAATAATTAACAGTTGGGGAGGATGTAGGAATAATTAACAGTTGGGGGATGTAGGAATAATTAACAGTTGGGGGATGTAGGAATAATTAACAGTTGGGGGATGTAGAAATAATTAACAGTTGGTGGGGGGGGGGGGGATGTAGAAATAATTAACAGTTGGGGAGGATGTAGGAATAATTAACAGTTGGGGGATGTAGGAATAATTAACTGTTGGGGGGATGTAGAAATAATTAACAGTTGGTGGGGGGGGGGGTAGAAATAATCAACAGTTGGGGGGGGGGGTGAATTATAGAAATAATTAACAGTTGGGGGGTTGTAGAAATAATCAACAGTTGGGGGGGTTGTAGAAATAATCAACAGTTGGGGGGGTTGTAAAAATAATCAACAGTTGGGGGGGGGGGGGTAGTAATAATTAACGGTTGGGGGAGGGGGGTAGTAATAATCAACAGTTGGGGGGGGGGGGTAATAATTAATGGTTGGGGGGTTGTAGAAATAATTAACAGTTGGGGGGGGGGGGGGGTGTAGAAGTAATTAACAGCTTGAGGGGGTGTAGTAGTAATTAACAGTTTGGGGGGGGGGGGGAGTAATTAACAGTTTGGGGGGGGATAAATAATTAACAGTGGTTGGTGGGGGGTGTAAGAAATAAGATAGATCAATTCTATAAACAAGACTACATGAAAACAAGGAACAAGCAGGGTAATATGTCAGATATGGCACTGGTACATGTTGTGTTGATAACAATAATGACTCGGTGAGACATTTAACATCCACTTGACACAAACCAGGTCATTTTGGGACTAAAATATGGTACAATTTTATTTCATTATAGTCAAATAATGTTTCAAGGTTTTTCATGTTGTTTTATTTAGTATGCCATTCAATGATAATAAAAGTAATGAATTTGATCAGGACATTTAATTATGAACATCTACACCAAGTTTGAACATTCTACCTCATGTATTGTGTCTTGATTGATCAGATTGCTTATCACTATTTAGCCATCATCGAACTCAATATAAACATTCACCTAATGAACAACTACACCAAGCTTGAACATTCTACCTCAGTTAGAAACAGATGTAACCTATTATGTTCCAAAAGGTGGGAAAATGGATTGATGCTTAGCCTAAGCAGAAAATGTTCTTTATCGAACACAGTAAAAGCATTCACCTAAGGAACAACTACACAACATTTGAACCTTCTAGTTCAATTGGAAGCAAAGTTATTGTGCCCCAAAAAGTGTGACGGACATTGAACCCAGGCCCTGCATTCTTCAAAAGTTTGGACAATAAACAGATCATGGAAATCCCAACTTTTAGAAATCTGGAAATGATCTAATAAAACTTGATCACAAACACAGTAAACTTAGATTTGAATATCTAAATTTTCTACCTTGTAATTTCATTATTTAAGAATGAAGTATGTTGCTTACCATTAAAACTTGCTTTAAATTGTTCATAATCACTGCCTGTACCTTCTAATACAATGGATGTTCCATCATATTTTAATATAGCCCTGGAAGTAAAATTATATAATACACAACATAAACATCATACTTCAATATAGCCCTGGAGGAAGTATAAATTAGATAAAATCAAACGGGGTTAAAGGTCTCCGACTGGCTAATGAAAGTTTCTCTAGATTTTCCAGTCAGTTTCTCCCTGTATTTCTTGTCAGTGATGCAGGATGGAGGGCAAGATAGCATCTAGTAGTAGTCTCCCTCATCATAAACACACACACTGCTTGCATGCCTGTCTTCATTAGCCCAGAGAGGGGTTGCCGGGTTGGGTGGTCTAGTATAATTATAGTGGTTTAATGCGTGCATATGAAATCGTAATGTCTGTCATTGAGTCAAGTGGCACAATTTCGATTTTCCATGACAAGGATTAAGGCTGCCTATCCAGACTCGCGTACGTGTTTTCTCCGGGTCCCCTGTTTTCCTCCCACTGCTAAAGACCAGAATATGTTAATCCCCAAATGACCTAGTTTGTGTCGAGTGGATGTTAAACCCCATCTCTCTCTCTCTTTAGCCAAGATGGTGTAGAACAGTATGACGTTAAACTCCATTTTATTTCATTTCTTTATGTGACTTCTTCCCACAAAACAAAGTGAATGAAAAAAGAATACCCCCCCCCCCCAAAAAAAAAACTGTTAAGATTTTGGCTAGACTATAGAATCTGTCCACCACTTAGATAAGCTGCAGCTTAACAAGATTTACATTCGGCGTAGGAGAGGTGGGGCTACCATTGTCTATTGGTACATATGAACCAGCTACTAGCTAGGCTACAAAAAGAAGCCCACAATAAATGACCCAAAAATATGTACCAGTAATAAAATAAGAGATAATAAGATGTTTATTGCATCAAAATGTCCATATAGGCCTACACTTAGACATATACATTTAATAATACATATTAGTATTATTACAACACAATACATTCATACAAACAGTATACTACATGTATATCTAAGGGGTTTCAGTCTTTAGTTACATACATGTAGTTGCCACCAAATTTGATTTAGCTCTCTTATCAAAAGCCAAAAGCACGACAGTATGTATTTAAGAATAATAATTTATTACTATTTATTAAGTACCGCGGTTATAATCATTTTAGTATTGAAGATGTTATAATGATATATACCCAACTTGAATCACTTCCTAGATATAATAATATGGTATTTTAATTTAGTAGGGTATTGCACTTGCAGTCAGGGATGGGTCTACATGTATGTATCTAGGCCTAGCTACAATCTGCATGACAAATATTGAAATAATACATCTTGGTCTGCCAAGAAAGACTACACTAATATTTTATTTCTTTTAATTTAAAATGAAATTAAAAACAATTTTGTGATTAGAAAATTTTACTTTACTATTTAGAGTTTAGGACAGGTTTTGTTTCACTTCGAAAAATATTATTAGGCTATTTTAGTATTATATAGTAGGCTATTTAGACTGAAAGTTAAGATTTATTTTACCATTTCGTTTATAACTAAAAAGTAAAATATTGTTTTTATTTTGAATTAAATTCTCGGGACACAGTGAAACCTCTTGTAAAATGTTTGAAATAAACTGGGAGTGATTCAAATCTTAGCAGACTACGTTAATTTTGTACTATGAGTTCAACCCGGTCGCAAATCCATAAAAAAGGGGCGTTGTCTTGTTAAGACCTTGCTTGTGAAGTTCAAACAAATTGAAAATCGAAGTCGAATTTGATCTGCGTAACACTGTGTATAAAACCAAAATATTATTATTAAAGAGTTTGTTAACTTACCAACTTGTCTCTGAGGAATCGTCCCGTACCTCATTGTAGGCTTCTGTAATTGATTCTTTTTCAACTTTAGCCATTTTTATTGAAACAAATTCCGACGACCGCGTAGTTTAGGTGATTGACTGCTTGTCTGAAACCTCGCGATACAACGTCAGTCAACTGGTACGTCTCGCGCACTGTGCTCAACAACAGGTCAAATGGCAGGAGTGAATTCCCCTTGTTGATTGATTTCTATTAAACGCCGGTTCAAACTGTTTCATAAACAACGTTAAGAAATGATATTTCTGTTCCCTCGGGAAACGGTGGCAAATTTTAATTACGAATGCTACTGTATACGTCCTATGTTCATATAATATTCAATAAAAAAAACCCCGATGATGTCACTTTACACCGGAAAAATAACAACAAAACAACGGGACTGTCGATATCCCGTGTCACACGCCTTCAATATAAACCTAGCAGACGACAAAAGATGACCAATCAAATCATCGGAGACGAGACAATCTGCCCATATTTGGAAATATCTCGTGAAGCTCGATCTATCATAGCCGCGATAATCCAGATACAATGATAAATTGCATGTTAGTCACGAGAATAGCGATTAAGACGCGAATACCAAGTCACTAACCCGTGGCCTTGTCATCAAATCTCAGGAAAGGCTGTTATGTGACCCGCATCATTGCGGAAAAAGATTGAAGATATTTTAATGGCACGGGGTTCATGACCTACAGATGATAGCGATATATATCAAATATTTTCTGGGTTACAGTAGATAAGTGGGCGGATGTAATATTCAGGCCTACATGATATGGGACTGGCGTGGATGGAGTTTATTAAAATTAAAGTCTGACAACACAATAGCCTACCAAAAGATGATTATTAGACTAACATATGTACATTTCAATTCTATCTTTAGGCCTACGATACGTACGTGTGAATTACGATAGTGGAATGTTGCCGATACCAGCTAGGGCGTGACCCGTGGTGTTCGGGACTGGCACATAAAAGTAGCTGGGTATGGGGGCGGGGGCGGGGGTATGGACCGCGTACTCTCCCCACCGGAATGTCTTATCGCTTTTCTCTACCAGGGGATCACGTGGCTAAGTGGGTAAGATACTGGCTCGCTAGCCTGGAGGTCCGGTGTTCGATCCCTGCATTGGCCGAGAAAGTTCATCCAGATTTTCCGGCGTGGTTCCCCCTTGTCAGTGATGCAGGACGGAGGGCCTGGCAAGGACAGCTGTCTAGTCCTTCTGATGAGACGAAAAACCGAGGTCCCGTGTATACATTGGAATGCACGTAAAAGATCCCATGGCAGTAGTTGGAATTCGAGTAGGCGATAGTGCCGCTGCTCGGGCAAAATTTCCCTCACACACTGTATGGCGTATGCCCGTCTTCATTAGCCCAGCATAGGAGCAGAACAGTAGGACGTTAAACACCATTTCATTTCATTTTTTCTTCACCAAGCTGTCCACCCTGCACCCATAACATGTGGAACGTCAACTCGACACAAATTAGGTCATTTCAATATTTCGATTGCGCGTAGGGAGGAAATCGGGGGACCCGGAGAAAACCCAATAAATATTGAGGAAAAAGGATAGGCTACAAAGTGAGGAAGAAAAGGTATATGACATGGAAAAAAAGATTTCGCATTAACTCTTTAAAAAAAAAAATGGCTTCTTCATTCGAGTATCGTCAAGACAATTCGGGGTGAGACGGTGTCGGTTGTGAGGAAGCACATTTTCATAAATTTATATAAAAATATTTCATCTATACATGAGGAACGGTATTTTTCTACTTTGGAATGAGGAGGTAAATTTTCTGAATTAATTGTGAGGTGAGGAAGAAAAGAAGGCATTTTGAGGGGGAAAAGGGTACATTGTGGTCTAATATACACCCCTGAAAATGTGGTTTAAACGCCCTCCTCAATATACTGGAGTAGGTCAATAATTAAATTATGTAATGGCAGAACCAGAAATAACGAAATACGGTTTAATAATTTATTCTCCCGTCATCACCCCTAACGACACCCCATTACTCACGGGGTTAGTATTCCCCAAAGATAAACAGTAACAAGATGTACCGGGAAAAATGGGACGGAAGAACGAACTGAACCCATATTTCATTATCAATTCTTTAACTTTTTTTGGGTGCGGGAAAAGAAAAGAAAAGACAGGTAATGACATGGGGTTTAACGTCCTATACTTTTATTTACCAATTGGGTCATGTAATGAAGAGGGGCATACGCAGAGGCGGATCAAGGCAGCTCGGCCAGCTGGGCCCGTTGCGGAACTGGTTTGCCGTAGTAAAACTAACACCGCTGTAAGAGAAATTTCCGAGGATATATATACTGATGGAATAATGTCAAGCACTACAACTTAGTCAAACATTACCATGTCAGTCGGCCATTTTGCCTGTACCGTTTTTTTTTAGGAATTCGAATTTTGTCTAATGGTTTGGATTGTTCGTACTTGGTTTTATTTTATTTTAAATCAATTGATGCCCAGAGGAGCACAGAAACAGCCAATTATTGCTGGATAAAATGAAAACAAACTTAATTTCCAAGATGTCATCATCACTTTCAGAAATCACTCCCTCCCTGGTCGGTCGGCGACTTATTATTCTCGACGATATCATTCGTGTTTTCATCGACTGAGCAGTGACCCTGTCAGGGCTCTATAAAAGTTGAGTGTGCCTGCGCACACACTTGAAAATGTGCCTGCAGGGTCATACTGAAACACAGGGATGTAGCCATGATTTGGTGAGTGGTGTATAAATATATCTGGCGAGCGGAGCGAGACCAAAAAATTTCTGGGAGGGGGGCGTGGTCTTTTATGAAAATTAAACCCTTGTTGGTGTATTTTCAGAGCATCTGCTGCCTTTTGTATTTGGTTCAGTGCAAATCAAATTTCCATTTATATATTCAAATTTTACCAAATTCACTTAATTTTCATCAATGATACAGGGATCTAAAAACTTTTTGACACCACCCGACCGAGCATAAAATTGTCCCGCCCAACTCTGTTTCTCTGGATAGTTGAGGACCTTTAGGTATTTGTTGTTTTGTTGATTTTTTTTGTTGTCAAATATTACTTTATTACTTTGAGATTAAAACGATTCTTAAAACGGTGTTTGTGTTTTATTTGAGTACAACGAATTATGACAACAGGTAGATATTGATAATTAAAACACGTTGTATTATTTGACTTGTTTGTAAAGTTGTTGTACGTGTCTCACGAATATTATTATTATTACGGTGGAATGAGAATCAGGTCAGGCAGAAACTGAGAAAGCTCTCATCGTCCTCCTAGTCCTACTCTCGGGCCGTAGCAAATCCACGGTCAACACAGGTAAGAAATAAAATAAGAAACATCATGAAAATTTGCAGGCACGTGTTGGACAATTACGACATTCAAACCTGTAACATTGGAGTGCCGTAAATTGGTCTGGGTGACCTATTTACGGCAAATAAACAAATATTATAAAGACCGTAGAATAATTGAAAATGAATATACCTAGGCCTACACATCTTCTAAGTATAAATAAACAAAATACCAATACATCTTTCTTTAAACTAATTTGGGATGATAGGGTCTACTACGGCAAACAAACAAAAAATTATGCCGTGACAGACATGGTTTGCGTACGTCGGCTTTTACTTTTACCATGGCTTTGCCGTTTAATTGCCGTGGTTAATTTCGAGCGCCGAGTTTGTGTACAGAGAAGGACGAAGGGGTTTAAATACGACTGGGCGGCTTTCTTCGATTTTTCCTTTGTGCTGGGCGGCAAAAAATAGTGCCGGGCGCAGGCGCCGCCCGGCGTGGCTACATCTTTAAAAATGTGCCTGCAAAATTTTTTTTTAAAGCAAATGTGCGTGCGTGCGCATGTGCGCGGAAATATCGATGCCTGGACCCTGTTTCTGGCGGCCGAAAAACATTCGTGATTTTGGGTGTTGATTTGGCCGCGTTTTTCAGCATTTCAGCTTTATGGGGTTTTTTTCTGTTCTCTCTTCCCCCGTCCACATCTTTGTTCTTGGGTCATATCAACGGGGAACCGGCCTACGTTGAAATGACTCGGCCTTCATGTAATGAAGGAAATGCAAATTTCAAGAGAAAAACTTTTTTAAAATGATAGCGAAACCGGATACCAGGCTAATGCAAGGCGAGCGAGTGACCAGTCTCCCAGCTGGAGTGATCGATCACACTAAAGCTCATCTCGAGCGCTATGGTGTCAAAGACCGTGTGAGCCTTCTTCCCTCATGGTGAATTAAATAATGTAAAACATCAAATTTAAAAAGGTCAAAAATTTTATGGGGCATATTTTTTCTTGGGCCCTAGCTAGCTGCCTACACTGCCTATGGGGTAATCCGCCTCTGGGCACACGACAATGTATACACGGAACCTCGATATTTCTTGCCAGCCGAACCACCAGGCCCTCCATCCTGCATCATTGACATAGGGAAACCACGCTGATATATCGCGGGATTTTCTGACAAGGTGACCGTAGGTCTGTGGGGTAATGAAGTAAATAAAGAGCCAGGGAGTGTCATATTCCTGAAGCAATGGCCCGAAAAATCACTCTCTGGCCATTGCTGGATAATCGAACTATTGACCAGTCATAATTTGGAACAGAAATTTGCTTTGATTACGGCAGGGTTGAGTGGGATTAGGTCTAATCAAAGGAAACACTGCGAGGAGTATGGGGAGTGTAGAATCTGCGGGACACATTTAACAAGGGAATAAAAAAGAGGAAAAAAGGGAAGATAAATAAAACTTAGTTTTGAAAGTCATTGAGCAAAATGATAAATCAATTTTAGTCCATCAAAGTAAGTAATATGTCTAGTTTATCTCTCCAACGCGAACGGATTTTGTTGTCTACAACTACTGTTTAGTGACGCCGTCGCATTATAAAATCATATTTATTTTTTACTTGCAACAATACAAATTGAAAACAAATTGCAGATTTTCTTCACCCTATAGTTTTGATGCTTTTATTATTTATTTATCGATTCCTAACTGATTAGTATTTCTTTTTGTGACGTAAACAATGTAAGAATTACTTTATATTTGTTACGGGGTACAAGGCGGCTTTTTACCACGGGGTCCGCTGGCGCTTCACGGCCCTACACGTGAACGCATTTTTTTGTAGACGCTTTTACTTGTCAGGGCTTCAGCCCTGCACCCCATTTCTCTCCCACTCTATTTTCAGTGTACTTTTTCGTTTCGTTATATTATCCCTGCATTTCATATTTTGTATTTACCAGATGGAAAGATGATCACTTGCTTTATGTTTCACTGATGAAATCTGCACGTCACCGTGTAGAGACTGGACACAATATGTCTGGCTACAAAACAGCGTGTAAGAAAATAAATAGTTAATATGTTTAATTCATTATGTTTTTATTCCTACATTCATTTATAAAAATGCATTAAGATACAAAAAATCTTTTAGTTTGAGTTAGCGTTGAAGATTAATGGTCACGAAGGGGAGTAAGTGTTATGCACTAATCAAGTGCGGATGCTAGCACGGTTTCCGGTATATCATTTTGTTTACGTTCAAATCGTATAATAACAAGTAAAAATCATGGATAAATTTGATACAAATGATGAAGAATCTGTACACATGCTTGAGGGAACTTCTGGCAAAGAAATAGGGGGCTTAGTTGTTATGAAAAAAGGCCCTTCGAACAACAAGGAATCATTTAAATTTACAAAACCATCCGTTTCGTTACTAGGATTGGATAGGTTAGCAGCCGAGAAACGATTAAGTCAGCAAAATGAAAATCGTTCGAGTAAAAAATCCAAGATTATGTCTTTTAGAGATGAAAATGATGAAGATAGTAGTGATGATGATGATGACGAAAATGAAAATGCCACAAGCAGACATGGGAATCGCAAAGATCGCCACTATCGACGGAATAAAGAAGAGACTCCGTCCCATCCAGGAGGTGTCAGTCGAGCTGCTAAAGAGAGACATGATCGTCACCATAGGGATAGGGATAGAGGTGTTTATGCGTCCTCTAAAAAAGACAAATATAAAAACTCACGTAAAGATGACCGACGTCGAAGCAGAGACAGAGGTGACCGGAGTGACCGTAGTTCTAGATCTAGATACGATGATGACAGATCAGAGAGATCTGATCGACCTAGACACAGGGGTCGGAGTTACAAAGACTGGGAGGAAACACCAAGTCACAGTTATGATGATGATTTAGCGACTCCAAATATAAAAGTTAAAGACACTCCATCTCGATCTAATTGGGAGGACGACGATTTTACTCCTCCTATGAAATCAAGTTGGGACCTCCTGACCCCCGGTTCCGATTCCAAACATGATTCTGACAGAGACATTCGGAGTCATCGTTCCCATAAATCAGATTCTTATAGGTCATCAAAGTCAGTGAAAATGTCCGGACATAGAAAGTACATGGATGATACTCCAAAAGCTACTCCGTCATATAAGTATAACTCTTGGATGAAAAACTCTAAAAAGATTGTTTACACACCTCGAGAGGATAAAAAAGGTCCGAAGTTTGAAGGGGAAGAAGATGGCTTAGAGTGGGAGGACGAACAAAAACGATTAGATCGCGAATGGTACGGAATGGATGAAGGTTACGATGACAATCATAATCCCTTCTCCGGGACATCGGAGGAGTACACACGGAAGAAAGAGGCTGACATGGAAGCAAAGAAGAAAAAGCGAATGTCCGCACGACAGAGACAGATTAATAAAGATATTGACATGTGGGAAACCAATCGAATGCTGAGAAGTGGCGTCGTTACGAAAACTGATTATGATGAAGATTTCGAAGAGGACAATGAGGCCCGAGTTCACTTGTTAGTTCATAATATTGTACCCCCGTTTCTCGATGGACGAATTGTGTTCACTAAACAGCCTGAACCTGTCGTTCCGGTTAAAGATCCCACTTCGGACATGGCTATCGTTTCTAGAAAGGGTAGTCTAGTGGTTCGGACTTTCCGTGAGCAAAAAGAACGTAAAAAATCTCAGTTGAAACAGTGGGAATTGGCAGGAACTCGAATGGGGGATGTTTTAGGTATTGAAAAAAAGGAAGAAGAACCTGGAAAATCTGATGAACAAATGGATTTCAAAGCTGATCACAAATTTGCAGATTTGATGCAAGATAAGACAGAAGCTGTAAGTGAATTCGCTAAAAGAAAATCCATTAAATCACAAAGAAAATATCTTCCTATATTTGCGGTGAGGAATGAGCTGTTAAACATTATTCGTGACAACAGTATCGTGATTATTGTTGGTGAAACGGGCTCGGGAAAAACGACACAGCTTACTCAATATTTGCATGAAGACGGTTACACCAAATATGGACTTGTCGGTTGTACCCAACCGCGTCGTGTGGCTGCCATGTCAGTAGCTAAAAGAGTGTCTGAAGAAATGGAAGTTAGTTTGGGTGAAGAAGTAGGGTACGCTATTCGATTTGAAGATTGTACGAATGAGAACACGATGATCAAATATATGACAGATGGTATTTTGTTACGTGAATCTCTGCGTGAATCAGACTTGGATCACTATAGTGCTGTTATCATGGACGAAGCTCACGAAAGATCTTTAAATACTGACGTTTTGTTTGGGTTACTTCGTGATGTTGTTTCTCGGAGGCAGGACTTGAAATTAATTGTAACATCTGCCACTATGGACGCTACAAAATTCTCAAACTTCTTTGGTAATGTTCCCATCTATACCATCCCCGGAAGAACGTTTCCTGTTGATGTCATGTTCAGTAAAAACCCTGTGGAGGACTATGTTGATGCGTCAGTTAAGCAGACGTTACAGGTGCATCTTCAGGGTCTAGAAGGAGATATTCTCATCTTCATGCCAGGTCAGGAAGATATTGAAGTCACATGTGAATTGTTGGGTGAAAGACTGGATGAACTAGATGATGCTCCACCATTAGCAATCTTACCAATTTACTCTCAATTACCCAGTGACCTCCAAGCTAAGATTTTCCAAAAAGCTCCTGACGGTGTTCGAAAATGTATCGTAGCTACGAATATTGCTGAAACGTCTTTGACAGTAGACGGTATAATGTTTGTTATCGACGCAGGATATTGCAAACTGAAAGTCTATAATCCTAAAATTGGTATGGACGCTTTACAGATTTATCCTATTTCCCAAGCTAACGCCAATCAGAGGTCTGGTCGAGCTGGTCGAACAGGACCGGGTCAGTGTTATCGATTGTACACCCATAGACAATACAAAGATGAACTACTGGCTTGTACTGTCCCGGAGATACAGAGGACCAATCTAGCGAACGTTGTGCTGCTTCTCAAATCTTTAGGTGTCCAGGATCTGTTGCAGTTTCATTTTATGGACCCACCGCCCCAGGATAACATACTTAACTCCATGTATCAGTTGTGGATTCTCGGAGCTCTGGACAACACTGGTTCTCTAACACCCATGGGAAGACAGATGGTCGAATTCCCTCTCGATCCAGCTCTGTCTAAAATGATGATTGTGTCTTTAGACATGGAGTGCAGTGCGGAAATGTTAACCATCGTGTCAATGTTGTCCGTCCCTACAATATTTTACAGACCTAAGGGTCGGGAGGAGGACTCTGATGGTGCTCGTGAAAAGTTCCAAGTTCCCGAAAGCGATCATTTAACGTATCTCAATGTTTATCAGCAGTGGAAGCGTAACAGTTATTCATCAAGTTGGTGTGGTGAACATTTTATACACATCAAAGCCATGAGGAAAGTTCGCGAAGTTCGTCAACAACTGAAGGAAATCATGGACCAGCAGAAAATGGACATGATATCTTGCGGCAACGAGTGGGACATTATTCGTAAAGCCATCTGCTCGGCGTATTTCCACCAAGCTGCGCGATTGAAGGGTTTAGGTGAATATGTGAATTGTCGAACTGGCATGCCGTGTCATCTGCATCCAACGAGCGCTCTATTCGGCATGGGATACACCCCAGATTATATAGTTTACCACGAACTTGTGATGACATCCAAGGAATACATGCAATGTGTAACAGCTGTCGATGGTCAATGGCTGGCCGAGTTAGGACCAATGTTTTACAGTATTAAGGACGCGAGTAAATCTCGAGTAGAAAGAAAGAGACAAGAGGTGGATGAAATGGTTGAGATGGAGGAAGAGATGAGAAGAGCTGATGAACTTATAAAAGCTAGGAAAGAACAACAAGAGAAGGCTGTTCTATCTAGTACACGCAGTCAGATTGCCACCCCCGGACGCCGGGAACCTGGCACACCTGGTTCCACTCCTAGAAGAACTCCGGCTAAATTTGGATTATGATTCAACGTTTATATCAAATCGCGGAATTGTTTTGAGACGGTGGCCTCAACATAGAACACTATACATTACGTACCACCGGGATTGGGCCTACAAAATCAGTACATGTAGATATTGCATGGACACGTGGGTATCTGTTATTTTGGAATTCAATTTATAGAATGTGTACAATTTATGGTTTCACGTTTTGAATTGATGTGGATAAGAATGGAAGAGTGGATATTTCAATTCATCAGTAAACCCAGAATTAAAACCTTCGTATTACTGGACGGGGGAGAATACTGGCGTTTATTTATAATGTCTGCAGTGAATTCGACCCAGACACGTGTGGTATGCGGGGTATTTTGCCCCGACAAAGCGTTTCCATTTCCTCTACGTCGAGTTCCAACTCACGTGGATGTTAACGTCTACACTGATCCCTCGGTCCTTCGTACGTTCTCCATGCGAGCCCCGCGCACCCCCCCCCCACCACCACGTCTGATGGGAAATCTGCCCGGAATATACATGTCTATATATGTAGACTACTAACTTGGTTTTATGTGTAATCGTTTGTGATTTTAAAATTACATTTTTATATATGTACGATTGTGTAAATATTAAACCATGTCACATGATTCTTCACAACTCCCCAAAAATATATTCTATAGATTCTATATGACATTTCTTCGCACCTGGTGCGTGTTGGGTTTGGGGGAGGGTGATTGAAATTTTAGAGATGAAATGAAGTGTGATGTAACGTCAACCGGGATAATGAAGATGGGCATCCGCCACGCAGTTTGCTATGAAGAAAACATTTCCCTAGCGGGTTTATATTCGTCTTATTTCCATTTTCAAATGTCACGTGATCTTTACCATGCTGCTGAATGACACGTGGTGATCATTAGCATGCTGCCAAATAACACGAGATCTTTACCATGCTGCAAGATGACACGTGATCTTTACCATGCCGCAGAATGACTCTTGTCATTGATTCAACTAGCGTGGTTTCAAATCCCCGGTTGTACGTGACAAGGAGTAGTGTAGCCTGTCCAACCTCGTGGGTTTTCTCCGGGTCGTCCGGTTTCCTCCCACTGCTAAAGACATCTACGCGCAAGTCAGAACAGTAGGACGTTAAACCCCATTTCATTTCATTTCTACGCGCAAGCGAATTATAGAAATAGAATTGAACCATGTGTTAGTCCCGAAATGACCTAGTATGTGTCGAGTGGACGTTAAACCCCATTCTCTCTCTCTCTCTCTCTCTCTCTCTCTCTCTCTCTCTCTCACTTGATCTTTACCATGCAAAATGACACGTGATCTTTACCATGCTGCTAAAGGAAACGTGATCTTTACCATGTTGAAAAATGACACGTGATCTTTACCATGCTGCAAAATGACACGTGATCATTACCATGGTGCCAAATGACACGTGATCATGGCTGTGGAATAGTCTTATACACGTGACTTAGGGTTTTCGTTCTAACAACTAATCGCTTTTCTATACTAACGCAGACACGGGGTATCGTAAATGATTGTCGTATTTGTCCTAGGATAGCGTGACTCTGTGTTCAAAATGGGAGCCACAGTGGCCCGGTGAGTAACACGAAAAGAAAAAAAACTCCAGGAAATAAACCCACGCTGGCTCACTAACCCAGAGTTCCCCAGGCCGATCGCGGTGTTGGCCGAGAAAGTTCATTGGGATTTATCGGCGTGGTTCCCCCTTGCCATTGATGCAGATGGTGCTGTGAACACAATAAAAACCAATATTAATAAAAATGGCCAGAATTTATGATATGGATAATTGTTGAGCCAAATTTTTCTGTAATAAAAATATTTTACGTATTATTTAAACTGTATTTAAACTTCTGTTCTGGGATGTTGGAACTTGAATGGAGCTGTGTTATTATGTGTATTATTTTTATTCTATACAGAGACTCAATTGGACTGGATATGCTGTCGAAAATGAAATAAAATGGGGATTAAAGTCCTACTGTTCTGTTCCCTCTGGGCTAATGAAGACGCCCATCTGCAATAGAAGGCTTGATCTCGCTTTTCCGTGAGTTTTTAAACTAAACGTGTATCACGTGTCTGTTATAAAGGGAGATAACTACCAAAGGTTTGGGCATTTCAGACAAATCTAGCAACGGCTATATGTTGTAAAACTCACGGTGGTTGCTTCAGGAACATGAAAGTCGCCATTCTGTGTGCTGTGAGGAAAATTTTGCCAGGATAGCGACGCTACGGTCTACGCTTATGTCGAATTTCAACTGCTAAGGTATATTTTTCGTTCATGCCCATGTGTATAATGGATCTTTGTGTTTTCGTCACGTCCGAACGACTATACCTTGTCCCTTGCCAGACTCCTGTACTACACCACTGAGTGTTCGGGGGGGGGGGGGGCATGTCGGAAAATCACAATGATCGAACACGGGACGCCCATGTCTTACTTGCTGAGCAACCCTCGGAGGCCAGAAAGGGGTAAACATCAAAATCCAGTAACGTATGTGTCCGCCGGTCGTCAGCGAGCGCCGAAATCCCAGATCGTACCGTGTAGGGGTCTCTCAAACAAAGTTTGGTAAACATGACGGTAGCAAATTGCAACGTGGACTAATATGACCTGAATTCCAAGCAAACAATAAAAGATCCCAACGCACAAGCGAATTAATGAAATAAAATTTAACCATATGTTAGTCCCGAAATGATCTAGTAAACCCCATCGCTCTCTCTCTCTCTCTCTCTCTCTCTCACTCTCTCAATTTTATTTCAAAAGTTCGCCTGTGCAATAGGGGTCTTTAGCTGTGGGAGGACTGGAAGAAAACCCACGAGTTCGGGCAGGCTACTCTACTACTTGCCACTTACAAGCTAGGAATCGAACCCATACCGTTTGGCGGACCTTATGATCTAAAGTCCACTCGACTACCAAATGCCACGATGTAAAATAAGAAAGTCTATTTATAGAAATAAACATGACTGGGTGAAGGGTCCTGTGATTTTTAAAAAATGGCCACAAGTAGCACGGCCTAAATCTCAGATTTTCCCCAACTAATAGTAAGTGCAGGGGGACTGCACCACACAAAATTTACACAAAAACAAATACACGGACAAGACATCATACTCAGAAAAACACAGACTGACAATTCAAAAAAAAAAAGTGAATGGATCCGGGGGCTAGCCATAAGCGTCCACTGCGCTGTACAGTCCCGGGTCTGTAGTGACACAGACTTCACTCAAATTTGAAAACAATAAGGAATGCAACCCAAAGAAACCATTATGTAATGCCAGCATGAGTCATGATCTGCTATATGCCACAAGAAATACGAATGCAAGCATATGTAGTAAAATTCAATTATACAAGTAACCACATCGGTGAAATGTAAAAAATAGGCCAAACATAAATCAGTCAAGAAACGTTTCATATTCAATGGAATCGAGGTATATTGAATACATAACGTGTAGGACTGCCGGCTCCAGAAATAATAGATGATATTCATTTCTAGGAGAACCCACCCGAATCGAGTTATATCCCTTACAATAGGTTTACCATATTTAAACATGACCGATGACCACGAATAACAACCGTTTCTTTAATTTGAATACAAGTCAGATATAGGCTGACAATTGTTATTGACCCGTGTGTCATTCTGGTTTTATCTTCTAAATGACACACGCTCAATGAACTTTCTCGGCCAATGCAGGGATCGAACACGCGACATCCCAACTAACGTGTAGGACTGCCGCCCCCAGACTGATAGATAATATTCATTTCTAGGAGAAATGAAATGAAATGAAATGGAGTTTAACGTCCTACTGTTCTGCTCCTAACCTGGGCTAATGAAGACGGGCATACGCCATACAGTGTGCAATGAGGGAATTTTGCCCGGACAGCGGCACTACGGCCTACTCTTATATCGAATTCCAACTGCCAAGGGATCTTTTACGTGCACGCCAATGTGTACACGGGACCTCGGTTTTTCGTCCCATCCGAACGACTAGACAGCTTTCCTTGTCAGAGAGGAGGACTCTGATGGTGCTCGTGAAAAGTTCCAAGTTCCCGAAAGCGATCATTTAACGTATCTCAATGTTTATCAGCAGTGGAAGCGTAACAGTTATTCATCAAGTTGGTGTGGTGAACATTTGATACACATCAAAGCCATGAGGAAAGTTCGCGAAGTTCGTCAACAACTGAAGGAAATCATGGACCAGCAGAAAATGGACATGATATCTTGCGGCAACGAGTGGGACATTATTCGTAAAGCCATCTGCTCGGCGTATTTCCACCAAGCTGCGCGATTGAAGGGTTTAGGTGAATATGTGAATTGTCGAACTGGCATGCCGTGTCATCTGCATCCAACGAGCGCTCTATTCGGCATGGGATACACCCCAGATTATATAGTTTACCACGAACTTGTGATGACATCCAAGGAATACATGCAATGTGTAACAGCTGTCGATGGTCAATGGCTGGCCGAGTTAGGACCAATGTTTTACAGTATTAAGGACGCGAGTAAATCTCGAGTAGAAAGAAAGAGACAAGAGGTGGATGAAATGGTTGAGATGGAGGAAGAGATGAGAAGAGCTGATGAACTTATAAAAGCTAGGAAAGAACAACAAGAGAAGGCTGTTCTATCTAGTACACGCAGTCAGATTGCCACCCCCGGACGCCGGGAACCTGGCACACCTGGTTCCACTCCTAGAAGAACTCCGGCTAAATTTGGATTATGATTCAACGTTTATATCAAATCGCGGAATTGTTTTGAGACGGTGGCCTCAACATAGAACACTATACATTACGTACCACCGGGATTGGGCCTACAAAATCAGTACATGTAGATATTGCATGGACACGTGGGTATCTGTTATTTTGGAATTCAATTTATAGAATGTGTACAATTTATGGTTTCACGTTTTGAATTGATGTGGATAAGAATGGAAGAGTGGATATTTCAATTCATCAGTAAACCCAGAATTAAAACCTTCGTATTACTGGACGGGGGAGAATACTGGCGTTTATTTATAATGTCTGCAGTGAATTCGACCCAGACACGTGTGGTATGCGGGGTATTTTGCCCCGACAAAGCGTTTCCATTTCCTCTACGTCGAGTTCCAACTCACGTGGATGTTAACGTCTACACTGATCCCTCGGTCCTTCGTACGTTCTCCATGCGAGCCCCGCGCACCCCCCCCCCCACCACCACGTCTGATGGGAAATCTGCCCGGAATATACATGTCTATATATGTAGACTACTAACTTGGTTTTATGTGTAATCGTTTGTGATTTTAAAATTACATTTTTATATATGTACGATTGTGTAAATATTAAACCATGTCACATGATTCTTCACAACTCCCCAAAAATATATTCTATAGATTCTATATGACATTTCTTCGCACCTGGTGCGTGTTGGGTTGGGGGGAGGGTGATTGAAATTTTAGAGATGAATTGAAGTGTGATGTAACGTCAACCGGGATAATGAAGATGGGCATCCGCCACGCAGTTTGCTATGAAGAAAACATTTCCCTAGCGGGTTTATATTCGTCTTATTTCCATTTTCAAATGTCACGTGATCTTTACCATGCTGCTGAATGACACGTGGTGATCATTAGCATGCTGCCAAATAACACGAGATCTTTACCATGCTGCGAGATGACACGTGATCTTTACCATGCCGCAGAATGACTCTTGTCATTGATTCAACTAGCGTGGTTTCAAATCCCCGGTTGTACGTGACAAGGAGTAGTGTAGCCTGTCCAACCTCGTGGGTTTTCTCCGGGTCGTCCTGTTTCCTCCCACTGCTAAAGACCTCTACGCGCAAGTCAGAACAGTAGGACGTTAAACCCCATTTCATTTGATTTCTACGCGCAAGCGAATTATAGAAATAGAATTGAACCATGTGTTAGTCCCGAAATGACCTAGTATGTGTCGAGTGGACGTTAAACCCCATTCTCTCTCTCTCTCTCTCTCTCTCTCTCTCTCTCTCTCACTTGATCTTTACCATGCAAAATGACACGTGATCTTTACCATGCTGCTAAAGGAAACGTGATCTTTACCATGTTGAAAAATGACACGTGATCTTTACCATGCTGCAAAATGACACGTGATCATTACCATGGTGCTAAATGACACGTGATCATGGCTTTGGAATAGTCTTATACACGTGACTTAGGGTTTTCGTTCTAACAACTAATCGCTTTTCTATACTAACGCAGACACGGGGTATCGTAAATGATTGTCGTATTTGTCCTAGGATAGCGTGACTCTGTGTTCAAAATGGGAGCCACAGTGGCCCGGTGAGTAACACGGAAAGAAAAAAAACTCCAGGAAATAAACCCACGCTGGCTCACTAACCCAGAGTTCCCCAGGCCGATCGCGGTGTTGGCCGAGAAAGTTCATTGGGATTTATCGGCGTGGTTCCCCCTTGCCATTGATGCAGATGGTGCTGTGAACACAATAAAAACCAATATTAATAAAAATGGCCAGAATTTATGATATGGATAATTGTTGAGCCAAATTTTTCTGTAATAAAAATATTTTACGTATTATTTTAACTGTATTTAAACTTCTGTTCTGGGATGTTGGAACTTGAATGGAGCTGTGTTATTATGTGTATTATTTTTATTCTATACAGAGACTCAATTGGACTGGATATGCTGTCGAAAATGAAATAAAATGGGGATTAAAGTCCTACTGTTCTGTTCCCTCTGGGCTAATGAAGACGCCCATCTGCAATAGAAGGCTTGATCTCGCTTTTCCGTGAGTTTTTAAACTAAACGTGTATCACGTGTCTGTTATAAAGGGAGATAACTACCAAAGGTTTGGGCATTTCAGACAAATCTAGCAACGGCTATATGTTGTAAAACTCACGGTGGTTGCTTCAGGAACATGAAAGTCGCCATTCTGTGTGCTGTGAGGAAAATTTTGCCAGGATAGCGACGCTACGGTCTACGCTTATGTCGAATTTCAACTGCTAAGGTATATTTTTCGTTCATGCCCATGTGTATAATGGATCTTTGTGTTTTCGTCACGTCCGAACGACTATACCTTGTCCCTTGCCAGACTCCTGTACTACACCACTGAGTGTTCGGGGGGGGGGGCATGTCGGAAAATCACAATGATCGAACACGGGACGCCCATGTCTTACTTGCTGAGCAACCCTCGGAGGCCAGAAAGGGGTAAACATCAAAATCCAGTAACGTATGTGTCCGCCGGTCGTCAGCGAGCGCCGAAATCCCAGATCGTACCGTGTAGGGGTCTCTCAAACAAAGTTTGGTAAACATGACGGTAGCAAATTGCAACGTGGACTAATATGACCTGAATTCCAAGCAAACAATAAAAGATCCCAACGCACAAGCGAATTAATGAAATAAAATTTAACCATATGTTAGTCCCGAAATGATCTAGTAAACCCCATCGCTCTCTCTCTCTCTCTCTCTCTCTCTCTCTCACTCTCTCAATTTTATTTCAAAAGTTCGCCTGTGCAATAGGGGTCTTTAGCTGTGGGAGGACTGGAAGAAAACCCACGAGTTCGGGCAGGCTACTCTACTACTTGCCACTTACAAGCTAGGAATCGAACCCATACCGTTTGGCGGACCTTATGATCTAAAGTCCACTCGACTACCAAATGCCACGATGTAAAATAAGAAAGTCTATTTATAGAAATAAACATGACTGGGTGAAGGGTCCTGTGATTTTTAAAAAATGGCCACAAGTAGCACGGCCTAAATCTCAGATTTTTCCCAACTAATAGTAAGTGCAGGGGGACTGCACCACACAAAATTTACACAAAAACAAATACACGGACAAGACATCATACTCAGAAAAACACAGACTGACAATTCAAAAAAAAAAAAGTGAATGGATCCGGGGGCTAGCCATAAGCGTCCACTGCGCTGTACAGTCCCGGGTCTGTAGTGACACAGACTTCACTCAATTTTTAAAACAATAAGGAATGCAACCCAAAGAAACCATTATGTAATGCCAGCATGAGTCATGATCTGCTATATGCCACAAGAAATACGAATGCAAGCATATGTAGTAGAATTCAATTATACAAGTAACCACATCGGTGAAATGTAAAAAATAGGCCAAATATAAATCAGTCAAGAAACGTTTCATATTCAATGGAATCGAAGTATATTGAATACATAACGTGTAGGACTGCCGGGTCCAGAAATAATAGATGATATTCATTTCTAGGAGAACCCACCCGAATAGAGTTATATCCCTTACAATAGGTTCACCATATTTAAACATGACCGATGACCACGAATAACAACCGTTTCTTTAATTTGAATACAAGTCAGATATAGGCTGACAATTGTTATTGACCCGTGTGTCATTCTGGTTTTATCTTCTAAATGACACACGCTCAATGAACCTTCTCGCCCAATGCAGGGATCGAACACCCGACATCCCAACTAACGTGTAGGACTGCCGCCCCCAGACTGATAGATAATATTCATTTCTAGGAGAACCCACCCGAATAGAGTTATATCCCTTAGATCATAGATTCACAGGTTTACCATATTTAAACATGACCGATGACCAACAATAACATCCCTTTCTTTATTTGAATACAAGGAATTAACATAGCTAACCCACTATGGTCCTGCTATTGTAATTCTAGATTTTTTTAATATAATACCAAATATAATTCACTTTTGGGCACAAAATGTTTCAGTATTTTGAGAAAACAAATAATTTATCAACGTTTTCCTATTATCTCTTTTATATTTATCTAATCTGCTACATATCATGATATGTGATGTAATGAGTACGGTGGAAGCGGACGTAAAATACAACTAACTCATCATCGTAATGAGTAGTTGTATTTTTGTGACTTGTAGAAAGAGACTATGCCAACAAGTCGACATCTCGACGTTACGACAAAAATAACCTATAATGGCTGCGTCTGCATATCATGCCTAAATCGGCAATGGATAAACGGCCCAGGGGGTGTTTGATTTGTCAGTACACGAGTACATTAAAAAAAGAAGAAACAAAAAAAAAAAAAGAAAAGATATTTGTTATCTCGGAGATGAACTGTGTCTGTTATAAAAATGACGAACCAGGGATGAGATTTTCTGCATTTTCACAATGACAATAACCTAGATAAAAATATTACCATCCTATGAACAATATTTTATTCATTTAAATTCTGCATCTTAACAAACTAATTCTAAAGTTATATAATAAGTTTTAAAAGCAATCAACAACGTCATCTATTCAGCCTCCAAATCCAACAATGTGTTCAGTTTTATTTATCACGTCACTATTGTATGTCGTTTTTTATTACGTCATTATTGTATGTTGGTATTCATTACGTCATTATTGTATGTCGGTATCCATTACGTCATTATTATATGTCGGAATTTGTTACGTCATTATTGTATGTTGGTATTTATCCAATATTTAGCTATAATATGCTAATTGTTTTTAGTTAATAATGATAATTTAATACTTTTGTAAACCACCCTGACTTAATCAGCCAGTGCAGTTGCTCAGTGGCGCTGGTTTTACAATGATATTAATGTAAGTAAAATATAACAATTAATACGCCTGTCCCACATCATCAAACATGAATTTACATAATTATTATCATAAACATGTTTTTGCGCTTTTTTTTTAAATACTGCATAGTTGATTTTAATTTAGTTCGCTATCCTTCTGTTTGAGCAAGAGTAAAATGTACACAACACTAAAATCGACATTAAAGACCCTTTAATGGTTCTAGAGTTCGCCATTTTATTAGTTTTTGATTTTTGATTATCCAGCCGGGTGAAGTTAACAAACATTTCCAATGAAGTGAGTAGCGATTTTATCCAGTAGATAATCCAGGAAGATATCAGCCAATATACTGCAGTCTTCAATAGCCTCGATCTTTTGGGACAGACAACTCTTCAACTGACTCATGTCACTGTAAAAAAAAAATAAAACCAATATTGAATAAAGCAAGTGGTCATGTGAAGAGGATGCAATGCACGTGCGCTTTAGAGTTTTTGCACCTCTTCTTGGTCAAACAACGCTTCAACTGTAAAACTAGAAAATACCATTTTGCGACCCCTCCCTAATGGAATAAAAGCACGGGGTAATAATTCCGACTTTCAAGATATTCTTTTTTTTCTAGACAGTCTCAGTACGAGATGGGGACAAGTAAAAACTTTATATTTTCTCTCACACCCCCTAAATTACCACAGAGAAACCGCCGGACACGCCATAACGATATAAATTTGATTCAGACGGTCTTAACAACATAACAAACTCTAATCCAGATGGGCTTGGGGACATAACAATAGAAGTCTTTAACTAGGACTGGTTTAGTGGTACAGTCCTTTACTTTTGCGATAGTAGACCTTACGATCTATCATTGAGTCATGTGGTGTGGTTTATATGACAACCAGTAGAGTCGCCTCCGATTTCCTCCCACTGTTAAAGACTCCTACGAAGTATTGAAATAAAACTGAACCATATGTAAGTCCCGAAATGATCAAGTTTATGTCGAGTGGATGTTAAACTCCCTGGAAATGATCTGGCTGATTGTTATTTTAATAACAGTAACTTACGTGCACACTTCATTCTGAGATCTAAGTTTAAATTCTGTTGTACATTGTTTCAAGCCTTTCTTATAATCTGAATTCTTCCAACAACGTTTCTCCATTTTAACAACTATAAAACATAAATAAACAAATAATTAAATCAACGTGTGTGAGAGAGAGTGTGTATAACTTGTTACTAGTGTATAACTTGTTACTAGTGTATAACTTGTTACTGTTACTAGTGTATAATTTGTTACTAATATATAACTTGTTACTGTTACTAGTGTATAACTTGTTACTGTTACTGGTGTATAACTTGTTACTGTTACTAGTATATAACTTGTTACCAATATATAACTTGTTACTGTTACTAGTGTATAATTTGTAATTTGGATTAATTTCCAAACCTTTTGAGTGGAAACTTGCAGACAAGTTAAATCCACTATTTCGTTACGTTTGGGTACTTACTTTGCATATTTTAAACAACTGTTTTTTCGGGGTCGTAACGAAAATTGGGATTTGCCGTTGAATGTTGTTTGTATATTTTATATAACTTACTTGCTCTTTCACTACAGATAAACTTGTATAATTCTGTAGACGATTCAATATATCTTTGAGAGGTGGGACTCACTTCACATTTATAGGCGTTCTGACATTGTATCGCTAAAGGTAGTTGTCTGAAATAAAAAAACCCCAATAAAATACACCTCAAAACACAATTAAACTTTAAACCATACATTTTGTTAAATATCGAACTTCCATCCAACATCCGATTTCCTCCCACAGCTAAAGACCCCTACGCGCAAGCGAATTATTGAAATAAAATTAAACCATATGTTAGACACGAAATGACCTGGTTTGTGTCGAGTGGACGTTAAAACCCCATCGGGAAGAGATCCTGCTGTAAACATGTTTATATATATTTACCTACAGATGTCCATGAGTAGTCTCCCTTTAGACAGAGGTTCCAGATTGAAACTCTGTATAGCATTATAGATGGGATTGAGTTCTTTATAACAATCATAAACCTGCCAGATACATTTATCTGATTCATCAACTTCATTTAAAAACTGACCTTCACCTGAAATATATATATAATATTTACTTGGGGTTAAAGTCCGCTTATCCATGGGGAAGCTAGATTGTTAGATAAGTGAAATGAAATGGGCTTTAACGTCCTACTGTATGAAAACGGGCATACACCATACAGTGTGCTATGAGAAATATGTTGTCTGTTCCCGAAATGAAATGAAATGGGGTATAACGTCCCACTGTTGTGCTCCGACTGGGCTAATGAAGATAGGTATACGCCATACAGTGTGCAAGGAGGAAATTTTGCTCGGACAGCGGCACTACGGCCTACTCTTATATCGAATTCAAACTGCCCAGGGATCTTTTACGTGCACTTCAATGTGTACAAGGGACCTCGATTTTTCGTTGATCCGAACGACTATACGCTGTCCCTGTCAGGCCCTCTGGTAAAATGATTGTCAGATAAAGAGCCACAATCATCTGGGTTTCTGGACAAGAGAGGGTACTATACAATTTTACCTGGCAAAGTACAACGCTATTTAGGTAGTACCTTATTAAGCAAAACGACGATTGATTATTATTATTTATTACACATTTCTGCCACATCCAACTACAATTAAGCATATAATTCTACCTGACACGGGTACAAACCATCTTTTTTAAATCGAGGCGATAATAGGTAGGTTTGCCCGACATCTTATGACTAATGCATAATAATGTCCATATCAATTTTGATAAAACAAAAAACAGCGCTTGATTAACTTTACTGACAATATTAGCAGATAAACGAAAGTTGTTTCACTAGATTGGGCTGGGTATGTTTCATTAGTCCTATTAGCATACAATTAACTTATTTTTAAGATGTTACATATATTAGTAAAACACGAAATTAAGTTTGCCAGGTGAAATAAAAGGCTCCCAATCGTAGCTAAAAAAACCCCACATCACAGTATATCTGAACGCCGTGAGCCTGGAACGGTTCGTACTGAGAGAACTACAACTGAGTGGAGTGAAACAAGCCCGATCAGTTTTGTCAGTCCCGGCAACTGAGGTGGTGTGAGTAATTAAACACAACGAATATGTTTCAGCTGTCATCGTTTGTTCAGATATTAGTTGGTGCCCATTTCACCCAGAATTGAAATTCGGGAACGTTGAACCGAGTATCACCATGATAAACCACTCTGGTCAGTAGAAAATATTCACTTGCCCGCTACCATATCACTGAGAGGGATAACATCCTACGACTTAATTAGCTTTTAATATAAGCGGTGGGGGGAGAGAGAGAGAGAGAGAGACAGACAGAGAAAGAGAGAGTTTGCTTTGAGTAGAGGTTAAACTCGCTCTCCTCTCACACCTTGTAATGAGAGAGAGAGAGGGGAGAGAGAGAGAGAGAGAGAGAGAGAGAGAGAGTTTAACCTCCACTCAAAGCAAACTAGGTAATTTTGGAACTAACACATGGTTCAATTTTATTTCAATAATTCGCTAGCGCGTAGGGGTCTTTAGCAGTGGGGCAAACCAGAGAAAACGTAGAAAACCCACGAGGTTTGACACACGCGTTAAACTACCAGACTACCCTACCCCCCCCCCCCCTTAATGAAGATGGGGAGTGAACAGGGTGTGCGAAAAAGTAAACAGCTAAAACGCATCTAATGAAAGGAAGTTGAGTGTAACGTACCTGTACCGACTGGGCTAATGAAGACGGCCAAACAGACTACTATAAGGGAAATTTGTCCCGGCATCGGCACTACGGACTACTCTTATTTTAAAGGGTTCTTTTACGTGCACGTCAGCTTGTACACGGAACCTTGGTTTTTCGTTCCAGCCGAATGACTATAAGTTGGCCCTTGCCAGATTTTTCCCAACTAATAGTAAGTGCAGGGGGACTGCACCACACAAAATTTACACAAAAACAAATACACGGACAAGACATCATACTCAGAAAAACACAGACTGACAATTCAAAAAAAAAAAAGTGAATGGATCCGGGGGCTAGCCATAAGCGTCCACTGCGCTGTACAGTCCCGGGTCTGTAGTGACACAGACTTCACTCAATTTTTAAAACAATAAGGAATGCAACCCAAAGAAACCATTATGTAATGCCAGCATGAGTCATGATCTGCTATATGCCACAAGAAATACGAATGCAAGCATATGTAGTAGAATTCAATTATACAAGTAACCACATCGGTGAAATGTAAAAAATAGGCCAAATATAAATCAGTCAAGAAACGTTTCATATTCAATGGAATCGAGGTATATTGAATACATAACGTGTAGGACTGCCGGGTCCAGAAATAATAGATGATATTCATTTCTAGGAGAACCCACCCGAATAGAGTTATATCCCTTACAATAGGTTCACCATATTTAAACATGACCGATGACCACGAATAACAACCGTTTCTTTAATTTGAATACAAGTCAGATATAGGCTGACAATTGTTATTGACCCGTGTGTCATTCTGGTTTTATCTTCTAAATGACACACGCTCAATGAACCTTCTCGCCCAATGCAGGGATCGAACACCCGACATCCCAACTAACGTGTAGGACTGCCGCCCCCAGACTGATAGATAATATTCATTTCTAGGAGAACCCACCCGAATAGAGTTATATCCCTTAGATCATAGATTCACAGGTTTACCATATTTAAACATGACCGATGACCAACAATAACATCCCTTTCTTTATTTGAATACAAGGAATTAACATAGCTAACCCACTATGGTCCTGCTATTGTAATTCTAGATTTTTTTAATATAATACCAAATATAATTCACTTTTGGGCACAAAATGTTTCAGTATTTTGAGAAAACAAATAATTTATCAACGTTTTCCTATTATCTCTTTTATATTTATCTAATCTGCTACATATCATGATATGTGATGTAATGAGTACGGTGGAAGCGGACGTAAAATACAACTAACTCATCATCGTAATGAGTAGTTGTATTTTTGTGACTTGTAGAAAGAGACTATGCCAACAAGTCGACATCTCGACGTTACGACAAAAATAACCTATAATGGCTGCGTCTGCATATCATGCCTAAATCGGCAATGGATAAACGGCCCAGGGGGTGTTTGATTTGTCAGTACACGAGTACATTAAAAAAAGAAGAAACAAAAAAAAAAAAAAGAAAAGATATTTGTTATCTCGGAGATGAACTGTGTCTGTTATAAAAATGACGAACCAGGGATGAGATTTTCTGCATTTTCACAATGACAATAACCTAGATAAAAATATTACCATCCTATGAACAATATTTTATTCATTTAAATTCTGCATCTTAACAAACTAATTCTAAAGTTATATAATAAGTTTTAAAAGCAATCAACAACGTCATCAATTCAGCCTCCAAATCCAACAATGTGTTCAGTTTTATTTATCACGTCACTATTGTATGTCGTTTTTTATTACGTCATTATTGTATGTTGGTATTCATTACGTCATTATTGTATGTCGGTATCCATTACGTCATTATTATATGTCGGAATTTGTTACGTCATTATTGTATGTTGGTATTTATCCAATATTTAGCTATAATATGCTAATTGTTTTTAGTTAATAATGATAATTTAATACTTTTGTAAACCACCCTGACTTAATCAGCCAGTGCAGTTGCTCAGTGGCGCTGGTTTTACAATGATATTAATGTAAGTAAAATATAACAATTAATACGCCTGTCCCACATCATCAAACATGAATTTACATAATTATTATCATAAACATGTTTTTGCGCTTTTTTTTTAAATACTGCATAGTTGATTTTAATTTAGTTCGCCATCCTTCTGTTTGAGCAAGAGTAAAATGTACACAACACTAAAATCGACATTAAAGACCCTTTAATGGTTCTAGAGTTCGCCATTTTATTAGTTTTTGATTTTTGATTATCCAGCCGGGTGAAGTTAACAAACATTTCCAATGAAGTGAGTAGCGATTTTATCCAGTAGATAATCCAGGAAGATATCAGCCAATATACTGCAGTCTTCAATAGCCTCGATCTTTTGGGACAGACAACTCTTCAACTGACTCATGTCACTGTAAAAAAAAAATAAAACCAATATTGAATAAAGCAAGTGGTCATGTGAAGAGGACGCAATGCACGTGCGCTTTAGAGTTTTTGCACCTCTTCTTGGTCAAACAACGCTTCAACTGTAAAACTAGAAAATACCATTTTGCGACCCCTCCCTAATGGAATAAAAGCACGGGGTAATAATTCCGACTTTCAAGATATTCTTTTTTTTCTAGACAGTCTCAGTACGAGATGGGGACAAGTAAAAACTTTATATTTTCTCTCACACCCCCTAAATTACCACAGAGAAACCGCCGGACACGCCATAACGATATAAATTTGATTCAGACGGTCTTAACAACATAACAAACTCTAATCCAGGTGGGCTTGGGGACATAACAATAGAAGTCTTTAACTAAGACTGGTTTAGTGGTACAGTCCTTTACTTTTGCGATAGTAGACCTTACGATCTATCATTGAGTCATGTGGTGTGGTTTATATGACAACCAGTAGGGTCGCCTCCGATTTCCGCCCACTGTTAAAGACTCCTACGAAGTATTGAAATAAAACTGAACCATATGTAAGTCCCGAAATGATCAAGTTTATGTCGAGTGGATGTTAAACTCCCTGGAAATGATCTGGCTGATTGTTATTTTAATAACAGTAACTTACGTGCACACTTCATTCTGAGATCTAAGTTTAAATTCTGTTGTACATTGTTTCAAGCCTTTCTTATAATCTGAATTCTTCCAACAACGTTTCTCCATTTTAACAACTATAATACATAAATAAACAAATAATTAAATCAACGTGTGTGAGAGAGAGTGTGTATAACTTGTTACTAGTGTATAACTTGTTACTAGTGTATAACCTGTTACTGTTACTAGTGTATAATTTGTTACTAATATATAACTTGTTACTGTTACTAGTGTATAACTTGTTACTGTTACTGGTGTATAACTTGTTACTGTTACTAGTATATAACTTGTTACCAATATATAACTTGTTACTGTTACTAGTGTATAATTTGTAATTTGGATTAATTTCCAAACCTTTTGAGTGGAAACTTGCAGACAAGTTAAATCCGCTATTTCGTTACGTTTGGGTACTTACTTTGCATATTTTAAACAACTGTTTTTTCGGGGTCGTAACGAAAATTGGGATTTGCCGTTGAATGTTGTTTGTATATTTTATATAACTTACTTGCTCTTTCACTACAGATAAACTTGTATAATTCTGTAGACGATTCAATATATCTTTGAGAGGTGGGACTCACTTCACATTTATAGGCGTTCTGACATTGTATCGCTAAAGGTAGTTGTCTGAAATAAAAAAAACCCAATAAAATACACCTCAAAACACAATTAAACTTTAAACCATACATTTTGTTAAATATCGAACTTCCATCCAACATCCGATTTCCTCCCACAGCTAAAGACCCCTACGCGCAAGCGAATTATTGAAATAAAATTAAACCATATGTTAGTCACGAAATGACCTGGTTTGTGTCGAGTGGACGTTAAAACCCCATCGGGAAGAGATCCTGCTGTAAACATGTTTATATATATTTACCTACAGATGTCCATGAGTAGTCTCCCTTTAGACAGAGGTTCCAGATTGAAACTCTGTATAGCATTATAGATGGGATTGAGTTCTTTATAACAATCATAAACCTGCCAGATACATTTATCTGATTCATCAACTTCATTTAAAAACTGACCTTCACCTGAAATATATATATAATATTTACTTGGGGTTAAAGTCCGCTTATCCATGGGGAAGCTAGATTGTTAGATAAGTGAAATGAAATGGGCTTTAACGTCCTACTGTATGAAAACGGGCATACACCATACAGTGTGCTATGAGAAATATGTTGTCTGTTCCCGAAATGAAATGAAATGGGGTATAACGTCCCACTGTTGTGCTCCGACTGGGCTAATGAAGATAGGTATACGCCATACAGTGTGCAAGGAGGAAATTTTGCTCGGACAGCGGCACTACGGCCTACTCTTATATCGAATTCAAACTGCCCAGGGATCTTTTACGTGCACTTCAATGTGTACAAGGGACCTCGATTTTTCGTTGATCCGAACGACTATACGCTGTCCCTGTCAGGCCCTCTGGTAAAATGATTGTCAGATAAAGAGCCACAATCATCTGGGTTTCTGAACAAGAGAGGGTACTATACAATTTTACCTGGCAAAGTACAACGCTATTTAGGTAGTACCTTATTAAGCAAAACAACGATTGATTATTATTATTTATTACACATTTCTGCCACATCCAACTACAATTAAGCATATAATTCTACCTGACACGGGTACAAACCATCTTTTTTAAATCGAGGCGATAATAGGTAGGTTTGCCCGACATCTTATGACTAATGCATAATAATGTCCATATCAATTTTGATAAAACAAAAAACAGCGCTTGATTAACTTTACTGACAATATTAGCAGATAAACGAAAGTTGTTTCACTAGATTGGGCTGGGTATGTTTCATTAGTCCTATTAGCATACAATTAACTTATTTTTAAGATGTTACATATATTAGTAAAACACGAAATTAAGTTTGCCAGGTGAAATAAAAGGCTCCCAATCGTAGCTAAAAAAACCCACATCACAGTATATCTGAACGCCGTGAGCCTGGAACGGTTCGTACTGAGAGAACTACAACTGAGTGGAGTGAAACAAGCCCGGTCAGTTTTGTCAGTCCCGACAACTGAGGTGGTGTGAGTAATTAAACACAACGAATATGTTTCAGCTGTCATCGTTTGTTCAGATATTAGTTGGTGCCCATTTCACCCAGAATTGAAATTCGGGAACGTTGAACCGAGTATCACCATGATAAACCACTCTGGTCAGTAGAAAATATTCACTTGCCCGCTACCATATCACTGAGAGGGATAACATCGTACGACTTAATTAGCTTTCAATATAAGCGGTGGAGAGAGAGAGAGAGAGACAGACAGACAGAGAAAGAGAGAGTTTGCTTTGAGTGGAGGTTAAACTCTCTCTCTCTCATTACAAGGTGTGAGGGAGAGAGAGAGAGAGAGAGAGTTTAACCTCCACTCAAAGCAAACTAGGTAATTTTGGAACAAACACATGGTTCAATTTTATTTCAATAATTCGCTAGCGCGTAGGGGTCTTTAGCAGTGGGGCAAACCAGAGAAAACGTAGAAAACCCACGAGGTTTGACACACGCGTTAAACTACCAGACTACCCCCCCCCCCCCCCTTAATGAAGATGGGGAGTGAACAGGGTGTGCGAAAAAGTAAACAGCTAAAACGCATCTAATGAAAATGAAAGGAAGTAGAGTTTAACGTACCGACTGGGCTAATGAAGACGGCCAAACAGACTACTATAAGGGAAATTTGTCCCGGCATCGGCACTACGGACTACTCTTATTTTAAAGGGTTCTTTTACGTGCACGTCAGCTTGTACACGGAACCTTGGTTTTTCGTTCCAGCCGAATGACTATAAGTTGGCCCTTGCCATGCAGCTCGTTCTACACAACTGTCAAGGGAGAACCACGTCGGAAAAAGAGGGAGGAGAGCTCGAGCGGTGATTGGGTTTTTTACCCACGTATTGCTAACGATGTTTCTGATTGTTTTGGATAATTATGACTTCGGTGGAGGCTGCGATTGACATTTGATTAACCAATCAGTGTTGATGTTTCTAATGGATTACCCACAGCTCCCTGCAAATTACGCCTTAAGCTCGCCGTAACAGACCGTTTCATTGACTAATACCTAAAACCATCCAGAACACGTCAATGATAACGACAATTCCAGATCCTAGTGTTGTGAAGACAAGTAAAACGAAATTCTGCACTATAAAAAACGAAACGAAATAGGATCTGTGTTGTAATCAGATTGGGTTGGCAATTACCCATCCTCCTCACAATACTTCTTTTAATAAATATAAAATTACCGAGTAGAAGACGAACAACCGGCAACTTGGTAATTATCATGGAAAATAGGCTTCACGAAGCGCCATTTTTTTTCTATAATTGTTCTCTTAAGATAGAATCAATAATTACTTGTAGGTAAAAAAATTCTCAAGGATACAAATTAAGAAACTCGTAACTCTATCCTCACCTGTAGGCTATAGTGAATGGTATCGATGTTTTTAAGGTGAATAACATTTATAGTTTTGACATTAGTTTGTCTGTTCCCGAAATAATATGTAATGGGGTTTAACGTCCTACTGTTCTGCTCCGACTGGGCTAATGAAGACGGGAATAAGCCATACAGTGTGCTATGGGGGAAATTTTGCCCGGACAGCGGCACTACGGACTACTCTTATATCGAATTCCAACTGCCAAAGGATCTTTTATGTGAACGCCAATGTGTACACGGGACCTCGGGTTTTAGTCCCACCTTCCGTCCTGCACCAATGATAAGGGAGACCACGCCCGACCTCCAGGTCAGCGAGCCACCGTCTTATTCACCGAGTCACCGTATGGTTCAATTTTATTTCAATAATTCGCTTGCGCGTAGGGGTCTTTAGCAGTGTGAGGAAACCGGAGGACCCGGAGAAAACCCACGAGGATGGACAAGGACAAGCTACCCTACTCCTTGTCACGTACAAGCGGGGAATCGAAACCACGCCAGTTGACAGACTTCATGATACAGCACACACGCGCTAACCATTTGGCCATCCAGCCCCACCCCCAACAGTAAAACTATCGAACCTATCAACCCAGTTAACCCTGTTGAAGATAATGATCTGATAATTCAATTACTTTCCATCGCGGTGCTGAGTGTCCCGATGTTTTAACATGTGCATTCTAGAGCATGCGATCTGTCATTGATTCAAGTGCGTGGTTTCAATTCCCCGCTTGTACGTGACAAGGCTTAGTGTCGTCTATCCAACCTCGTGGGTTATCTCCGTGCCCCCCCGCCTCGGTTTCCTCCCATAGCTAAAAACAACCCATACGCCCCAGTAAATTTTTTAAAATAAAATTGAACCATATGTTAGTCCCAAAATGACCTAGTTTGTGCCAAGTGGACGGTAAACTCCATTGTTCCCTCTATCTCTCGCTGAATCGGTCGACAATAAAAACATGGAACCGATGTGGTTAAAACAGTATTAGCCTTAATCTTACTTCTAAAATAGATACAGTACGATATTTATATAAGGATCAACAATCGATGCGTAATTGTCCACACGATCGGCATGTAATAATTTATTTAAAAAAAACAATAACTGAGACTGTTTTTATTGTCGTAACAATGGTAGCAATTTAAATTAAAACTAGGATATTCTTCAAACCATAATAAACTCGCTCAGAATGACGTAATTTTACTGAAATGTTAAATATAATCCCTTTTTTATTTTCTATTTGGGAACTATTATAACAGGAACGACCAATTCTTTATCTAAATCTTACATAAAGCATGTTTAAACTATTATAGCAAGAACGACCAGGGCTTTATTTCACAAAAACTTAAACTAAAATTTCATCCAAACTTTACAAAAGATAGGTGAGTTTCATAAAAGGTTTTAAGCATTTTAGCTAAAAGCCATTAAAATAATATTTTTTTTTTCTATCTTAACTTAAAATAGTGGTGCTTCACAAAACCATTTTAGGGACAATTTTAACTAAAAAATAATTTTAAGTCAGGACAGCCGTCTCCCTCTCCTAAATTAAAATCGTAACATAATTAAACATTGATAAGTGCTTACTTGTTAGGTTGGTTTATTCCCACGAAGGCGCAGTTATTGACCGTAACGGATTAAAGGAGGTCGTTTTCGACGCCATCGTGGGAATCCAGCGTTCAGGGATTAAAATGGATTAAAAATGTAACAATGGAGTTAAGATAAGAATTTACTCTTTCACAATCCCCAATGTGACTAATTAACTACTTTTTAATTCCTGGAGCTGGCTTTGGATTTGGGCATATTTATGTGGCTTGGTGATTAAGATTCATATTGAATACTTGGATGATATGATGATTTTCATCATTAGCTGCCAATTGGTTAATAAAATTCAGAGTGAACATAAATTCATAAAATCTTTAACACCGTTAATTGGGTCCTAATAACAACATGTCTCTCTTCAAACGAAAGCCGACACGGCGATATCTGCGCCTTCGTGGGAAGGAACGGCGCCGTCGTGGGAATACACCTGTTAGATTTATTGCGACAGATTAGATGTAACTGAAATAATGGTAAGTAAATACACCCTGGCTAATGATTCCGGTATAAATAGTACTATTTCTAAATACTTAACACATGGTCAATTTCTAGGCATTAGAAGTTCCAAAGGCGTACAATACAAGGCATGTCATAATAGGCAAAGTATTCACTCTTGTGTGTTTTTGGTTAAGATTATTTGTAAAAAAATAAATCAATAAGCTCAAATCTGTTTTTTGAAAATGTTATTAGCCTAGGCCTATTTGAAATTCAATTTTAATATGTTTAATTATTTATTTCTAAAAATGAAAGCTTTCGTTATTTAATCAGTGAAACAATGTTGAAGTCATGGTATCTAAATCTAACATAATGGACCTTTAATGGAAGATACGAATCGTGATACTTACCTTGTGTGGCCAACAAAACGACAAATAAAACTGGGAACATCTTGCGATAATACTATAACAACAAAAACCCTGACTTGAACACACTTGAAGAAGATATGGAGAGCGACTGATATCTGATGTTTTATACCCCAATCATATTGTAATATAAGCAGTTAGAATACATTTGATCTGTAACAATGCATACACAATGACCATTATGGTGATTGCCAAGATGAGATTCAATATCCATGACATTTATATAACACTAGAAATAATAATATTATCTCATGTACACAAATACCATGTTTATATCAACTTCTACTGTCACACTAAAAATTACAATTTCTAGGTTTTGGAATAGTTTAAAGAAGAGCGAGCTAGCTATGTTAACAAACTTGTCTCTTTTATAAATTTAAATCAAATACAATAAAAATTCAAATGAAATCTAACAGAATCTTTAAAATTTATTTAAATGTATTTTGACCAAGGATTTTTTTTTATAACTCTTGGTTATTTTGAGACTAACACTTAAAGAAGTATACACATTCATGACATCTTTAACTTTATCACAGAGAGAGAGAGAGAGAGAGAGTTTAACGTCCACTCAACACAAACTATGTCATTTCGGGACAAACTTATGGTTCAATTTTTTATTTCAATAATTCGATTGTGCGTCGGGTTCTTTAGCAGTAGAAGGAAACCGAGGGACCCGGAGAAACATGGTCGCCGTTTAATAGTTTAGATAATCGAGACTATGTTTATTATCACAACAATAGTAACAATGAAAATCGAGACTACGCTATTCTTCAAACAGTCAGATTCGCTCAGAATAAAGTAATTTGACTGAAATTTTCAATACATTTCCTATTCAGTATCTATTTTCGAACTATTATAGCAAGAATGGTCGACACTTTATTTAAATATTACATAATGCACATTTAAAGGAAAAACGAAAACCAATGTGCAAATACAATGTCACCATTAAAATACAAGTTGCTCGTTTCATTCAATTTTTGGAATAGTTTAATTAAAATAAAATTGATTTGATTTGAACTGAATAGTTTCATTGGGTTTAATGTTGACGTAAACAACTTTACGCGATTAAATCTTCATATCATGAGGTTAAGCGAAGGTCTATCTGTTTTGTTCTGGATTAAATTTGTCGATAGTTGAACACAGTGGCTATCGAATTTAAAATTTGAAAGACAATCAGATGGGCACAGAGAGTAATATCGGGACGATGATACACCGTTCCCTAACCGGACGGGATTACAAGGTCAAACCATCCGGAACAATTCGGTGGAATTTTTTTCAGTCAACAGCGGATAGAACCCGTGATCCAATGCTTAACCTACTATCCAATCAAAAACAACCACAAGACAATTGGAAGGACGGATTTTGCTCTTTAAAGTAACGGACAATTGGAATGGTGGTGGCCACCCTTTAAACTAACAGACAGTTGGAAGGATTGACAATTGGAAGGGTGGAGACCACCCTTTAAACTAACAGACAATTAGAAGGATGGATGTCGCCCTTTAAACTATGTAATAGACTAGAGGAAGGACGGATGTACTTTTTAAACTAACAGACAATTGGACGGACGGGTGTCATATTTTAAAAGAACAGACAATTGGAAGGATAGCTGTTAGCCTTTAAAATACTAGCCTGCTGTATGTTATGTACCGAATTAATGTCGTCCTTGGTTGAATATCGTGTGTTGTTTTATCTGCAATCTCGATCATACATGTCATTATTGTAATACTGTATCAATAAGACCATTCAAAGTACTTATTATTCAAGACTACCGAGATTTACAGAACTCATTGGCATTAAATCAGACAAAACAAAATGCCACACTTTACGTGCGGGGGCGTCCGAATGGTTGGAGGGGATGCAACGAAGCATCCGATGGGCTGTAGGGAAATACCGGTGGTGTTCGAATGGTTGTAGGAAAAATCACCGGGGTGTCCAAATAATTGTAGAAGAAGCACCGGGGGTGTCCGAATAGTTGTAGAGAATGCACTTGGGTTGTTCGAATGATTGTAGGAAATATACCGAGGTTTGTCGAATGGTTGTAGGAAATGTACCTGGATGTCCGAATAGTTGTTGGAGATAAACCGGGGGTATCCGAATGGTTGGAGCGGATGCATCCCGGTGTGGGCCGCGAAGAACCTGTCACAAATGGAGGGATGAACAGGAAAGTGTGATTTACGGCCCTAATGTTAGAAGGCTAACCAGATTTGTAACAAAATAGAAAATAAGTTAGATGTCAATTCTGTAGAAGAATTACGAGAACAATTCGGTATTAAAAATTATATAGTTTTATACGTTACACAGGTGAATGCTGAATGGTTAGCACGTGCGCGCTGTACCATAAAGTCTGTCATTGAGTCAACTGGCGTGGTTTCGATTCCCCGGTTGTACGTGACGAGGAGTAGGGTCGCCTGTCCAACCTCGTGGTTTTTTTCCGGGTCCTCCGGTTTCCTCCCACTGCTAAAGACCCCTACTCGCAAGCGAATTATGGAAATAAAATTGAACCATATGTTAGTCCCGAAATGACCTAGTTTCTGTCGAGTGGACGTTAAACCCCATTTCTCTCTCTCTCTCTCTCTCTCTCTCTTTCTCTTTCTTTCTCTCGTACTGAGCGAATTTATGACTGTTTGAAGAATAGTGTAATCTCGATTTTCATTGCTACCATTGTTTTAATAAAAATCATAGTATCGATTATCTAAACTATTAAACGGCGATCATGTTTCTTCAGGTCCTCCGGTTTCCTCCCACTGCTAAAGACGCGCAGGTGAATTATTGAAATAAAATAGAACCGTACGTTAGTCCCGAAATCACATAGTTTGTGTCTAGTGGACGTTACCCTCATTCCTCCCTCGCTCTCTCTTACGTACACATCAACGAGTTAAAGATACATTATGTAAGATTTAGATAAAGAGTTGGCAACTCTGGCTATAATAGTTTAAAAATAGATAATGTAAAATAAATAAACTGTAAAATTGAAAGCTTTAGATCCGGGCTTTTTTACTGCTAATATCCATCAATCCGAATTCAACAACATATCATGCTTACCTGATGTTGACACCAAAGCTGAATGCTATTTCAATATCTTAAGACCTGTATTGGATGAATTAGCACCAGAACAGTCAAAGAATTTCAAGAGAGAGAGAGAGAGAGAGAGAGAGAAATGGGGTTTAACGTCCACTCGACACAAACTAGGTCATTTCGGGACTAACATATGGTTTAATTTTATTTACATAATTCGCTTGCGCGTAGGGAGGGGTCTTTAGCAGTGGGAGGAAACCGGAGGACCCGGAGAAAACCCACGAGGTTGGACAGGCGACCCTACTCCTTGCCACGTACAACCGGGGATTCGAAACCACGCCAGTCGACTCAATGACAGACTGTATGATACAGCGCGCGCTAACCATTCAGCCATCCAACCCCCCAAAGAATTTCAACATGAGAATAAACTCTGCTTGGTTCAATAATGAAATCCTTGATGCAAAGTGACAACGTAATCAGGCTGGACGTGTTTGGCGCAAGTCTCAGCTCACAGTTCACAAACAGATATATAAATCGCTTAAATCAAAAATGAACAATCTTATCGGCGAAGCTAAGAGAGCTTACTACTCAAATAAGATTGACTCTAGTAACAACAAGCAAAAGGAATTGTTTAGGGTCACCAACACACTGTTAAACCCTAATTATGGCAAGACCATACTTCCTGAAAGTGAATCCCAAGAGTTAGGCCCACTCTCCGATCGATTTGCATCCAACTTTACAGATAAAATTGTGAAAATTCGCCGAGGTCTTGCTAATCCTGGATATGATAATATACCCGCATCAACTTCACCTTCAACAGAATGTGGGGGGTTGGATGGCTGAATGGTTAGCGTGCGCGCGCTGTATCATAAAGTCTGTCATTGAGTCGACTGGCGTGGTTTCGAATCCCCGGTTGTACGTGGCAAGGAGTAGGGTCGCCTGTCCAACCTCGTGGGTTTTCTCCGGGTCCTCCGGTTTCCTCCCACTGCTAAAGACCCCTACGCGCAAGCGAATTATGTAAATAAAATTAAACCATATGTTAGTCCCGAAATGACCTAGTTTGTGTCGAGTGGACGTTAAACCCCATTTCTCTCTCTCTCTCTCAACAGAATGCGTTTTATCTCACTTTAAACTAGTTAATGAGACTGAAATGGCAAAAATCATAAAACAGTCTGCAACTAAATCTTGCGCTCTCGACCCTATACCAACAGCTCTTTTAAAGGAGTGTCTTGCTACAACCCTACCCATCATAACTGACATCATCAACTCTTCTATTTTAGAGAATACAGTGCCTGATGTGTTCAAGAGTGCCATTGTTTTCCAATTGATCAAAACACCAGGCTTAGATCCGAACTTGGACAAAAATTACCGCCCGGTATCTAAACTTAGTATTCTATCCAAAACTATGGAGAAGGTGATAGCCAATCAAATTACGACCCATATATCTGAACATAATCTTATGGAAGAATACCAGAGTGCATATAGAAAATTCCATAGTACGGAAACCGCTCTACTCCGTGTCCACAACGACATTACCATGTGTCTGGATAAACGTGAATGAATTCTGTTGATCCTGCTGGATTTATTCACAGCATTCGACACCGTTGATCACGATATCCTCATGTCAAGATTAGAATGTGACTTTGGAATCCAAACTAATGCCCTGAAACTCATAGAATCCTATATTAAAGGTCGTAATCAAACTATTATAGTTAATGGCGTATCATCATCTAAAATGTCTTTAAATTGTGGTGTCCCACAGCGTGTTAGGACCGATTTTATTCAGTCTATACACTTCTCCCCTTGGTGTAATCGTTAGGAAATATGGCATTTCATTTCATTTATATGCTGACGATTCACAACTTGACATTTCCTTTAACCTCAGCAGGATGACCACTTCCATATTTCAAAATCAATTTTGGAACAGTGCATATTAGAAATAAAGTGCTGGGTGAGTAAAAACTTTCTCAAACTCAATGACGAAAAAACAGAATATTTGCTTATTGGATCGAACAAAATTTTAGAGAAACTGGATAACAACCTAATTATTAAAGTGGGCGAACTTTATACACCTGGCCGAACATTACGTACATCAGATAAACTACTTTTAAAGCCCAAAACTGTTCAA